GACCTCTTTCTCAGAATATTGCAGGGTTATGTAAGTGCACAAAGGTATGAGCAATGCAAGTGGAATTCTGATATCTACCTACTTAATCCACCGCGTCTCGGTCGACCCCTCGTAAACTAATTTTTAATTTGCTGTATACGTCATTATTTTATGTAATAGTTTAAAAAAATAAACGGACATTCTTCTCACGATGGCTGGGCCCCTGTTGTAGGTCATATGTTGGTAAGGCAGAGGACAAATTTGATGTATATCAGATTAATCATTAGTAATGAAAAACAATTCTTAATGAAGTTCATATACATGTTTTGAAAGACCGTAATATTTATGATTTGAAAATAATACATTTCGTACATTTTCCCGTTTTTTCCATGTTTTTTCCTATTTATTATAAAAACCCCTGAGAAAATCAAAAATGACCTTTTTAGTGTACCACCGTGATAAAATTTTCTTTCAAAAAATGAGCTACACTTGAAAATCGGAGCAAAATTTCTGGTAAAAAAGTTGTTCATAGAAAAAAAATAAACATTGTAAAACCAATACATTCCTCGCTCCGCTCAAAATCTAAAATAACTCTTAAAGATCAATAACCTCTTTTTATATTCAAATACTTTGTAAAATAGAATACACCAGGTACATAATACCTACTATTTATTATATATATTTTTTAATTTAGCTATAGTTATTACCTACCTATTTTATTATAGTAATTTAAATACTTATAGTATATTATGCAATATAACCAATATATATATATATATATGTGATTTTTAACTAAATGCCTAATATGGGATGTGTCATATTGTGTTACTATCATATAGTAATATTATTACCATATTATAATATGAATAATATAGAAAAGTACCATTTTTGACAAAATTTTATTAAAGCAGTTTATTTTAAACAATTACAAGTCTATTATAAGTAATAACTATAAGTTTTTACTTATACCTATAAGACGTCTTACAAAACTCTGAATCTGTTTTTATTTATAATATTATTACTTTATATTCACTTATTTATGACATCTTAAACAAATTGCTCGCATAATTATTTTACGTCTTTTTGAGATATAATTGAGTGCTTGGTACACTATAAATACATTTTAATGAATAGTCGGTAACAGTGTTTTAAAGATTTGCATAGTAAACGGCGCCATTAACAGTGTGTTCATCCCACAGTGTGCAATTTTTATACTATGCTCGTTTCAACAAATGTTGGCCAACTATAATACTTGTAGGCAGTGGCAACGGAAACGTTTTTAGTATTTTTTACTACCAGGGTAAACATTAAAATAATTCCTTCGGCGTTTACTAAAAAAAATCTGTTTTGTGTAAATTATATATCATTTTAATGTAAAAGAAAAAAATCGCCTATACTGGATTTAAAAACTGCCGAGGTTATTATTACCTCCACAATGAAAAACAGTGTACCCCAGTGCTTATACATATTATTATTATATTTTTTAACGTTAGTATGCTAATATAATATTATTACCCGTTAACTAATTTAAATGTTCAAAATTGAACTATAAATATTTACTTTTACGCTTTTAAAACGAATTAAACATGAAATCTAGGTATTATATGTTTGAGGTTTGATACTTTTTTTTTTATATTGATATTGTTAAATTTCATCTGTTTTTTCTAATAATTTAAATAAATAAATAATAAACCATTTTATAATTGTCTGTGTATACATCAGAATATTTTATTTTATATATTAAATTATAGAGGGATATCATTAAAAAAAAAAAAAACAATTTTTTTTTATAAACATTTCTATTAATATATTAAATTATATTACATTATATAACATTTGAAAAAGAACATTAGTAAACCGTATGAATAAAACATGATATTATTAGGGACCTAGTACCTATACCTGTATGACTGTACAGTGTACAGTGTACATACTATAAAAAATAGTAAAATCATTTCACCAAAAAACCTTAAAACTTTAAAACGATGTTTGTTTACTAACTGAATGGGTGTATTTATTTACTTGTTAATATATAATCGAGCAAAAAAATAGTAATATTATTCAGTACGTCCTTTTTGAGTCAAGACCTACCTATCGAAACAATACTATATATGTGGCTACATTTTGAAATATAAATACAAACATTAACATACAATAATTATTAATAAAAATGTATTTTATTTTGTTAATAACTTATATTTGATGTCTGTATATTATTATCTAGTAACGNAAACAAATAATTTACAAAGTGATCCGCGAGGGCTACGCCCCACAATAACAATAGCGTATATTCAATATAGGTAAATTAAATTGCAATAAATATTTGTATTACTATGATTTATAACTAAACTAATTTTATTTTGATTAATATTTAATGTCATATTTTGTGGATGAAGAGCTAAACATTTTTTTCACCCGGGGCCCACAAAACGAAATTGCAGTACTGTTTGGTAGATAATACCAATCGTTAACATGACATTTCTAACATGCGTTTATGTACGAAAACAATAATGACACAAACATTAAGTTATTGTGCGTGTTTAATAAAATTGTATGTTAAAACTATAGATATTGGTATACTTAACGTTAAGAAGACCTTTAGTTTTAACTTAAAGGAAATTCAACCGAATAATTTATTTGGATTTTTAATTTTAAAACGTTTAATAGTACGTTCAACGCCACTATAGTCGACGAAACTATAAAAAAAACTGTCACACATGCATTGCTATTGAATCATTTGCCAAACAACTAGGTCGACTTCGGCAGTTTTCTTTGAAGAAAATTGTTTGTGAAAGATTTTGGCTCATAAAACCCTTGTTTACATTCTAGAACATTAATTTGTATAGCATTAGGTATTTAATTAGTATAATATGAATGCAATTATTCATAAAACGTTTGATACTTTAAGTCTTTTTACGTTTTTCAACTCTTAAAAAGGCTTATAATTTTAATTTTTAACGTAAATTTCAATAAGTTAAGTAATATTGGTTTTCAAATATTTTTGGTATTAACCTAAATGAAAATAATAACTAGTCATACTTGTTGTTTTAATAAGTAGAATAATATCATTAAATGATTCGTATTACCTATATTATTAAAATTAAATTTAAAAATAAAAGAAAAACTGATACTGAGTATGAGAGTGACCACTGTTGTAGGTGAGAAGTTGGGAAGGTAGGCTACATAAGGTTATTTCATTTATATTTGTAAGCAACGATAAACCATTGCTTGACGAAAGACGATTCCGAGTTCAGTTCGTAAATACATAATTTGAAGTGCCATAATATTTTTTGCGATTTTCGTTTAAATTTGATTTAAAAACGCTTATTAAAAAAAAAAATCGTCTGACAATTTTGGAAATTTTACCGTGTCTAGGTAAGTCCAATATAAGTATTATTACCATGTTTATTTGTATGTTGCATTTATAACCGAATTATAGCAAAAAACTCCCAAATATTAAAATTCCTTTAAAGCTCAAAAATGGCTCAAAAGTTTTGGCAATAATACTATAAGAAAATAAATCAAAATGGCAACAAAAAATGTACCTTGCGATTTTTAGATTAAATCATTTTTTCTGATAACAACGTCCGTGTTTTTTAAAATAATGAAATCATGAAATTTTATGTTTTCATACGTTTTTTCACACTCAAGTGCTTTTATTTAAAAAATGGCTTCGAAAATCAATAAAATCTTTAGAATACAATCTAGACAACTTAAGCTATTAGAAAAAGTGCTACACTTATACATCGGAGAAAGTTTACTAGGAAAAAACGTGTCCACAGACTAGAATAAAGAAAGAAATAAATAGCATTGTAAAACCAATAGCTCCTCTAGCTCCGCTCGGAATCTAAAATACATGCCTACTTATTATATTTTACTTCGTAAATATTATGAAATCTTTATACAGTTTTACCTACCTAATTAAAACTTGTTTCCTCTGTTAATTCAATTATTGAATTAAATAAATAGGTAAGTACAATTTATAAAATGTCAATTTATACAATTTATAAAAATTAATGTCTCAGTTTACATATATCTATCTAGATTATATATCTAAATATATAGATAAATAATCTCAAATATTTATATAAATATTTATTACTTATTAAATAGTATCAATAGGTACCTATAATTAATATTAGTCCCTATATAATACAACATGAATGAAATTTACTCGATTGGTAGAAAAATGGAGTTTAGAACCCCAAGATTAGCTCCATTTAGGACACAATTTATTAGCTAGAATAATAATCAAAATTAATTTTCTATATATAGTTAAAGAACAGTGAACTCACATTAATTAAAAAATGTATTGTGTATAGCATTATAATAGTTACACTGCAGACAAAGCTTAATAATTTAGCTTTGTATTATTTTCGTACATATACAGTAACTAATGATAACACTATTGGTAGCAATTTAAATTCGTGAATTATTGCAACATACTTTTATACCATCGCACTTGATTGAAAATTATGAAGCGACCACATATGAATGGATCCAGGATATGATAACGAAGAGGATCGTTTTTAAAATTTATTTAAGACACACATTTATGATGAAAATCAAGCTCAGAGACTACATTGGGGCTAAGAGTATATTTAAGAGTAGAAAATAGAGACAATTAACCCCCCTCCCTGGATCCACCACTGTGTTCGTATTATAAATGTTCAACGAAAAATAAATGCCGAAATACGTTAATTGTAGGACCTAGATATATCGGGCTAGTTAGATGTTTCAAAATGTTTGAAAGGTTAAGTAAAATACCTATAGTTTTTCTTAAAATTCTACTAGATCACTTCCAAAATAGTTATTTTCAAATAATTGAAAATATTTGTCACTTGTGTAACAAATATTTCTAAAAGATGTAGGCTTTTATGTTTATTTTGGGAATCAAACTTGGAATTGTATTATCGTTAATTTTAACATTGGACGTATAGTATTAATTATATTATTAACATTATTTAACTACAATTTACGCACATTAATTTATTTTAAGGTTCGTTTGTCCATTCTGTGTAATGTCGAGGCCTCCAGCACATCCAAAAGGCTGGGCACCGCCACCATCGGTGACTTCACCTCCTGTATCTTTCCGTCCTGCGACCCCAACTCGACAGTCGCCGATTCATCGTCTCCCACCACCGTACATTCCTTGCCCAAAACCGATGAGACCCACGTCGTCTCCGTTGCAGGGAACTGCGCCACAGCCGTTTAGATACCCATCGCCAGTAAGTTAAACATATTTTTATAAAAATTTTAATATTTCCTTTAGAAAAATAATAATAATAACACAATATTACGTTCGTAATAAAGTGTCCATCTCCGCAAGTATATGAACAACCCATGTCGATGCCATTTAAACCTCGAGAATTTGTGGTTCTTGAAGCTCCGTCACCACAATTATGGTTAGAAGATGAAGACAGTACGACTGACGGTCGTTCAACTGCAGACATAATTGCGTCACAGTCCCAGGATTACGTAGACGAAAAGTTGGCGGAATATCAAGCAACAATTTATATGTTACAAGGTAGGACACATTTTAATACATTTTAAACCAATAGATTTATTGTACACAATAATTATGATTTTACGACAAAAAAATTCCGTGTGCATTGTAAATTGCTTAAAATGTATCCAATAGTTTATAATGATAGATAGGTAGTAAAACATTTGACCGCGCGCATTTTAAAAGAAATCATGACGCGTAGCAGTATCATTTTGATTATAGGTAAGTACAAACCATGAAGTTTTAATCTTACGGTATAAACTATATTATAATTATTTTACACAAACAATTTATCTTATTCGATGTTGCGTATGTATATAATAATAACAATTAGTCTACAAAGATAACCACCGAGGCGCTTGCCTAGAGCACTTTATACTGAGGGAGCAATCATATTTTAAATTTTAAAATAGCATAAACAATTTTAAATTTGGTATGAGTGGTTGGCCAAGGACCTATAGAGTCCCTGGAGAAACCTTTTCACTCTGTATGAGAATAAGGTTTGGTTTATGAGTTCGCATGGCTTTGAATGCTAGGTGAGGCAGGGTAGTTGTGGGAATTTGCTGATTTTTAGTGAGTATACCAAAGTGTTTTATAGCCAAAAGGCTTCTTTTTGGAGTTAAGGCAGAGCTGTTGAGTTTCTTAGGTTTTAATTTGTCATTAGGTAATGGACATTAGTCATTGCGAATTACAACATTTTGGAACGCCTCGATCTTATTCCAAGTATTTAGAGATGAGAGCTGAAAGGCCTTCATGATACTGCGACATATAATAGGATGAGCCTTAGGTAAATTTTATATATGGTAATTTTTCTTGGTAATGAGATAGATTAATATAGGACAAAGTGCCGCACAGGCGCCTTGTGCCCATTGAATAGCGGACCTCATGTGTTAATTGAAACACAGGTTAAAGTTAAACTTGATTCCCAGATATTTGATATGAGTTGACCAATCCTATACAATTCAATTTATACCTATTGTACCATTGATTATAGTGAATTGTATGTATAATAAATGGTTCTACACATTAATATTTATAATACACTGTGTCACTATTAATTGCCAATAAAGATTATAAAACGAATTACTAACATTAAATTTCTATTTATATTCTATATTATAGATGGTAAAGTTCAATTCAATATTAGCATTTATGATAAATATTTATTTACTATGCTCGTAGTGGTATTTATTTTATTTTTTTTCTGATTTGACACAAATTTGTTTCAAAATACCTTGGTAATCCAAACATTTTACTTAAATCTTTTTTAGATTTTGGGAGATTGCGCGTAATAATTTATGTTTTATGTCTATTAATATTAAGTATCTGCATATTTTATTTATTTGATGAAAAAAACAAAACCACTGTAAAAGAAGATTATTATGGTTAATTAGAAGTAAAACCTATGTACAAATCGAAAAATATAAATTAATAATTTATTTCTAATTAATACATATTAAAAAGGTTGGTGGTAAAATATATCAACAAATGAAAAAAATTAAAATAATTTGACTTACACATTAAAACTAAATAAATAAATATACAAATACATTTTAACGTATAATTTCAGTGTAAATATACAATATAATATTGCATAGGTATTATTTTTTTTTGCATGTCTACGAATATATACACATGGGCATATTTTAATGTTTTTTTTAGTGCATTTAATTTCCAAATCTGGATTAGCCATAACTTAAAAATAAATTATAAGCTGAAATTCATATTATGTATGGATTATAAATATAATATATTTTTCTTTCAATAAATTTGTTTAATATTTTTATTTAAAATATATCATGGGCATTTTATATCATCATAATAATTATGTTTCAGTCAGTATGATTTCAAAGCGTCAAATGCATCAGTTTTAAATTTAATATAAAAATTTAAAATTAAGATATCTATAGGTAGGTAGCTAGGTAGGTAAGTAGGTAAATATGAATACTGGCAATATTATACCTACTTCTTATGACGAGTTATGTCAACACATATTAACTCTTGTCTTTAGATAGAAATTCAAATTTAATCGTATTTTTTTCGAAACGATAAAGGTTCTTTTTATTTATGTACAAAAAAGCTATTCAAAATAATTATTGACTATTGTATATAATCAAGATAAGGTATAGGTTTTTATAATTAAACTGTTTATAGTTTGTAATAAAATAATCCATAAATTCAAAAATAATGAATTAATTTTCCATGTTTCCTTAAATATAAGTTTTACTTAGTAATATTTAGACACATGGCAAAGGTATAATGCAATAATTCTACATATTATGATATGTATAATATTTTTGTGTTGCCTGGACATAGGTATACAACCAATGTATTTTATATTATTTACTGTGGAGTTTCTATTTTCAATTAGTTACTAATATTATAATTGTTTGTTTTATATACGGGCATATTATACACGAATGACATATTTTATTTACCTTATTACTTTATTACTTTGACCCTCTAAAAAAAAATAGTAATAATAATAAAAACCAATGGATAATAGACTGAGCGAATATTACTAACAAAACAATAATAATTGAACATTACAGTATAATACATAATATTATATTATATAGGTATCTACGTACAATATAAATTGTTCTCCTACCAAAGTACTAAACATTTTTTATTCTGTAGTTTGGATATATGCGGTACCGACACCAAAAACACAAGGACGTATAGTGTGAATACTCCCACGTTTCTAAAAAGTTTTGTTCATCGCTCGCAATAGCAATTCAAACGTCAACTGTAGCTCTAGCGTCAATTATATTAACACGGCATGCGATTTTAAAAGTGAGAGATATTGCATTGAGGCCATATAGTTACAATATCGTTGGTCGCAGACGAAGGACATAGCGATAGTAGTATAATATAGGTATTATATAACTATATACTTGTATCTAGTAGACTTCGTTTTTCTAAATTTACCATGTCCATCTTAGATAGGCATTGTAAAATATAGGTAAGAGATAGGCTATCTCTTACCCATATGAAACATTAATTTGTTTATAAATATAAGCGAATTTGAAAAAAAAAAAGAAAGAAAAATCGCAATAACAACTATGTATTAATTATTAATTGACTACCTAGTACTTGCAGCGTAATGCGGTATAATATGCTGTAGCTATGGTTTACAACCAGGGTTGTAAAAATTAAAACATATAGGTAGTTAAAAATAAAACATTGTTTAAAATATGTTTTTTATTAAGACGTTTAACACAAAAAAAATTATTAAAATTTGGAAATTTATAAAAATATTATTATTTGTAAAGCTTGTATTGGTAGTGATACAATATTTATAAACAATTTATCATGTGCAATGTAAAAGTACTAAAAACTTTTTTTTAGTAAGTAGGTACTTAGGTTGTTTACAGCGCCACAATAAACGGAGGTGAAATGCACCCTTGAGCTGCTGTTATGTCTCAACAACGAACCGAATGGTATTTAATACAATTAGTTAGTATATTATAAAGGCACGGTATTTGTTTAAGGGCTTTTTGGTTTTTTTTGATACGCATATATTTGGCTTGCGCTCCTATCACATAAAACTTTAATACATATAGGTAACTAGTCTTCATCAATTTTAGCAATAAATATAATCAAATATAATATAAATATTATCTAGACTCTCTTATTATAGTTACCAGTTTTATTATTCTGTGGTTTTAGTCTGTGGTTTGATTTCAATACCTACTGATCGTATCCTCAGGATCATAATTCAGATCACAGTTAAACAAAAATCGATCAGCTGATTGAGTGTCTATTATAATATATTGTTCGCTAGTTATCGTTCACACCACAACCAACTTTTTTCAATAAACAAATTGTTTTATTAGTATAAAATTGTAAAACTATGATATTATTTAATTACCATTATGATAACAATATTGTTATAGTTTTTATGTTTATGTTATCCTCCAGAAAATTCCGTAAAGTAATAAAAATGATAGGTATAAGAGTTATGTATATAAAATAGACCTACCTATTAACAGGTATTAAACTTAAAATGTGTATACTTTTCGTGATATATTATATCCTATATCTAACTCATCGACTGTTAATTTATGTTTTTTTATAGTTGTGGTATTTTTACAAAGTATATAATACATTTATTCTTTAATGTTTAATACAATAAAACAAAATTAGACATTAGACGAAAAAAAATTGCATATTTAAATGAATTTAAAAAAAATGTACCATGGAGAAATGTGTAGATACTCCACCGAAAATGGGCGGAAGAACATTATTGTTCTACATTCCCATGTTAGTTGATTGTCCATCGGATGCATTGAGGAGAAATCGGGTTGCTAACAAGATTTATACAACTTTCGAGGAACATCGAAATATTCGAAATACATCGGATTTCTCATTAGATCGATCGTCGTCAAGTCTAATGAAAAGCACATCGATCAACGCTGAAACCAAAATCTATATTATCAAAAACTGGAATTGGAATCAAAATTGATAATATTACATTGACCGGAACCGAAATTTTCAATTTTTTGTAAAGAACCGAACCGGAACCTAAAAAAAAAATCATAATGTTTCACGTGCGATAGTATAATATTATGATTCGTTGTTAAATTGGAAATGTGTGGAATTCGCGTTATTCGATTAACCGAACGGCACGCACCGTTAAAAATAAACGATTCTGACCAAGGATTACAAGAGAAAAAAATATTCTCTTCTTGTTTAACATAATTTAGGTATATAAAATATAATAATACGCGGAATGCGATGTATAAAATAGCGGCGTGTTTAATTAGGTCGGGTTACACAAAACGCACTTTATGAATAACAATATACCATAATACCACAATGTCGGTAATTCTATTATTATAATATTACATTCGAATATTATATAGGTATTACAATATTGTCTTACGAATACCTATATATACCTATAGGTATGTGTAGGTAGGTATAATAACCGACATTGGTATCGCGCGTTTAGCGGTATGATTATACTACTTACTTTAAAAATACGATAATTTATAGGGAAAAAAATAAAATAAAAATAAGACCACGCACTGAACGAAAACGCCCGAAAATATTATTATTATCACGTAGCGAATAACGGATTAAAGCGTCCGGTAGATCGATAGAACGCGTACTATTATAATATTAACTCGGTATAATAGGTATACAACTGCCATGCCGGTGTGTTGCATGGGTGAATTTTGAGGTCATCGTACACCGTGAACGCCAACACATGGTCCGCCGGCGACGCGACGGCCCGCGGTCCTGCGCTCCAGCGAAAGTGAAACTTTATTGACGTTTCGCCGGCCGCCGGCAGTGTGTACGCGAATACAACCGCGGCAAAATATACTCGTGTAGTAAACACGCGACATTCAAAGGGCCTTTTAAGCGCGGGCGTTAGTCTAACGCCGAAATGCAAACCGTCGAAACTGACGAACGGATAATAATATAGGTACCTATACTTAATGGGTATTATGATTGCGTTCGAAAACGTTGCGCAACGGCAATTTCGACGGGGATAATAAAAATGCAATATATTCGTCCGGACGTGTGTACCCGTAACGTGTAAAACGTATCATATAAAAGTGTTTTGTACAATAGTTTCGGCTCGGCAACAATGAGAAAAAAAAATTGTACATCCGGAGTTCCGTGAGTTGTATAATAGTCGTCCGTGTTGTTGTGATTGATAACAAAATATCCGCGGTATCTGCTCGCTGACGATTTATTAATTTTGTTACCTGATCTTTTCAGTAGGTAGGTATAACATAATAATTTCTCTCAATTGTTTTTTTTTTTCATCCGTATATTATATTAATATTGAGTACTTTTGGTACTATAAAATATAGATTAATGTAGTTGCATATTGTTGTTGGCCTTTTGAAAGCACTTATTAGTTAGTTTTACAATTGGCAATAATTCTACGATTCGGATATGTTTTTTTACCGAGTGGGTACCTATTATGTTGTTAAAATTTCAAAATAATCGAAACAGTGAAATCAATCATCATGTTCTAATATTTATAAATTACAAATTCTTAAATCATATAGGTACCAACTAATTTTAAACGATTATTATTAATTTATACAAGTACACTATAATCACTACATGTCGTACATAAACGACTAATTTAAAACAAAAACAATTATAATTATACAAACCAGGAAAAAACGATTAGAAAACGCGGTGGTTTAATTTTTTCTAAAAATACAAGTCATTTAAATAGGTAAGATTTATTATTTATTTATTTATTTATTATTTTCAAATCAAATAATGTACACCTATAATTTAAAAATGTGTATAGGTAGGTAAAATGAATGTAAATTGTTGTAATCGCTTAAATTTATTCGCAGTCCAAATCGCATAGAAAATAATTAGAAATCATTTTTTATACACGAATTTCATACTTTTGTTCGTTGAAATATAAATTGCATAAAACATTTCTGTATTCAATTTGAAAACATACACAATACAAATACGTGAGGAAATTCAATCTAAATCATATAAGTATTACTTTAATACTGTCGTGAACTGTAATATAACATGAATGTACAGTAAACAGATTGCAATAATTATAATTTATTGGTAATGTTTTTCTTGCGATCATCTGTGTTTGAATAATATTTGAGTTGAATTGGGAAAAAATTAGCACAGACATTTATTAAAAAAAAAAAAAAAAAAAAAAACATACGTTCCTGTTAGGATTTAATTGTTAACAGAAGGGTAACCACTCGAATTTGGATATTATTAAACTACCGATTTTAATTATTGTCCAAATAACAAACGAATGCGGGTAAGAACATCGATCAATCGCACCCCTCAATCGATTTTTGTTAACGCCGACGTCTCTGTGTGCGTTACGCGCAACAATATATTAGAAGGGGTACGGTGAAATATTTTTTAGAATAGAAGAATTAAATACCTGCCTACCTATCTGTATTTATTCCGAGCTCCCACCGATTCCAACCATCGAACTCGCAACGAAATACGTACCAAACTACGGCACAATAAAATATAAGGTATGTGCCGCCCGTGGTAGACGTATATGTATTTGACATTTTGTTGCCTTATTTCACGAGCGGATCGAGAGGGCAACACTGTGCGAAACATTTCATGCGGACCCGGCGTAGATACCTATATTTATACACACTTTGAACCGGTTCTCAATTGTCGGACCGGTGGCGGCGATCACTCGTTAGTAGTACTACACACCGTGGTCAGTGCGTACTGACGTCGTTTGTTTGCGTTTACGAAATATATCCATCATTTATTTTGTCTGAATAAACAATCGTGAATTGGTTAACGGAAACACTCCGTGTTGATACCATTATTATTATTACTTATTATTTTAGTGATGTGCTGAAAGGTCGATCGTAATAGTTATCGGTTCCGATAACATGGATAGGCTCAAGAGGCCCTTTTCCTTGTTTAAATCGGCCAAAAAAGACGAACCGTCTCAAGATAGCGTAGCTTCCGAAAAATCGTTCCGGGATAAAGTAGATTTTTTCGAAAAGTCGATAGATTCCGAAGATAGACGGGATAATGGTAAAACTTCAAAATAATAATTATATATTTATATCTACCTATAGATGTTTTATTTTTTTTTTTAAACGGCTGTGATCAAAAAAGTGTAAAATTTTGCGAACATTAAATAAACCAAATATTAGCTACTATAAATATCAGCTATTTCCTACTATTTTAATAATATTATTATAAAATAATATCGTAAGGTTATAACCTACCAAGGTTACCTTATATTATGTTTTTAATATTTGTAGGGCAATAATGGAAATAAACAACATAACAGCCTAGTGATAACACACGGTTCGTAAAAATGATATAGGTAGGAAAATATAGGTAGATAAATAGATAAAGTTTGATTCGATTAATTACAATAGATATTTTGTAAAATTAAAATTTACTCGAATTATTAAAAACAAATAATGATTTAAATAATGTATATACCTATTTAAAATGAAAAACCGATTTGTAAAAAATCTATACCTAAATTCACTATTGTTACACGAGTGATACGAGTTTATATTAGATTAGGTATGACCAACGAGAGCAATTTCTTTACGACAACCATATGGTTTTTTAGTTTTTTTAATTTTTCCGAGAAATAATTTCAGAACGTCGCGGAATAGGAACAGAATATAGACGGCATGCAACTCTAATCTATAGTTTAGATATTATGTTTCTCGCATGACAGATGGCAAAGCACATGGTACATTAAAGAGGTATTATTTTGTTTTTCATGCAATTTTGAACGATACAGTGAAAAAAAAACTAGTGTTCTAAAAACTACAGTCATTTAAATGCGACCACTTTTGTTTTTTGAAATCGCTAGAACCGAGCCGTTATAACATTGCTTTCAAGTTTTAGATCCAAAATCCAATGTTAAATATATGAATATTAGATTTTCAATATCTATAATCAAACACAGGCTCGTTGGTATTCAGGTTGGTCGGGGAGCAAGTGCACCATTTTCGAGTACATTTAGAGGACGTTATACCAGCATGTGCTGTCTCTGTCTTCAAACCGCGTGACATTGCAAATTTTCGTTCAGCAGGGACAACTCTGCGCTGTTAGTTTTAATATTAGAGTGAATTAACCGCTATTTTAAACTTAAAGATAAGAATATTACTTATGTCACGTCGTCGTGTTTTTTTCGTAGTTTTAATTTTTGAGTGAGTATGAGTGCGTGAAATATCACGCTTTAAAAATGCTTATATATCGCTTAGAAATTAAAATAAGAAGAAAAAATACCGACGATAACCCGACACATATAATGTTCTTATCTTTAAGTTTGACAATAGGTCAATTCACTCTAATATTAAAACTAACAGCACAGAGAAAGTGTTATGCCTGCTGAACGAAAATTTGCTATGTCGCGTGATTTTAAAACGGAGACAGCACAATATGCTGGTATAACGTCCTCTTAAGGGGACGAACAATTTATATGAACGCTACATTATTATTACATATTTGATATTACTAACAATCAGTAATATTATATAATTGTACCAGACAAAATCTTATCTTTTATGCCATTTTATAGAATATTTTTATGTAGTTTTTCAGTATGACTTTCAAAATAAAAAAAGCATACATTTTTTTATATTTCAAGATTCAGTCTAAAATATTTATTTAAAAAAAAAAAAAAATGAAAAATGATCATAGGTATTAAATTTATTTTGTTCCCAAAATAATACACGTAGGTATCTTAAATTTCGAAATAAAACTTTTGTTTTAGAGGTGAAGCACTTAAAATTTAAGTACATGTTTAATATGCCCTGTGCATAAAACGTATAAATTCCGGTCAGTGTTTGGATTTTGATAATTTCGGTTTCTGACTAGTATTTAAACTGTTACTTGTATTTGTATCGGTTAGTTCTTCAGTATTTATCTTATTCCATTTTCAATAGTAGGGAAACTCTCTCTATTTTTGAAATATTTTCAGCATACTCATAAATTAATAAATGTTGTTCTGTTACAAGCAAATAGGTATATATTTCCCAAAGAACCTATTTTCATTAAAAATGCGGATCAAATAATTATTTCACATAAGTAGGTATCTAACCATAATATTTACGATAATTAATAATGACATCAAAACAATCAAAATTTCAATAACTGAAATGAGTTCATAGATACAATGTTCATTGTATCTATTAAATCTATGTATACATATTATATAATAACATGTCCTGATTGAGTAACTGACTGATTCATTATCGCCTAGCCCAAACTACTGAACGGATCAGGCTGAAATTTGGCATAAAGACAGCTATTAAGAAATAGATATCCGCTAAGAAAGGATTTTTGAAAATTACTTTTCTTAGGGGAGTCGAATAGGAGTTTTTAGGTATTTTTGGTATGAATATCTAATTGTTTATTCATGGGTTACCTTGGTGACAGATGAAAATTTGGTTGTCACGGACAAGAAAACTATTATTAGTATTATTATTTACACTATTATCTAGCAATAGCAAAGAATTCCCGGGTCAGCTAGTATGATATATTTACATTTTTTTGTTTGTTTTTTTTTATTTAAGTATTATACAATCTGTAAAATAATATTTACAATAAGATAGTTAGTTAGCTAATAAGTCCCGACACCACGTTCGCTTTAAACGCCTTCTGGGGTTGAGTGAGTGTATAATTCAGCTATTAGTGGATTCCTACTGGAGATCCTGTTTGTGGGTACTGAAATGGAGACGTTTGTAGAAGGTTTTGGCTGTTTATAACTATTTGTATATGAAGGTCTTTATATCGTTGGAGACATAGTATGGAGCTTTGTTATTTATTCTTTTTTGGTATATTTATATGAGTAGGTAATAGATACGCTGTAAATTATTATTTAAAAAAAAAAATAAATATATTATTGTGTGTATAGGTCACTAAGTCAATTGGATTAGATAATATTTTACGTGTGTTCTTAAATGATAAAAATTATAATCTTAAATATTAAAGCGTTAAAATATTTTATTGCAATTAAACCATTAACCATTTAAGTACCTAATATTATAAAGGATAGGTACTTAAATATACTTAGAATACTCAGGTAATTATTTAAATAGGAGCTGTAGATTAGGTTTTTTCAAAACCCATCGGCTAAATCTTTTGGATTTAGTGAAAATAAATTGATCAGTTTTGAATACTGTAAATTATTATTTTGTATTCATAAGATATTTTTAATTTGTTTTATTATAATTTATAATGTATATGTAGGTATTATATAATATTATTGGTTATTTTTTTTCGAGATTTGTATCTGCTTAGATGTTTCATTTCGATAATAATATAAATACCCTGTCATTACTATTTATGTGTAATAAAATTGATCTCGTATACTAAATATTTACTATTTAGGCAGCCTACGTGGTGGGCTAATTAAAGTTGTGATATTATCACAACTTTATTTAGCGGACTAATTTGCGGACCTACCTATATAATATAATATATTATATAAAATAATTATAAGTACAAAATTCTATATTTCATTTAGTGAACATTATTTTTACCTTAGGTAGTTAATTAATGTTTATCTAACATTGAAAAACATAATGTAAATGTCTACTTAAATTATATTATTATAAAAAATGTATACTTATTCAATGAAAATATTAATGCTAGATAGGTAGGTAGATAAAATTTATTTTATTCAGTTACACACATAAATAATATTATCATTATAAATGTATAATCTATATATACTAAGCATATAGGTAGTATTTTTTTTTTTTTTGATAACTTTTAGTGGTTAAATATTAATTTTAAGTTCTATAAAGATTTTATCGTGGTAAAAATATAATGGTTCGATTTTTAAAATACTCAGAAAATGTCATCAATGATAATTCTCCGATATTCTTACTTATTATATTTTAATAATCCACTATAATTATTACATTAGAAAACACTTCATATACTTTACATTTATAAAATATGTATTATAATATTTTTATTATTAATAATGACTTATAATCAATCACGTGATAACATTTAGGTACGTTACACATTTTATCGACCTAGTAAATCCATTTTTGAAAAGTAAGTACCTTCACCTATTTCATATTTGTAATCAAACATTTATATAGATTGTCGAAAAAAAAAATGATGATTAATTACATAATGATTATATTATATTATATATCTCTAATAATAATTTTCTTCTTTTCTCAGTTAATATTTGAAATATTTCACTATATTATTGTTATTTATGCAATCTTCCATTCGCTTATTTGTAAATAACTTCTCACGGGAGTACGTAGAATAATATAATATTTGCAATATTGCATTTCAATCACACTATAGTTCTAATAATTTTCAAGTATGTGTTGTGCTAAAATTATATTTAAACGAATTTTGAATTGTAGGTCAAATACTTTCAGCTAGACAAAATTTTTTTTATAATCAATAATAATTAACATACATTTGATATTTTTTATAATAATTAATATTATTTAAAAATTTGTCTACGTGAATATAATAATAACTATTATAATCTCGTAAGTAAACACCTTTTTGGTAATAATATGCGCTACCTATAACTAAATACCGATTTGGAAAATTACAGTACGTGCTGTTTTGCAAAAACAAAACCCATTATTATCGACGCATAAATTTGTATGTATAACGGCTTATGAAACCGGTTTAAATGTTTTCTTCTTTTTATGGCTCGAAGATAAATAAAATAAAATGGTATTTTTTTAAATTTGCTCGGTGCGGTCGTTTAATTTGGACGCCTACGAATCAGTTCCCGAGCGTTTATCGGATTGTTCTCCCAAATCGATTTTCGGATATTTTTTCGATAACAGTGCACGGGGAAAGTTTACTGACTTTTTAAAAATAAAAAGGTAGCAAATAATCTGGTTAAGTTAAATATTGTTTGGTTACCGACATTATATATACATATTATATTTTATGTCTGGTTTCCTTATTTGGTTTTGGATATACGTTAAAAAAAAAAAAAAAACATGGACTTAACAATAGGAAGGAAATGTTTACATGGTGACAGACATAACCGTTATTATTATTTCATTTCGCATTTGGTAACCTTTCTATAACATCATTTAGATACTACATTTTCAAAATATAGAATATAAAGTATATGATAAATGTACAAGATAAATAAAAATTAAACACTTTCTGTACATGGACTGTATATTTTAATAATATAATATAATATAGAAAATATCTATTCGATTAACTAATCAGTTTTTTGGTATGTACGCGTAACCATGACCGAATGTATCGGCAATATATGGTACAATTTTTTATTTCGACTGACATTTTTAAAAAAAACTTAATTACCCGTACCTTAAACTGATTATAGTAAAAGAGAGAAGAGATACTGAGACGTGCTGGCTAGCATAAAAATTCCGTTAAATCTTTCGCAAAGATCAAATAAGCTCGGGCTATAGAAATAGAATGTCTTATACATTCAGGAATTGGGAGACGTCTCTTCTCAAGCAGATCGATTGAATTACCAATCTAATGAAACGCCAGAGTAGTCATCATAGAGATGACATCAATAACAAGCCCAATATTTGGCTTAAGTCCCTTTTTTTGACCAAAATAATCATTAAAACTACTGATTCGACTTGTCGATTGACATGCGGTTGTGTTTTCAGACAATACGTATGATGAAATTTCTATTGAAATATACATATGAATTTATGATAATCAAAAAAAAAAATACTATGTGGGCACACATCCTTGCTCTTTAGCACTTACAGGGGTATGGCCGTATGGATAGAAACGAGCCGGAGACGTGTAAAATTGAATTTTTTAAAAAAAGTAAATTATATCGATAATCTATCTTAAAATCAATGGCATAATTAAATTTGTGCAATGTGCAACAAAGTGGATGGGAATAACTAATATTTGAATAAGTATATTATGAAAATAACAAGGCAATTTGAAATTAAATCATTACAATACGGAATCAATAGATATTTTCACAAAACTCAAGTGTTGAAAAATCATTTGCAGACTTTGCCAATTTATGTACATTTTGTGACCAACGAAAACTAACGTACTCGTATATCCCATATTTACCCACCATTAATTTATACTTTATAGATTACCTGTAGTTATTATTTACTTTATCTGTATATTTATTATCCTATTTTACCTTATTATTGTCACACACGAGTGAATCACTATTGAATTAAATTATCATTAGTACAAATACGCGGAACAGGATATAAAAACTGGGCGTTAGACCCTCCTTTTGCTGACCTCAGTGCTAACCTACGAGTTTAATTATTTTTGATTTGATTGAGACGCTTTTCCAAAATGTAAGATCGTATAAAGTGTACAAATGGTGTTTTCTGAAATATATTAAACACAATATTATTATTTTATACATTTTAATATTATAAATTTCAAAGAAATCCCTAATAATATTGTAACAACAATTATTGGCAATAAATATTATCATATATTCTTATATCTCTGATAATGACCTATATAAATCGTTAATTATTATTATATTATTATACACGTTCTTTAACATAGTAATATGAACGAATCAACCGAATATACTATATCGAGTACATAAACACTTATTCTTTTGACAATTATTTGATTGTTGATTTTGTAAAAGCGTATACTTTTGATTATATACTATCGAAATATCTTTTATACAAAAATACGCCCGACAGCGACGATAAAACGAGGTGACTGCTACATAATCGTAGCACCTAACGGTCAATTTATGTATAAAAAGAAAAACTAGAAAGCCAGTACATATTATTATTGTGATTGTTTTATACATCCTTGCAACGTTTTTCCAGTACATGATACTATACTCATATAGATAGACCAGTGTTGTTGGCTAGGAAGGTATAGGATATATATTTTATATGATAATTTAATTTATATCAGTAACTTAACAACAAAATAAATTATAATTGTCAGTATTTCGAATATTTTAATTGTGTCGAAAAAATTATATCCACATAAATAAAAAACATGGACATTAATAGAAATAAAATAAGTTATAAATATTATAATAACTCATTCCTAAACGATTTTAGAATTAAAAAAACATGTTTTTATGAAAATTTAAAGAAGACAACATTCTACAATACATACTTATTCTCAAAACTTAGATAATTTCCCCTTCGATATGCATCTACTAGAAATAGATAATAATATACTGTTATTTCGAAATTTTAAACGAGTTTAATTATAAAATAATAATAATAAACGAGATTATCGACAAATATTCACGTAATTCTCTCGAAAATTTAATCTACTTTCCTTTTTATAATATATGTTATTATTCTATAGTTACTGCGTTATCCAGTGTAGTTAATAGTTACCAATTATTGTTAGGTACTCAGTTACTTCGAATCGAACATATTTTTCGTGCCTACCGAAAAACGCTTGTGTAACATCCTCTTAACATATTTTATTTTAATTATACCATTAATTGGTTTTCCACAATACATTTCCAATAACCCATTTATAAACTATTAAAAATATTTTTTTTATACTTGCGAAATTGACATCTTAAATATAATGTAAATATTTGTTTTTGATAAGTAGGTATATTATTATGTAGTTGTTTATCACTTTTATATTAACCTGTTTATTTAATTTTAAGACTCATTTTTCACACGCTCAATAGTATACCATATTATTATAGTTCAATTAGATAAACTTAAATAATATGACACAATAGGTATTGTTTAAAAAAGAAAAAAAGAAATTGAATGTTATTGACCCATTTTTTGAGAGTTTGGTTAGAGAATAGGTTTTCATGCGCAAATTATTCGGGATAAAAAATATATAGACGGTTAATAAAATGGGCCACTTAGTGGTTGTGTGTTCGTTATAATACTAGAAAGTTAAACTAATGTAAAACAGTGAAAGGCAGGGTATCGGGCGATCATCTTGTTTCGCTCATTTTGAAGTATATCATGGTAATATATTATTTTTAATTTGAACGCTACACTATTATTGAATATCAAAAATGATTCCTAACAGAATTCAACAATTATTTTTAAATGCGGATTTTTGATTATTTTCATGCCTATTACACAAATGATTAAAGTAAAATTTTTATCAAGTGCCACCAATATTCTGTTTAATTTCCTATTTACATATATCGTTGTGTATTTATGATAAATATTTATTGTAGACAGTTCCTATTTATAAAAAATACAAATATAAGTATTAAACTAATAGCTCTCATATTCTGTTGAGATTTAAAGTGGATAATATGTTTTAAACAATATAGTATAATGAACATTATAGTATTAGAAATTTGGATTAATGTCAAACTTAAGTAATTATTTTGAATCCCAATTTCAGCGTACATAATATGTTTAATCATTTAAATTTTTTTCAATTACATATTTTACCTTATGAAAAAAATTCTTTACAGTTTTAAGAATGGAAAGACAATTATTGTATAAAAGAAAATAATATAATTAACTGCAAATTCGGAAAAACTGGTACTTATTTTATTTCTACGTGTTCAATTTGTATTTGTTTTAAAAATATTTAGGTTTTGTAAAAATGATATTTTTTGGCAAATTTCAAAATCCACTAAAAATATTTTAATAAGCAATTTTATAGGTATATATGATAAGATTAGTTTATACATGGAAATAAAAATGAAATAATTTTTTAAATAGCAAATATATATTTATAGATTTTAATCATAACTTACCTTAAATGATTAACTATAACATTATGAAAGAGGTACCATCATAATAATGTTTTTTATTTATCATCCTGTACGTAACCATATAGTATAATAATGTAGGTCATATTATTATGAGGCGTTTAGTATAGGCAATTTATATTTTGATTTGCATTATGAAATAGTACTTTTATTATACATTAGTATTAAAAATACAATTCAAAATATTGTTATATATGTCGTAGGCCATATGGAAAATTAGTTTTTTTGCGAAAAGACTAGTCTCTTTGCAATGGGGTAACCCGTTTACGAACTACTTTTATTTTTCTAAACGGCCTGCTGTTTTTCAGGTTATTGCTTACAGACTAACAGTAGTTAGGTCTTTTAAGAACTGCAATCATTAGAATATAGTAACAACCATTTTACTTATTTTATTTTATGGGTAATTTATTACTTTTATAAAAAAATAAGACATAAAATTATTATAAAATAATAATACAATTATATTACATGTAAAACTGAATAAGTATATATTATTATATAGTATTATATTTTTGTAAAATAAAACTAGTAATACAATAGTTAAAAACTTTAAAATAATCTAAACTACACTGATACTCACCATTGATACAGTTTATAAAATAAATATAATACCTACTGTATAATAAGTACCATATTTAATCAGACTATTCAGTTTACATGTTATAATAATTCTATTGATCTTTTTTTTTGTAGAAATAATAAATTATCCTAAAAATGAAATAAGTAAAATAACTATTACTATATTTTAATGATTGTACTTCTTAAAAGGCCTAACTGCTGTTAGTCTACATGCAATAAACCTGAAAAACAGTAAACCGTTTGGACAAATAATAAGTAGTTCACAAACGGGTTACCTCATTGCAAAGAGTCTTGTCTTTTCGCAAAAAGACTAATTTTACATATGGCCTACGACATACACAAGTAATACCTATATATACATTATAATATTCCAATTAAACACGGAAATATAATCACAAAAATATAATACTATTATTATATTAGACATATTAATGTTAAAATGTAAACATTTAAAACAAGTTTTATAAATTACTGTCTACGAAAAATAATGTATTTCATCATAATAACTACTTATATTATACTCAATGTATTATTTAATGTTTGCAAATAAATTATACTAAATACGATCACAGTCGTAGAAGTCATAGAAGTTAATAATATTATCATTAAATATAATACATTTTCACTAAACAGCGATTAGCAGCGCAGGGGGATTGGTTGATGGGTCGGGTGATGAAACTTTTGAGGAAGTGCTTGAAGAACGTGACGTATACACAAAAGATGGTCGGAAAAAAGGAAAAATGGTTATCGTTAATAAAGTTACGGTACACAGGAGTGTGAAAACTGTTACTAGCCCTGAACTAAGTCCTATGGTCAAACATTCAATATCGTTTGATCGAGAAAATCCAATGAGCATATCCTCGTCTAGAGAGAGTCTTTCATCGCCAAATACTTGGAGGAAGTTATTCGTCGGTACCCGGTCACAATTTGACTTGCACATTGAAGAAATAAAAAGTAAGCGATATAAAATATTATGTTTAAAAATCTAAACAGATAATTGTCTAAACGTATTCTGTTATGTAATATTATAAAAAACGCAATCATTCAATTTGTGTCAATCATTTTTTAGACTTTATACACTTTCTATTAAAATGACGATCTTGAAATGTCAACTTTGATATATATATCTTATATTGTTTTTTTTTTTATAAAATAAGAGTTTTAAAAAGTTTGCTTAATTTTTCTATGGCTTAAAATGTTGAATGAAACGATAATTTATTGGAGGTTTTTTTTTTCGCGAAAGTAGGTAAACACCATTATAATAATAAATTGATACATTTATTACCAATAACCATTATATATTTAGGGGACGACATTCAGCACTGCGTTCAACATTAAATACTGAATTAAGTACATCATTCTCCCCTCATACAGCTAGTATAAACCATATCTATCCATGCTAATATTTTTTAACCTTTGTGTAAATTAATACTATCATTAGTATATTCTCAGTATTTTTTTAAACGATAAGTGTATTAAATATGTACTTTTATTAACTATGTAAAATATTATAATTTATAAATTATTATATATTGTACTCATAAATTATAAAATTAAAAATGAAGTTTTTGACGTTACGGCCAAAACGCTGCGGACCTAAAAAAAATAAAAATCTATTTGTGGGTCGTGGTTCGTGACCCATAACTCGGGAACCGTTGATTTATGTTATATTTTTAATAGCGTTATCGTCATTTACAATAGAAAAATCCCATGTTTGCATAGATACCTATAATATGTGTTTGTGTGTTTATTTTTTAATTAATCAGCCATAGCAATAATACGTCGTTACGTTTTAGATTTTTTGTTTTCTTTGGATATGCATTTGTTTCACGGTTGATATGATGTATAGAACTATACACGCAGGAATATTATGCAAACTCAATATTTGTATAATATACACATTTGGTCTTTAGCATAGAAAGTTTTTTGACTTTTGATGTTACCTACAGCGTGCCTATGATATAAAACTTAGGTTCCTATGTATAGTTTTACACTTATTATTCACAAATCATAGGTATACAAATCTACAGCTTATTTTTATTTTGATACGATTGCTCTACATATTAGTATTATATAATCCTTAAAAAGAACAAATAAAAACTAGAATATTTGGCTATTTCCCAAAAAATAATTTTTTTTTTCAGATTCATTAAATGATGTTATCATAGTAGCACTGGTCTATAAATGTACATGATTTATTTATTCTGCACGCTTTTAACTATACTATATTACCAGTTAAAGTTAAAATTACTCGTTTATGGAAATTAAAAATATTGTACTACCTATTCTTTAATTTCGAGTCTCTCTTTCCGATAAATAAACTACCATTGTAATAATGGTCCGTCCGTCCGTCGTAAAACAAGCGATGTAACAGTTTATTTCTATAGAGGTTAAAATTAAAATAGCATCGAATAAGTCTAATCAGTTTCAGTAGATTTTAAGAAAGTATATTGTGCATTTTACGTCTTATTTATAGCCGCTAATAAATCCCCGGATGAAGTAGGCTAGTCAAATTATTCTACTAGTGCTTTCGGCCAAAATAAATAAAATCGATTAGAAAAAAAATTTATTCAATAATGGCAAAGTGTAAATTATTTTAAAAATCATTGTTGCCGTTAAAAAGGTATTAATTACATTATTTTTTCAAAAGAAACCCGCGTAATAATTATTTTAAACATATTAGGTATATGTATAGTTATGTTTTATTTTTAAAATAACATTTTGCAATGTCATTTATGAATTTAGCTAGTATATGTATATGAATACAATTTAGTTTTATATGACAAAAATAAATATATATATATATATATATATTAGATTATATTTCATTTTGGTACTGATATTTTTAATATATATAGTTTTACAATTTTATTATAATTAAGTTATTAAAATATAATATTATGAACCATAGGTACCTACCTCAATTCGTGGTACCTATTATCAAATTAATTAAAACTATTTAAAACAGTTTTTTTTTTTTTTATAAACGCAGTTTTCTATAAACCTAAAATTATTTCATTGTCTAATTTTATTTAACTAAAAGCTATTACAAAGATTTGAAGTCACGCGACGTGAAAACTGTGTTATTTTACTTGTAAAATTTACTTTATAGTCCATCCACTCAATAATAGGTACCTATGGGTAAAATATACTCAAACTTTTGTCTATAGTGTAAGTTACCTTGTAATTATAACGTAATCAAAAAAAAGTTTTGTTATCACGATATATTTATTGAAAAATTAGGTTAGGTTAAGTTAAAACGATCAAACCTAACAGTATAATATTTTTAGACAGGCATATAATAAAGGTCTGGTCCTTATTATCAGACATTTGTATTTGTAAATTACACGTCAGAAAATTTTAAAACTATAAATATTATACAAATCAAATACAACAATTACATTTAAAGCAGTTTATTATCATTAATTATTTGCTCATTTTACGAGCGGGAATCCAAAATTTAATACAATATTTGATACTTACATAATATTATTAATTTAAGTATAAGTATTAAGTATAAATTCATATTAGCCAGTATTAAAAAAATAGGTATTAGGTATAGTTACCAAAACATACAGTACATACTTATAAGAACGCTCTGTCAATTTTTGACATATAACGATTTTTAAATTATTTAGGTTTTTATACAAATACATCTACTTACGCATAATATACTAAATTATCAAATTCTTTCAAAATTATGTATAGAAATATAGTTTATTGCTTTAAATATGATTAGAAACCGAGAACTATGCACGCTCGCAGAAAAATCGCGTTCCAAAGTTCTATGTTTCCATAGTAACAAATAATACAAAATTGTTAAGTACAACATAAACTATATAATAAATGATACAAATGTCATATAATGAAACTATGTGATAAAATATATTGTTTTATATTATTATGTATAATATATAAATCACTATAGTTGCAGAAAGGGAGCATGTTCAATTTCTGGAGAAATTGAGTTTATTACCTGGTTTGTATATACCTACCTTGAATACATAATTTTGTAAAAATATAACTAGTTCATTAAACCGTTATGAATATCTCAATACATTACTGTGATAACGTGGTTTTTATATAGAGTAACTCTATGGGTTTTTGATTAGATCTTATCATTATCAACCTGCAATAGTTTTTCATCCCGTTATTGATTTAATCTACTTCTGAGTCTGTTGTAAAAATAATATTCAATCTTTTTTATTTTAAAATACTTTTGAATTATAAAAAAAAAAAAAAAATATTTTGTCAATCAAGCTACCCAAGAAGGAGCTATACACACAAAATATCCCCACAATAAATTAAAAAATGAATTATTTGGAATGTCTGAATCCCTACATTCTAAAAGATTCTGTTTCCAGATTTTGGGAAACAATTTACGAGTAGCCAACTCGTTCGCAACTTAAATAATAAACTTTAATATTAAATAATTAACTAAATAATAATTATCTAAAATGGCAGCAAATGGTGCGTTGATGTTAATTTTTAAAAATATCGAGTTGATTTATTTTTAAAAAGGTTTGTAAAAATTCTAGCCTAGACAGGTTTTTATGCCATTCTGGAAAATTCAGTTTTAAGAATAGGTATGTTCCCTTTCTGAAATTAGTGATTCATATATTCTCTTACAATGCTATACAGAAGAGGAGGTTGTGCATAACGTTGAAATGAGGGAAGACAAATTGAGAAATTGAAGCATATTTAATATGATTAAATCGTCTATTAAACCCAAACACATATCCATGATTCTATATTTGTCCGAACAATGGGTAATGTTTTTTTTTGTTTTCATAGAAATTGTTTTACAGCAATTCACCATTCTTCGATGTTACTTACTTTTTTATTAATTTCTTTATATGAAATAAATATATTTTGATATATCCATCACATGTCCAACCCATTTGTTTTTTTTTTCTTAATTCTTTTCATAAAATTGTCCATAAAACTCTTCCCATAAATGAGTCGTTGATATATTGATAACTTAATTTGTGATGGCTTACAGGTGTCCTACAATGTTATTATTATGCTAATAATTCTGTCAATATTCATTTTTTTTTTCATACGGGTTTTGTTCGAGAAGGGTAAATGTAGAGAAAAATTAAATTTTTATTTTCATCTCTTTTAAAATAGTCATATTATAAAAGATAATTTTCTTCAAATTTAAATATAACATATATTCATATCCGATCAATATTTTCTTTGTAGTAGCTGTTTTGATTTTAGAAAATAGATGTGAAAACAATTAATATGCAAAAAAAAAAAATGAATATGTATAGAGTTATTAGTATTAGAATAATACTGTATGACACTCTGTATAATCTACGTCATTAGCAGGGGAAGGGGTGCCTTTCAAAATGCATCTAAGTGACACACTGATGACAATCTTATAATTATAAATCAAGGTAATTCAGGTACAATCTTAGGTATTTAGTTATTCACATTGATAAAGATCAATGTGTAAAATAAAATAATATTATTAATTGTTTTTAATACCTATTCAATTAATTTACTTACGCATTTACATAGCACATCGCATATCTACAAATTTACAATTGTGTTTTTAATTAACCTACTTCTAAAATTATTAAATGATATAAATGCACGTAATTTTTTTAAGATTTAATTTTAACACAATCATTGAAAAGATTTAAACTCCAATTTATGTTATTATGTATTATATTAAATCTATATTATTATATTTATTAGCCATTGTTATATTATAAAATAAATATTCGTTATTATATGGCAGTGCCAAATGGTCGACCGCGATCGATCAGTAGATCGCAGATGATTTAAATGTCGATCTCCACTTTGTTAGAATTTATTTTTATGTAATTTGTAGGTAAATAATAATAATTGCTGATCTTTTTTATATTAATATATTATCTTTATTTTGGTGTAAATTTATCAAATAATACTTATAATTCAACAGAGTTTATTCTGGCGATTGTATTTACAGTAATATTACCTATATTAATGTTAATACTAGTCCGATGAAAAACATTATATAACTATAAATTTTAGTTTTATTATTTTGTATATGCATGTTTATTATTAATACCTATTAGATAATTTATAATCATACATTTTTGTTAGGAAGTCGATCCTCAAAAGAAAAATACATTTTTAGTAGATCTTTACCAAAAAAAAGTTTGGCCACCCCTGTTATACGGCATACGCTATGGTAAAAATATAATATAATAATAATTAATTATAAGTACCTATTACTCACCTGAATTTTTTTGTTGGTACCTAATATTACAAAGATAGTTCTAGATAAAAATAAATAAAAGTAGGTACAAAGTTAAAATATATTAAATATTAAATCATAAATATAGGTATAAGTAAAAATGTGTATAAAACATGCATTTAAATGTATTTTTAATCTTATAAAATTGTACGTGAATATAATTATATATTATTTACACCTACGTCAAAAAACCGTGTTGAAAAATATATAAATTTGATTGGCTTTTTAATGTTTTTATACATACAATGCAAAATATAACTAATATTTGTCCTTAGAATTTAATACTCTGTGAAAATCGATCAATTCATTGAATAAATAAACGATAAAACTAGAATTAATTACCTATTAATAATGGCAGCTTAACAAATTATGTTGTATTGTTTATATTTTGAACAAGTTTTATTATTTACAATATGCATCAAGCTTGAATGTACGTTGTTTAAGATTTTATGTTTTTTTTTATTTTCGTATTATTTGTTTCTAAAGACTAAAATTATCTGTTTGTTTATAGCTAGCAATCTATAACAACTTTTCTATCAGAACTATTTCTCCTTCTTATCATCAACTTTAAGGGTGGTCATTTTCTTTATAGTTATTTTAATATGTAGTTGAGAAAATCCAGGAAAAACGTTAAAAAAATTAAACAATTTATGCAATAATGTTTTCTGTTATTCGATCTACTGATAGCCATTTGAAAATATCGAGTTTTTTTTAGTTTTATGTGGATAAAATTGTTTAAGTCCAGTAAAAATACTAATAAATACAACACAAGGTGGGCCATAAGTAGTACGTGTTAATAAATATTGTTTTAAACTATTATTATTATTATTTTTTTTTTTTTAAAAAACCTTCAAGTTTGTATGAAAACTGTAAAAACCGCGGCATTTAAAAATAATGTTTAGCTGAAATTTGCTCAGAATCGTATTTTTTATTTATCGTTGCTTACAAATTTAAATTAAATTACTCTATAATATATCTCAACTTCCCAACTTGTGTTTTGCTTTTTTTTTGAGTTGTAAAAAATGAAACTGTAGTGCGGTATTCCTAAGCCGTTTAATAATAGTATCGATTAAACATTATGTCCCTTATTGCATTATTATTATGTCAGTTTGTATATACCAGCACGGTGACAACCTAAAATAAAAACGAGTGATCTATTATCCTATATATAATTTATGTTTTTGGAGCAATATTATAAATTGCAATTGTACACGGAATCTTTGAGTTTACTATTATTTTAAAAAAAATAAAATAAAACAGCCCTAAGGCGCATGTAAGTAACTAATATAGTGTTGGTATGTTTCATATTGTAGACGAACAAGAGAGAGTGCAGAAGAAGACTTTTGTTAACTGGATAAACTCGTATTTGTGTCAAGTAACGTATTTTTACTAAATATCGTAAATATTATTAGGTATATTACCTAGTTTATCATATTGTGTTTATTGTGTTATCGTAGAGAATACCGCCACTAAAAATAGAAGACTTGATTGAAGATCTTAAAGATGGTACTAGGCTTCTTGCATTACTGGAAGTTTTATCAGGAGAAAATTTGGTAACTAATTATAGTTTATAATTGTAATGTATCTTTTAAAATACCTGTGCCTAATTTAAAGATTCATATGATACATACCTATTATATTTTAAGGCTATTGAACGCGGTCGTAACATGAGGAGACCTCATTTTTTGAGTAATGTTAATACTGCAATACAATTTTTACAAAGCAAACGGGTAAGTTATAATTTTATGATTGGGTACTAAACTATTTTAATATGTACGAAATATGATGTTTATTTATGTATTCTATATTTTTAATTTAGATCAAATTAGTAAATATAAATTCTGCCGATATCGTGGATGGACGACCTCCTATTGTTTTAGGGCTCATCTGGACTATAATTTTATATTTTCAAGTAAGTATCTAACTAAAAAAATGTTATTTAAACATTATTTATTTTAAATTTAAAGTACCTAATATATTATTAAACAATTTAACTCTAAGCTTCGTAAAACTGGAATTACTGTTACTAATGATGTGAGTATAAATGCACTTTTTGAACTCTATTACGATTATTTAAGAACAACTCTATAATGAATAATGTAATAATAATGGTACATACTTATATATTATATGATTAATTGTACCTAATTAAACTTTTCTGTTATTATTCAACAGATTGAAGAGAATACAAAAGGACTCTCATCATTAAACTACTCTTTTAGTGGAAGTACTAGTAGCTTAGAAAGCATTCGATCGCCTACAATGGAAATTAACCGCAAAGCTGATGGGGCTAAAAAAACTTTGTTGAAATGGGTCGGCAATGTGATACCCAAGTATGCATCTATTGGATAATATTTTATTAAATTATTATATTAAGTTAATAATATTATTTTAACTTAGGGAAAGTAATATAAAAGTTAAAGATTTTGGACCAAGTTGGAGAGATGGTATAGCTTTCCTCACTATCATAGATACTATACAAACTAATTTAGTTGACATAAGAACTTTGAGAAATGAAACTAACCGTACTAGATTAGAAACTGCATTTAACGTTGCTGAAAACAATTTAGGAATCACTCGCTTGTTGGATCCTGAAGTATGTTTTAAATGAAATGGTTATTAATTTGTCTTAAATTAAAATTGTTGTTTTAATTATTTTAAATGTATTTTTAGGATGTTGATGTAGATCGACCAGATGAAAGATCTGTTATGACTTATGTAGCGCAATTTGTTCATAAATATCCTGAAATTCGGAGTGATGGTGGAGAATCAATTGATAAAATACAAAAAGATTATAATCTACTTTTAGCGTGGTTATCAGAAAAAACACAATTTTTATCTTGGCCACAGAATTTATCTCAAGATTTTTCGGTTAAAATAATAAATGTTTATTATAAAACAGTTATTTATTAGGAATTATTTTTAGGAATTTTCAAAAGCTCAAGAAGAAGTCACAGCTATGAGTAGTTTGTACAACAAATTAAAGAAAATACATAATTCTGGTTCATCAATTAATATTTCAGTACAATCATGGAAAGAATTGGAAAGGCTTTGGGCACAATTAGAATCTTTAGTAATATATAATTTACCTATAAATTTAAAAAAACATGAATTTTTAATTTTTAAAAACAAAATTATTATAAAATGTTCTTACAGATGAAAAATTGGCAATGGCAGATTGATCTCTGTTTGCCAGAGCCATTTAAAGTGATTGGAGAATGGATAATTAAAGCCGAGCAGCTCATAACTGATACTAATATTCCATTATTAATGAATGAAGACACTGCAGTGATAATCAGCAGAAAATTAGAAGACCACAAGGTAGGGATTCTATATAGATTAAATTCAAAAGAGTATTAATTTTAATAATACTGTTTTACAGTCATTTTTTTCTGATTTACCTGAAGTTAAACAAAAATTTAATGAGCTGTTAATAAAAACAAAAAGCCAAAATAAAGAAGTGATTGATTTATCTAGACGTCTTAATGCTATTGAAATAGATTCACATAAGCGGAGAACTTATTTAAAATTTTTAGAACACAAGGTAAATTTTTTGCATTTATTCAAACTAATTATTAGTAAAATAATATTTTAGAAATACAAAAACCTTAAATTAAAATTCAACGCAAGTATATAACAACTTATATGGACTGAAATGAAACTAAAAGCATGGATCATTAGGGTAGAAATTAAAACATATATTTTTTTTTTAGTGTTGTTTAATTGCATTTTTGAATTTAACTGAAAACAAATTAAAAGCATGGACTGTTAAATATGGCCATCAACAAGATGTTTTGCAGCTTCTCGAGAAATACAATAATTTCGTTGTAGGGAATAATATATTCCAAGAATTTAATAAAGCATTTATAGATATGCAAAATGTTGTACAAGAGTATAAACATGAATGCAATGTAGAGTATAAAGAATCAGTTTCTATTGAAAAATTTATGAAACAAACTGCTGAACAATGGAAAAGTATTGCAATGGAATTAAGATGTGCCCAGAGTATGCTTGAGGAAGTAATTTCATATTGGAGAAGATGGAAGGCATTATCTCAAGATATAAAAATGTGGTTAGCAGATGCTGTTAAAAAAATTAATTTACCACATGAACAACGAATCAATTTTTTCCAGGTATTTATTGCTATAAATAGTATTTAAATTTTTTTTAAAAAAAATGAGCTGATAGCGTTATTATATTTTTAGGATGTTGGTGTATGGAAAGAAAAATATGAATTGCTTAATGATACTGTAAGCTTTTTAATTGCAACTAGTGAAGATTCAATAGGTGCACAATTGAAGCAAGAATTTTTAAATATTACATCTACGTGGGAAACTATATTTGCAGTAAATAAAAAACTATTTAACATACATTTTAGAAAATTTGATGTCACAAAACATTGTATTTATTATATAGAGAGCTAAGGAATACATGCACTCTGGTGATATGATTAGAAATCGTAAAGAATATTTGGAAGGATTAGACGTATTACACAAGTGGAATTTAAGAGCAGAACAAATTATGTCATCAATACACTTAAGTTCTTCTCAAAAAATCAAAGATTACTTATGTGAAATTCAAGTAATATACCATATAATTATTAGTACATTATTTTATTGTTATTATATGTATTTTTTTTTATTTTTTAGAAACTTCAAACACAATTAGATCAAATGGATGATCTATTTAAAGCAATTAGTAAAAAATGTCAAGTATTAATAAAAGATTTAACAAGAGACGAAGTTAACGAAATGATGTTGTGTATTAAAAAAGAAAAAGGTAAGTAAATTGAGATTAAACATTAAATTTATCTAATAAACATAAACTAAAATAGGCTCGTATTTTAATTTCAACTCTTATAAATCTAAATACAACTAAAAATCAATGTACAAATAATTGACTTATGTTAAAACAAAAGTACGTAATGTAACACAATTTTCAATAAATTTGACTAAGTAGGTAGGTATTCAACAAAATTATTAGGTATGTGATAACCAAATATTTTAATATTGTTACATTAAGTACCTACCTATTATAAGTTAGTAGTTACAAGTCATTGACTGTATATTTATTAATATTAGTTGTATATTTTAAATACCTACTTAGGTTTATAACATATTTTATGATTTATAAGTAACACAAATTGTTTTTATAATGGTGATTCCTTCGATTGGCTATACTTTTAAAAACATGTAATAAAGAGTTGATGAAGTAAGTGCCTAAGTATAATACTCCCAAAATAATTCTTAAAATTTTCAATAAATACAAATATGTGAAGGTGGACATATTACTTTACCTATATTTGTACGTTCAGTAATAAATTAATAAACTTGTATTTATATTCATTTGTAAACATTTCATATTTCTTTTTATTTATTTAATACAAACTATAAAATATTACCACATGTCGTTATATTAATAAATAAACAGTTGAACATGTACCTACCGACTATTGTGAAATACATAATTACTATATTACAATATTATTTTAGTATTTACACTACCAATAGAATATTACACTATAGATCCCTACCATCCCTATTTTTAATGACTAAATTTAAAATGATCAATAAATTATATTAATAAAAATGATAGTAAAAAATTTAAAATAAAAATAAAAAAATAATGTTTTCTACAAAATTCAAAATAGATAGTAATTTTATAAATAATTTGATGTAACAAATATTTACTAATGATGAGTTCATTTTCAACAATTTATTAAGTTCCCGATACTTAAAAGATGTTTTAATTGTCATTACTAAATAATATCATCTGATTTACTAATTTGTCCATGAAAAATAATTAAAATAAAAAGACTTACTTCGCAAGATGGATGGGCCACTCTTTAACGTAAAATGTATGGCAGAAAAGTTTTTCACAGATAAGAAAAAAAATTAATAATAATCTTTGTAAAATCAATACATTCCTCACTCCGCTCAAAATCTAAAATTATAGAAAATCAATCATCAATCTTTAATAACCATTTGTAACAGTAAAATTCGAATTCAATAATATAGTAAAAACAAAATTATTAAAATATTGTTCTTGTATGGAAATGATTGAGGTTAAGGTACTTCTTAAGGAAGGGGGGAATCAAGTACAATTATCATTCCATGTCACTTTCTTAATGTTAATTATTAAATTTTTCTTAGTTTCCATATTATTGTCGTCAATAAAATCGATGATTTCTATAGTAGTGTACATTTAAAAATCGTATAAACATCAAATATGAGTCATTTTGTATCAACTAATATTATATCAATCAAAATTGTTTTATTTGAATTCACATCATTTTATGTAATTTTTTTGTTTATTGGTCTTTTATATGTCTTTTACGTGCCCACCTCATGAAATTTTCAAAGGGGTATAATCATTGATTTTCTGATTTTTTGACGAAGTATTAGGAAAATAAGAAAAAATTAAAAATTACCAATAAGGTGACATATATATTCCATAGACTTTGATTTTTTCTCCCTTAAAATGTATCTTAACCTCAATCATTTTCATATGGGAACAATTTGTTTCAACTTTGTAAGCCTTGAAACATATTGTTAGATTTGTGCATACTTTGTATGTCTTACCTATTTAAACAAAATTCAGAATAAACAAAAAAAAAAAAAACAATGTAGGTACATTAAATGGAAAACTTTATCTCGTTACAGGAGTACATATGAATTGTTCTAGAAATTTCAAATAGGGCTCAAAATTAATTTTAAATTTTATAGAAAAAAGTTAGGGAACGTCAAAACAAGAATTCTAGGAAATCTGGTCCTCCTAGACTCCGAGTTTAGACTACGAAAAGTAGATTTTGTGTTATAATTTTTAAATTAAACATAAAATTTGTTGTTAATTGAAACATAGGTGCATTTATGTAAGTGAACAAATAATATGTAAATTAATTAAAATTAATAAATATTGAGTAAATATTTATTGTATGTTAAATATTATATTGTAAGTTAATATAAAAATACCCCCACCACAGAAAAAAATTTAAAAACCGCTACTGCCTATAATATGTATTTTAATAATTATATTTTTTTTAGAATCTCTTGTCAATATCAGGGCAAGCATACCAGTTCAACTAAATGCTCTTCATCATATGCTCGTTCAATATGATGCTCTTGAATCGGGCCAAAAAGAAATAGATAATTGGTTAAATAATTGTGATGAATTTTTGTCTACGTTGAAATTAAGTAAAAATCAAGATGTATTACACAGCGACATTGAATATTTAAAAGTAAGTTTTACGTCAGCGGTAGATTTTTACTTTTGTATTTATTAATTTTTGTTTTAAATGTTAATTTTAGAACATTATTATACGTATGTCGTATTACCAATCTATGTTGTCCAGCAAGAACAAGATATTTCAGAGCATCATCAAATCAATTCAACCACAAAATGATCAAGGGAGTAATACTGAGTTTGTACAAACAATGGCTGATTTGAATGCTAAATTTTCCAGGATAACACATGAATGTCAACAATGGGATATGGTTTGTGAACAATTTTTGTGTATACTATAGTAGGTACTGTAAAATGGGGTCACTCTGGACAAACTATTAAATATTATTTGTCCTTACTGATAAGGGTATTGGATAGAATTTGATAAGATCTTCAGATATCACTTCAAGAAGTTCAAGATATTATAATGGAGTAATGGACTTTTATTGTCCATGTAATTTTAATTATTTATTTCGATAAATTGTCGGTTTTAGAATATACCTAACTAAATTATACTAGTATACATTGACAACCAGTTGAGTATGAGTTTTTATATCATTTTTCATTTATTTGGTTAAATGTTGGGGTGTAATAAAGTATTTTTATTAATAACACTTTTTGTATTAGTGTTATTTAAATAAATATCCATAGGTTGTTAGGAAATTTGAATTTTTTAAATAAATATTACGATTTCGTTAATTTAAAAAAAAATTTTAATCTTGTGCAAAGTTAATCAAATGTATGAAAACATTATTATTTTGTTGAATATGAATAAATGTCTGACGTTACTCGAAAAATGGGGTAACTACAGAAAAAGATAGTTTTAGAAAGTCCAAGCACAATGGAACACAATTTAATAATGGATAGGTACCTAATTATGACATTATTATTTTTTTTTCTATTGAAATTTTATTAAAACAGTTATAATAATAATTAACAATTAGTTAAGAATAATGGTTAAAATTATAAAAAAAAAATAAATACAATATTTTAAATTATAAAACTAGTCTAATTGATGAATGAAATAATTGATAAGACGATAGGAGATAAAATATGTTGTTATTATTGACTTTTTTTTAGAATTTTAGTTCCATTTATTCATAGGTAGTTTTTTTCAGAAATACAATAAAAACTATTTAGAATTAGACCATTGTATGGTACTTTATACAAAGTGTGAAATAAACTGTTTAATAGATACTACATTAGAAAAAAAAAAAAAACATTTATATTTTGTTTAGAAATTACAACAAACTTTGCGATGTTGGCATAATTATATTGAAATAGAAAAAGTTATACTAGATTGGATTGAAACTAGTAAACAAGTATTTTTCGAGGAACATACTAGTTCAAGACAAGCTTTAGAGTCTCAAAAAGTATACATTTATTTTAATGGCTATTAAATTAATTTTAAAATAATATCTAATGCAACAATATTTTTAGGGATATTTTGAGTATTCTAGCAATAATAAATGGGAAACTGAGTTGGATAATGTTGAAGGTGAACTACTTAAGTGTATTGAACCTAGTGAACAAGAAATTATAAGAAATAGATCAAGAGCAATCCGTTTAAAATATCAAGTAATAATTGAATGTTAGATTACAAAATTGATTATAACAAATATTTTATTTATATTATTTACAGGAGTGTTTGAGTATGGTTCCTACATATATAACAAGGGTTGAATTTAAATTAAATGAAATTACATTTAATCAATGTATGAATGAAGCAGAAAAAGAACTTAATGTTGAGCAACAAATGTTTAGTAAAAATGACAATGTTAATTTGATACTCAAGCGGAATATAGTAAACGTTTTTATTTTATCATTATATTTTGGTATTCTATAAAACTTTATGTTATAGGAATATTTTGATAATGGTGTGATATTGAAAGAACTTAGATCGTGTTTAAACAATATGAATATTGCTAATAAAAAAACATCAAATGTATTAGTTGATTCAGTTTTAAATAAATCAATTAATCGATTTGAAAGCATAGAAAAAAGAATCACAGAAATGAGACAAAAATGTAAACAAATACCTAATCAATTTCAAGATTATAAATCTAAGTTTAATGATTTAGAAAATTGGATGAATGCAGTTGATGTAAGCGTTGAAAGACTATTAAAAGGGCTTTTAAATGATGAAGAATTTGAAAAAGAAAAATCTACATTTCAAGTAAATATTTTATTTAATAAATATAATATTGCTTTTTGAATTAATTTTGTGATAATTTATCGTCACAAGGAAATTTGCCGAGATGTCGATAGTAAACGTGATGACATGAAGTGGATGGTTCAGGTATTAGACAGTTTACTACCATATGTATCTGAAGAACAACAACATATAGATCAAAAAAAATTGGAAGATCTAATAGGCCGATATAAACATTTAATTCCAACTATAGATATGACAATAACAAAAACTGAAATGTACACTAAATGCGTTACCTACAAAAAAGAAGTAACAGAGGTTAGATAGTATGATTATGTATTTACGTATTTTTTTTTTTAACTATATCTTTTAACCATATAACTACAATTTTTTATATTTGCTACTTTTTATTAGATTGGCAAAATTCTAGAAAAGACAAAAGAAGAGCAATCATTAAAGAAAGGAGATTCGTGGGATGATTTAACTGAACTTATTATTAATCAAGAAAAAGTAATTGAAGGACTTGAAAAACAACGAATGATTGTAATGTCAACATTACAACGAGGCAAGCAATTAGCTAAAGATTCCTCTGCTGTACCAATCTTTATTCCACAACTTGTTTCAAAGTTGGAAACAGATTGGAGTTTTGTATATAATGAGTCTATTGACAAGTTCAATAAATTGAAAAATGCCCAAAAATTATTGCTGGAATATACAAAAACCAAAAATGAATTAATGGCAATAATTAGAAAAGCTGAAGATGAATTAAAAACAGTATCTGATGATAATAAACATAATTCTCAAGAAATTTCAATGCAATTAAGAAGTAAACAAGAGTTAAGTATTGCGTTGCGTGAAGCAGCTGAAAATATGTTGAACAAATTAAGAGATATATCACACAATTTGCATATTCCTGAAAAAGAATTTTCTATTGAAAACGAAGTAAGAATATAGTACTATGAACTTAATATTAATATACCATTAATTAATCTAAACTTATATAGTATCTAATTTTAATTTTATACATATTTGTTTATGTTTATTTAGATTAATATTATAGAAAATAAATTAGTAAATACAATTCAAACGGTAGAAAAAGAAACACAGAGATTAGAGAAGCTTTCAATGAAGTTATCTGAATTAGATTCAGGATTAAGTAAAATTCATGTTTGGTCTGTTGAATCTGCTCCTGCTGTCATAGAAAGAATTCAACAAGATCAAACAAATCCTGAAATTAAAGCTCGAGGAATTGAAGAAGTCCAGGATGAACTACAAAAAAGACGTAATAGTTTGGAACGTTTAACACAAGATTTGCAAAGTTTTGAAAAAGGTAAATATTTTTAATATCTTAGTACTACAAAAATGAATATTTTAGATTTGGAGCATAGCAAGTGATTTATTGGTTTTACTATGACATGTTTTTTTTCTGTCTGTAAACAACTTTTCGAAAAGAAATCTTGTTCTGATGTACAGAGTGTAACATTTTCTGAAAGAAAATTTTATTTTGTTGAAATATGAGGACATTTTTTGATTTTTCAAGGAATTTCCATAATTATAATAAGAAAATTATAGGTAACACGAAAAATATTTACAGTGCGCTGTAGAATTACTGATTTCATTGATTTTAATTTTTACACTTTATGTTTTTTACCAAAAATATTGCCTCAATATAACAATAAGAAGAGACCTTTTTGGTTTCATTTTTAATCTAGTTTGTGAGAATATTGATTTTTAATTTCCCAGTAGTTTTTTAAAACATTAAGGAAAACCTAATTAACACAGATATAACAGGAAAATTTACAAAAATAACAATTTTTTTTTGTTTTTTTGTTTTAATCCAGTTAAAATTCTTCATAGATACTTGCAATTCTTACTGAAAACTTATATTTCTTTTTCTAGAGGTGGTATAATTTTAAAAACATTTGAACTATTTTTGAACCTAATTTTTATCTTGTAAGTTCTCTGTGAATAAAATTGTTAGACTAAATAGAAATGTTTGAAAATTTAACAGGAGGTTAATAATAAGTTGTATTTAGTGGTCAAAAAATAATTTTTGTGTAATGTAATTTTTTGTTATATGAATTTTAAAATCAAATTTTGTTGAAAATCTTAATTAATTATTCAAAACATGTAACAATCAAATTTTGTTTCCAATGATTTATCGTTGGTTACAGGGGTATAAATTAAATAACTCTAAGTATTCCACCTTCTCAACTACCCACCTACAACAGTGGCCACACCAGTCTCCAGTATTAACCCTTTTTTTTTTATAATTATATATGTATAATGTATATATTTAAAAATATTAAAAATTATAAACTATCCAGTTGTCATTTATATTATGTATGTGAACATAATTACTTTTAAGTTAATAGAGTAGGTAATTTTTAGATACACAGTAAGTTATGTATGAGAAAAAGTAGTGGATGTCATTTTAATATAAAAATTGGTGCCTTATAATAATAAGGCAAAAAAAATTTAAATAAATATATTTCTAAATGAACTTAGTCCTGTATTTTGGATATTTTTTTGAAAAAAATAATGTACCTAACTTCTAGTATGTAGCAATGTTTATAATGTATTATTTTTTTTTTTTAGAAAGTGATACTAATGAAACACAAAAACTACGACAAGATTTGGATGAAGTAAGAATGTCTATTTTAAATTTGGAATGCAATACTAATCGAAAGAATGAAGAAATTACAATTGATCTTAACGAATGGCATGTTCATAAAGCAAAATTAGAAGAAATTAGACCCTGGTTAGAAAATGTTGAAAGAAAAATCAATGCTGATCATGTTAAACCTATAACATTGGGATTAGCAAATGACTGGTTAAAAACATTGCAAGTAAGTTGTGTTTAATAAAATTAAAATAACATTTAAAATTGGGGTTTATTATATTTTATATATGTTCAAATTAGTTGATTAATTCAGAGTGTCAAGAAAAAATTGAAAATCTTAAAACAATATCTTCTGACAATAAAACTGCAGTTATTCTTAATGAAGTAGATGCAATTCAATCTCGCTGCATATCTGTACAATCATGTGCAGTACAACAAGCAACGCGTTTACAAAGACTGATATTGAACTGGAAAGAGTTAAATGAAAAAACACAAAAAGTAGAAGAAAAACTAAATCACCCATTATTATCCGAATTGAAGGAATTAATAATAAATCAATCACTTTCAGAAGATGAGCTTGAGAAAAAACTATTGGAATATAAAGTAAACTATTTTACTTTTATTTTTATTAAAATGTTTATTTTTAACTGCTTTAACATTATTATATACAGAAATTATGTTTTAATTATTATTATTTCTTATCAAATTATCATTTATTTTCTTTTTCAGGTCTAATTAGTATTCTCATAATTTTTTGTTTTAGGTATCATACCAAGAACTTAATGAATGTCAGAGTGAAATTTCAAGTCTTTCACAAAGTTTAAATGGAATAAATCAACATTTTTCAGTTGAAACTATAAGTGATATTAAGGAAAAATTAATTAATTTGAAGGCAAAAAATAATGAATATTTGAAGCAAATGCACAATCAAATGCAAACTATTTCTAATATTATTTCAGAAAAGTAAATTAATTATATTGAAATTAACACTAATATTATGTTTTAATATATAAGATTTCTTAAATAATATTATTTAATCATGTTTATTGCAACATAATAATATACAAAACATGTATTAGCTAGAATAGATTGGTATTGAACTTTTAATGTGTATTTTAGAAAAGAGCATGAAATCAAAATAAATACATTTTGTGAATGGTTAAATGAATTTGATTCAAAGGTAAATAAATGCAATATTGTTAGTAGTAGTTCTATTGAAGAAATACTAAAAAAACTGCATTCATTTACTGATGAACACATGGAAAAACAACCACTATTTACTGAAATCAAAGAAGATTTCAAACACTTCTTTGATAATTCTGCAATACAGAAATCAATAATGCAATTCCAAGTGAGGATTTTGATTATATTTAATATTTTTATAAATATTTATTTAGAGGGAGGGTGGAGGCGATTTTTAAAATTCATATTACAAGATATGCATTTATAATGAGTCATACTAAGAATATAGGGTTAACCATCTTCATCACCCTTCTCCTCTTGATCTCTTACTGTATGAATTATGTGTATAACTACTTATTTATTTTCAGGAACTTCAAGATGTATTGCAAAAAAAGAAAATAGTACTTGAAAAAACTAATGAATTTTTTATATGGACTGAAACATTGCTTGGAAAATTAAGTCATATTGAATTTCAGTTTGATACTAATCAAGTTAAAATAAATTTAACAAATGAAATCAATAAATGTTCAGAGGAAGTTGAACTATGGAAACAAAACATAAACTCAATTGAACATTTATTACAGGAAAGTAAAACTGTTATTCCTGGATTGTCAATTGCAGAACAATTTAAACAATTAGAATTAAAATTGAAACAAATTCAGTAAGTGAATTATATAAAATTTAAAAATTTTGTATATAATTTGCATATAGATACAGACATACATATATATATACATATATTATATTACGGTGGTCCTCATTTATTTATTTTTTTAATGGCCAGCCCAATATTTGTTCAAAACTATAAAAAAAAAAAATGAATTATGTAAAGTTTTGTAATAACTGGCCAACCAGGTGTGCCTCAAAGGGATATAAGTTCTGAAAAATTTATTTGATTTGGTTTTTTGCAAATACAGTCAAAAACATTTATAATTAAAGAAAAATAAATTTACTATAGTAGTTATTGTGGTGCTGGTTTCATCAAATGTCATCACCTACAAAATAAAAAAACTATCTAAATAACTAAAATCAACTATTACATACTAAAATCATTTTTTTCAGTTTTTATGTGAATGGGTTGAGTAGGTAATAAAAACACATAATCATTAATCATAATCATTACAAAATTTGATACAATTTATTTTTCATAGTAATGAACACATTATTCCTGGGGTAGCTTGATTGAATTAACAAAAAAAAAATAAAAGTATACAAATTAGGACAACCCTAATATATACACATAGAAATATTGAATAATTCATAAGACTTATCTATATATATAAAATAATAAATTAACTGACTGATCTAAAAAGGCAGATCTAAAACTAAAATTTGGCATGAAGATAACTATTATGTTGTAGACATCTGCTAAGAAAGAATTTTTGAAAATTCAATCACTGAGGAAGTAAAATAAGGATTTTTAGGTACCCATCTTTCATATGAATAAATAATTGTTTATTTATGTATTTTTGTTTGTCTATGGATTACCTTGGTGATACAGATGAAATAACAAAAAAATTAGCCCAAGAACACTAGGTGGAACTGAAATGTTCTTAGTATTTTTGGAACATTAATCTGTAACTTATTAAAATAATAATAATAATAATAATTTATTCAATTCAAATAATGATTAAATACAATTTAAAATTAAAATTGTATATAATATGAGCTGATTACCTTTCTCTTAAAGGAAGTTGTGGCAAAAGGAAAGGGGGTTATTCAATCCTATTAAATCATATTGTTATTAATTATAGATAAAAAAAAAGAGAAAATTCAGAAATTTAATAGCCTATCAACTTATTAGATTTTTTTTCAAAATGTGTGTTTTTGTGTGTACATTAGGAATGTAAAAAAAAGGTCCATTGAACTTCGTTTGGAAGTTATCTATAGGAGAAAACTTCACAAAGTTAGTGGTTTTCCGTTTTACGTATTTCTTAATCAGAATTTAACATTTTCAAATATGTTTTTAATGCTCAATCCATTGGTATAATCAAAATGTACCTATCACAGTTACTTTTGAAGTTATTGTATATAAACTTTGAAAAATAGCATTTTCAAAATTAATCGTGGTTTTGCACAACAAATTGAGGGTTATTTTCAATTAAAAAAGAAAAATGAGATAGAGTGACCCCGCCAGATCTCTAAGTGCACCCAAAATGCTATTTTTCAAGGTTTATGTACAATAACTTCAAAAGTAATTGTGATAGATAAGTTTTGATTATACCAATGGATTTAAGCATTAAAAACATATATTTGAAAAAAAAAATTTGAAAATGTTAAATTCTAACTAAAAAATACGCAAAACGGAAAACCCGAACTTCATGAAGTTTTCCCCTATAACTTCCAAACCAAATTCCGACCTTTTTTATATTCTTAGTGTACACTCAAAAACAAACATTTTGAAAAAAAAATCTAAAAAATCGATATTAGGTTGCTAAACTAGAATCGTTCCTTAACTAAACAGTAGTGTTTAACTTTGAAACTCTGAGGCGACCTCCCCTTCTTCCTTTAGAAATAATACTTGTTTTATAAATAATTGATAATAATACTAAAAATAATAATATATTGTCTTGACTAAATTGTATATCAGAATGTACTTATTAATTGGATTGCAGAGAAATACTCGAAAAATTGAATACGCGGAAAATGTCAAATAGCTCTAAGGTATTCATTTCGCTGTATAGTTTTAACACAACTTGTAGGTGATTTTTGGGACTGTTCTATTATCTGATGTTTTACTCTATAGATTTTTGTGATTTTTAAACGCGAGTGTTCGGTTTGTAGATGAGAAGTCTAATGAGATAAGTTTAAAAAATTAATTAGTTAAAAACCTACCTAGTTATATTAGTTATTAATACGATGACAAAACTGTACCTACCTACTTTACACATTTGCTAACCGTCATAAAAGTCATCAAAAAAATCATCGTTATCATTTTTATCTGGGAAATGATAAAACCCACTTCATCATCGGCTATTGTTTATTGATTTACTTATTGGTTTCCCTGCTGATATGGAGCATAATTTGGTTGTCATCTATTACTCTATGTTGTTACCACGATGTATAGAAGATAAAAGAGTACCTAATATCTATTATCTTCTCTTGTCACGACTCATGAGTCACAGGTAACTTTCAAAAAAACTTATTATTATTACTATTATTTAAAAATAGCAAAGCATTAATTATTAAAGAGTTAGCATATAATACTATAATCTATATAATATATTACCTATATAAAAATGAATCGATATTTGTTGGTGATACCTTAATTTGAAAACGGAGAGACCGATTTGGCTGAATTTTTTTGTTCTGTTCGTAATAATTTGTCAGGACAATATTTTTATGAAAGATAGTTTTTGGAAAATCTGCCGGAAAAGTCGTAAATTTAAATTTATATCACCAAGGTAACCCGTAAATCAATTAAAACAATTTGATAATTGACGTTCAACTCTGATGTCACATGTTTCCATAACAGCATATTGATGATAAATAAAATTGAAGGTTTGTATGAAATATTGGTTGCATTTCAATTTGAACTTTACTCTGTTAGGGCAGAAGGTTTTTTTAACTTACTAAAGTTCCTACAGCCCTTCAAATGAAGTCGGGGGATAATATTTTTTTTGTATTCATGGTGTAAGTTTTAAGGATGTGCCTTTTGTTTTTAAATTTTTAACCTCCTCAGCCATTTTTATGCCTAGATGTCATGTTTTCACAGGAAATAGTCTTATAAATTATTCTTATTTTTATCTATTAGGTATTAGGTATTAAATGTATTTTTTTTAAATATTTTAGAGAAAAATTCAAAGCAAAAGAAGAAAATGAACAAAAGGTAAAGAATTGCCAAATAACTGTTAGTGCTATAAATAATGGTATAATTAAACAAATTAAAACACTAGAGAATACAATAAATGATCAAATATCAACTGTTAAGTCATGGAATGACATTAATATTGTAATACCAAAATTAAAAGAATTAACAGATACAAGTGAATTAATGGAACAAGTAAAGGCTCTTGAAAAAGAAGGAGAATTGTTAATCCAGTTAGATAAGAGCAATTCTATATTTGTACAAAATATTTTATTGGAAATAAATACAGAATTGTCTAATTTGAATACTACATATGAACGATCAATTGCAAATTTAACAGAAATAAATGATAACTGGTTAAAAATAATTGATGTTAAAAATAAAATAAATTCAACTAAAGAAGAATCTAAAATTATTTTGGGATTAATTGAATCACCTAATGATTTAACAGAAGCCCAAGTAATTGAAGAAAAATATAATAAAGTATTAAAACAAAATACTTTAATATTGGGTTCATTGCCAGTAATGGAAGAAGCTGTAAAGAAATTGGTGATATTAGCTAAAGATTATCCACAATTAAATATAAAAAAATTAGATCAAAACTTTCAAAATGATTTAGAGAGTTGGGAAAAATATCATGCTAAAATTAAAGAAAATGCTGAAATTGCACATTCTCAGCAAGTTATTTGGAAACAAGTAAATCAGACTAAAGATAATATTTTGCAGTGGTTATCAGATGTAAATATTGAACTTTTAGATTGTACCTCCAATTTTGATGACATTGAAAACATTAAAAATAAACTTGTTAAATATTCAGAAGAAAAACAATTCAATTTAGAATTAAAAGATAATATTGTTGAAAAAATTAAAAAGCTAAAAAGCTTAAATGGAAATAAACCGATCATAACATTAGATTCATTATGTGAATTATTGGATGACCAATTTACTGGTGTTGAATGTATTGCTAATAATTTAACCGGACTTCTTAATGATTTTTCACAACAAGAAGAAAAAATAAGAACTGAAATAAAAAAGCGTAGTATTGAAATTAATCAAATACGAGAAAATGTAATTAAGTGTGACAACTTAAATAATGAATTAGATGCATTATTGGTTAATTTAAAATCTTGTCAAAAATGCAAAAATGAACTAATCAAAATGAATCTAAATATAGATTCCGTTAATCACTCAGTATTAGAAATGACTGATACATTTCCTATAATTTCAGAATCAACTTTAATTAAGGAACTAAAAAGTCTTAAAAAAAGATATGAAAGTGTTGTACAACAAGTTGACAAAGTAGAAACAACTTTAATGACATATTTAAAAAAACATTTAGAAGATGATATAAATAATCTTCTACATTCAATTAAAAGTGCTGATGAAAAATTAACATGGTGTAAACCAGAAGATGAAATTGAAAAAGAACAGATTGAAATCAAACTTCGGTCTGTTGAAGACATTAAAGGAAATTTAAAAGCAGTTAAGGAACATAAATCTAGAATAGATTATGTTTTAGAATATTTAAATCAATATTCTTCAACAGATTTAAATTTAGAAGAAGTTAGTAGTAACAACGAATTATTAAGTACGAAACTTGAAAATACTGAAAAACAAATAAACAAGATAAGAATAGTACTTGAAAAAATTATTAGCTTATGGGTTAAATATCAAAAATATCTAGACAATATTATCTCATTAATAAATAATGTAGAAAACGATATAAAAAAATCCGTAGAAATTCCTATTAATATGAGTTCTATTGATATTATGGAAGAAAATATTAATGCAATTCAAACAAAAGTCAATGATTGTGAACAATTATTGAATGAACTAGTATCTTGTGTTGAAAATATAAAATGTGTTCATAGTAAATCAACATTAGATAAGCAGGTATTAAAAATTAAGCGTAAATTAGAATCCTATCAAAATAGTGTTGATAAATGTTTAGAAACAATTAGACGTTTAAAATTAATGAAAACAGAATTCAACCTTTCCTATGAAAAAGCTATTAACAACATCAAAGTATTAAACAATCAACTAAAATCTATTGAAACTGCTCAACCTGTAGGCAAAAAATCTATTGAAAATGCTCAATCAGATTTAATAACTATGAAAGATCTTAATAAACAACTTGAAGAAAGTCAACAATTAATTAATGACACAGTATCAAAAGGTGAATGTATGTATCCTGATATAACTATGGAAAATCGAGATGAAATACGATCAAAATTGAAACAATTAAGATCAGCTTGTGAAAATGTAAATGACGAGTGTGGTAATATAACAAAAATAATTGAAAATATTTTAGTACAAAAATCATCATTTGAAGAAAGTCATAATCAAATTCAAAATTGGCTCCGTGAAACAGAAGACAAATTGATTGATTGTAAAAAAATAAAAAAGAAAAATATTATGGATAAAAGAATAAATTGTAATAATTTAAAGTCATTAAAACAAGATTTGATTGCTTATGAAGATGTTATTCATCAATTCAAAGAGAAAGTAACTCAATTAAATGAACCAGATACTGATTTAAAACTAAAAGATACTCAGAAAAAATATGAAACTATTTTATTAGAAGTAAATAAATATTTAAATTTAAATGAATCTCATTTAAAAAACCATGAATTATATATAGAAAATATTGAAATTTTTAAAAATTACTACAAATTATTACAAGATGAATACTCAGTTGCAATAAATAATAATTCTGAAACGGACCTGGATGTGTTCAAAAATATAATTAGTCATAAATCTGAAGGTGAATTAATATTAGAAAAATGTAGAAACTTTGGAAATAAAGTGATGAAGGAAACTGATAAAAATGGTAAGACTAATATACAAAATGAACTTGAAGAACTTAAAACCAATTGGGAAAGTTTGGTTTTAAACTGTGAGAATACTTTAAAAATGTTAAATCAAAAACAAAACCAATATGACAAAGTATTAACTAAAATTGATACTCTGGATAAACATCTAAAATCAATTGAAACGCAAATTAAGGACAGAAGCTTAAAAAATTCATTAGCAAGCAAACAACAATATTTAGAAAAATTAAAACTATTTGATGAGGATATCAACAAAATTTACAATGCAATTTTAGAAATACAATCTGATACTCTTGAAGTTTCACCAGATGTTAATAGTGCTATATCTAATCTTATGAAAACTTATCAAAATATTAAAACTAAAACAAAGGTAATTTAATACTACCTACTTAAATTATATTGAAGAATGAATTTAACCAAATAATTAATTTGATTTAAATTTATTTTAGGAATCCATTTTAAGATATGATAACTTTGTTAGAGAACATCAAAATTTTGATTTAAGCTATAAAGAGTTTATTGATTTAGTTAAATGTCTGTCAGAAGAACTAAAACAACATAGTGAAATTGTTGGTGATTTAGGGCTTTTACAAGTATATATAATAACTATATAATTACTAATTTTCTTTCTGAAATTATTTAATTTAATTATTTATATATAAAGGCAAGACAAAAGAAACTATTGGCAATATCTGACTCAAAATGTCAACAAAGTGTACAATATGAGTCTCTTGCAAATATGGCAGAAAAACTATACGTCCAAACTTCTCCAGATGGAAGAGAAATCATACGACAACAAATGAAGTATGTATAAATTAATTTTATATATAAATGGTCTATGATATTAATTTATTTAAATTTAAGGGATTTGAGAATTTCATGGGAGTTAGTTTCTGAAAGTTTACAATCAAGTCTTGAAAAACTAGAAAATTGCTTATTGCAGTTTGCAGAGTTTTCACTATCACAAGAACAATTAACTAAGTGGCTCAAAAATATTGAGCAAGCTATGCAACAACACACTGAAACAAAAGCCACTTTACAAGAGAAAAAAGCTCAACTTCAGGTACTTGCATTGTAAAATCTGCCTAAAAAGATTATTTTATAGTATATTATTATTTTTAATCATATTTATTTGGAAATTAGAACCACGTTGTAATAAATCAAGAAATATTGTCTCATCAAACACTTGTACAATCAGTATGCGATAAGGCTCAAGAACTTGTAAATCAAACTAGGGATAATACTTTAAATACATATTTAGAATCAATTAAATACCTATATGAAAAAATTGTTACGAAATCTAAGGTGATTTTTTATTATAAATTACAGATATTTAGTAAATTCAAATTAAATAATTTTGTGATTAACTAGGAGCTAATGGACTCATTAGAGCTTTCAGTTCAAAATCATTCAGAATTTAATCTTGTTTGTCAAAAACTTAGGCTGATGATAAAAGAACAACGTGATAAAATAAGAGATAGTGACAACATTGCTGTTGAAAAAGACATAATTGTCAAAAAAATTAATATTTTTAAAGTAAATATATACTGGAATATAAATAATTTGTGTTCATAATTTGAATATTATAATCCTGTTGTAGGAAATGAAAACATCAAATATAACAGAAAATGATTTACAAAATCATCTTGAACAAATATTTCAGTTAGTAAGCAAATCAACTACAAAAAAAGGAATTAATGTTATGAAAAAAGAAATATCAAAAATAGATAGTGATAAGTCACAATTAATAGTACAACTTGGTAAATAATATTAAAATTTACTTTTTATAATCACCCACACATAATAGCTAAAAACAATTTTTTCACTTATAGTTAGTGAATCTTTTAAAAGATTTAATCTCAAAAGGCCTGTAAAAAAAACTTACTTAATTCTTGTATCCCATTTAAGATTTATTTATTATAAATTTAACTTATTGATATTGAATTAATATATATATTATTAAATGTTTATTAAATCTCTAATTAGATTAGCTTATAATTGTTATTAATGTATAAGATAAGTTTATAATAATAAACTTTGGTTTCAGATACTATTATTGAAAAAATGGAGGATATTTTGGTGCAATGGACTGATTTTGAAAATGAATTTGAGGAAATAACAAGTTGGTTCAGATCAACAGAATTGCTTATTAAAGATCAACAACTACAAGCAACATTTGAAACCAAGGAAAATAAATTCAAACATTTTACGGAAAAACGAAATGAAGTATTACAATATGAACCAAAAATTGAGAAATTTATCGATAATTCTAATAATTTGTTACACACAAGTGGAGTAGAACGTCTAAAACCACTTATACTTCAAGTAGGAAACCGGTAAGAAAAACATAATTAGTTTAAAAAAAAATGTTTGTATTATAAATTTGTTTATTGTAATATCAATAATTATTTATGTGTACCAGGTATCAATTACTTCTAGTTTTAAGTAAAGAAATAGTGGCTAAATGGCAAAACATTTCTGATGACCATAAGAACTTTAATGATAAGTTGGCTGAATTCAAATTATGGTTAGAAATATTAGAAAATAAACCTGATCCAATTTTGAATGATGATAATTTAGATTTAAATAAAAAATTATCACAATTACAAAGTTTGTATAGTAGTTCTGATCAAACATCATCAAAAATTTCATTTTTAACTTCTTTGGGTGAGAGTTTATACCCTGATACATCTGCTACAGGACGAGAAATCATTAGGCAACAACTTACAGAAATTCGTGAAAGGTATCTTAAATATTTTTATATTGTTAATTTAGAAACATTTCTACAAAAAATGTTTATTGTAACTGATTTATTTATTATTAACAGATGGGATACATGGGATGAAAAAATTAAAACTGCTCAAAAATCTCTAGGAGTACAATCCCAACAATGGAATAGTTATCAAGAAACCCTTTTACAAACTATAAATTGGTTGGAAAGTGTAGAAAAAGCCATTGCCTCTAATCAAACATCTATATGGTCTTCTCTACAAGAAATAAGATCAAAACTTTTAAAGCAAAAAGTAAATATACAAAATAAAATAAAATAAAATGCTACTAATCAATATCAATTATATTATAGGTAAATAATTCATTTTTTTTTTTTTAGGCCACAATGCAAGAAATAAACTCTCATAGTCGGATGATTGAAACAATATTGGAGAAAGGAAAAACAATTAAGAAACCTAAAGATGAAAATAATTCAGAAATATCATTGAAGGATAGATATGATTTATTACGTGAAAAAATGAATAATTCTATTTCACAATTAGAGAATTACTTAGAAACCTATCAGCAATATCAAGACTTACTTAAATCATATCAAGATACTCAAAAACAGCTTTGGGATCAACTTTCAATATATACAGGTTTATAAATCATAATGTTATTATCATTCTAGAACTTTAATAATAATGTAAAAATTAAAATTATTTTAGATTATTCAGGAAATAAACAAATTTTAGAAATGCGATTGAATAAAGTTAATGTTATACAAACTACTTTTGATAACAATAAAACAACTTTAATGGCAATGGAACATTTTATTGAAAACTTAAAGGATACAATTCCACAAAAAGCAATTGATATGATGTCGAGGGATCATACAAATTTACAGTAAAAATTTTAAAAAAAGAAGCTAGTTGAAGATATAATTAGATACACCTAATTTCATTATAGATTTGAACAAGAAAAGTTCCAGTCATTGTTAAATGATTTATTAGATGGTTTACAAAGTAGAATAGTTCAATGGGTAGAGTTTGAAAATTTAATTCATCAGTTAGCTTCATGGCATAATGATACAGAAAAAAAGTTACAAAACTATTCAGAGAAGGGTACACTTGAAGAAAAAACACAACAATATAATAAATTTCAGGTATAAATTTTATATTTAATTCACACAAAAGAGAAATACTAGGTTTTATCTACACTCACACTCATCATTAGTGTTATCTTAATATAAATATATAGATATTATGTTTTTATATGATTTATTATTATTACTTATAATAATATATAATTAACAGTGGGTGTAACATATGGTGGATATTGGTGTTAAAACATCCCAAATATCAGAAAAATAAACAACTAATAATAAAAATTCCATTGATTTAAAATGTATTTTAAGTTATTAACGTAAGAAATTCTAATGAGATCCTTTATTTTTTCTGAGTCATAGTTTTGTATTGTGTCAGTGTTACAATATGTAATTAAAATAATAACAATGAAATTAAAATACAAATGAATAATTTATTAAATTAATAGGTATAATAATTTTGTAAATTAATATTATTATAGTATTATAAAATTTAGTTTTGAATTTAATTTAGGATTTAGAAAAAGAAATTAAAGGAAAATTGAACGCAGTGAAGGATTTAATTGCATATGGTGATCATCTTCAACAAGTAAGATTTATTCAAAGAAAATGAATATTGCATGCACCGTGTTATTAATTTTTTTAATAAGCCAAGTATAATTTGACACAAAAATATTGTCAAATAAAACAAATTATATAATTTCACTTTAATTTATAAATTGTATATAATTGTTTATAAAAAAATACTTTTAAGATTATTTTAAATTTAAAATATTGATTAATGTTAATTTGTTACTATGTTATAGTCATTATTGGATGACATGAAAAAGAAAGATTTAAATGTTGATAAACTTATTGATCAAGCTAATGAACAAGAGGCAACAGGTGAAGCACGATTATCAACCAGAGTCAAACAGATATCATCTCGTTATCAATCGATGCAAACTACCATTAAAGTAAAAATAAATAATGTTTTAAATTAGTTAAAATTAATTTGTTTTATATTATTTCAGGACATTTTAAATAAATGCCATGAATCGATTAAAATTCATCAAGAATATATAGACAAGTATAATGAATGTTCTATTCAATTTTCAAACATTCAAAGTCAATTTAAAAATGTCAATGAACCTCCATTATCCTCACAAGCTATACATCAATATTTAATTCAGAAAAATGGAAAATTAAATGAATTGTTAGATACAAAACCAAATGTTACATCTTTGTTGAATAATTGTATTGAATTAGGAGAAAAATTATATTTGAGTACATCTATATCTGGAAGAGATGACATTAAACGTCAGTTAGAAGAACTTCAAATCCTATTTGATACTTTATATGATGATCTTTTAAATATTAATAGAGATGTTAAAGATCAATTAACTAAATGGAGTGGATTTGAAGAGCTATATAATGAATTAAATAAATGGTTCAACAGCACTAAACAAATATTAAATAAAGATTTAGTGCTTAAATCTACTTTAGATGAAAAAAAAATGCAATTACAAATCTATAGAGACATGCTACAAGCTACATTAAAAAGGAAACAAGATATTGTGAAATTACATGATCTTACTGACAGAATGCAAATGCGAGAAAATAATGATATTCTTATATCTTCTATGAATAAACAACATGATGACATTTTAAAACTAATTCAAGACTTTGTTGATAAATATGAAGCAATTGTAAAAGACCATGAACAATATACTAAGTCTGTAATGGAAATGCAAGAATGGCTTGACGCAACTCATAATACAATAATACTCTGGGGTGATACAAATTTAGAAAAAATTTCTTTATTGAGTAATTTAGATCGAATTAAGGTAAATAAGAATTGAAGTTATTGTCCATTATAAATATTTCATACTTATGATTAATTTTGTGTTTATTATGTATAATCATATTTTTCAGAATTTATTATTAAGCCTTACAGAAGAAGAAAATAGAATTCATAATATACAAAAACTAGCTGAAAAAGTTATACCTGGTACAGTGGAAAATGGACAAGTGAATATTAGGGCACAAATTGACTCATCACAACAAGATTGGGAAGGACTTATTACTACAGTAAAGTAAGAACACAGATATATAAATATGTGTAATGAGTATGCTCTTTCTTATATGTTTTTTAGAATATTTTAGTAATAATAATGTAGTTTTAATTGTACAAAATAAAATTGGAACATTATTTTTTTTAATAAATATAACTATATAGTATATATTATCTTTATTATTCTATGAAAAAAATAAATTATATGTTTAGATCATCAATAGAAGCTTTAGAAAATAAACTTAATAGTTGGAATGAATTTGATACACTTAAGGAATCATGTTTAATATGGTTACGAGAAACTGATTATAAAATACATGCTATTGATTTGAAAAACTCATTACAAGAAAAGAAAACTCAGCTTGAAGAACTTAAGGTTGTTTTAATAATTATATAATTTAAATATACAATTTATATTATTATATTTTAATTATTATTTATAATAAATAACTATATATATATTAATTATAGGATTTACAAGGAGTAATTCGAGCTAAAGAATTTGAGATTGATTCAATTACTGAAAAATCACAAAATCTGTATACAATGTCTATGTCAAGTAAAAATTCTCAGATTACAGAAATTGTTCAAAAATTTCATCAGCTTTCAATGAAAATAAAAGTATTTGTGTTAATTATTATTAATTTTTAAATTATAATTTATTGGTTTTTTTTTTTATAATTTCAAGGAATTGGTTGGGAAATGGCAACAATTTGTTAACAACCACTTAGAATTTGAAAGTAGTCTAAGTGAAGCTATTATTTGGTTGGATACTGTTGACGATAAACTCACAAGTTGTACAGATTTTAAATCCACTAGTAAAGCTGATTTAGAAGAAAAACTCATTGTCATCCAAGTAAATATAAAAAACTAATATTAATATAGTTAAAGTATACATTTAACTACATCTAGAACAATGATTTATTTATTATAATTTTGAAGTATTCAAATAAATTTAAAACATTAGTTTTAATTCTATATAATAGTTATTACAGTTAAAATCTCTATTAATGGACACCTCTCAATAATGAATCCTTCCTAATAGTGAACACTTTTAAATTCCCCTGCATAAATGTATATAATAAGAGTTATAACCTCTTAATAGTGGATGTGGACACTTAGAACTGGTACCAAAATTAAAAATTACCTCTTATAAATGGACACAATACATGTACATACCGAAAATGTTTAAGTAATAAAAATATCATACATATTTATTTTTATAAATTTTGTTTATATTTTATGTTATCTTAAGAGAACGTTATCTTGCATTTACTGTTTCAGTGCAACTACCAAGTAACATACAAAAACAATGCTTATGCGGAATAGGTAAAAACAAGCTTAATTTTGATTTTAGAGTAAAAGTACCTATTATTATGAAATTTATAAAGAATAATATTTTAGAGAGAATGTCATAGATGTTTTTTGAATTGTGAAATATTAAAAAATAAAAAATAATAAAGGTTTTTGTATCTTTTATATCGAGCTTTATATTTTGAATAATACAAAATCCCTATGAAATTCCTTCCAAATATTGTTCTCTATAAATTTAATTATACATACTTTTACTCTAAAATCAAAATTAAACTAGTTTTGCTTATTCTGTGTAATCATTGTTTTTGCATGTTACCTACCCGGTAGTTGAACTGAAATAGTATATGTGAGTATAACGTTCTCTTAATGGTTTTCCTATTCGATAAATGACAAATGGTTTGGTTATGTGTTCGGTCATCAGTTGTGTACTAAAAACATGTACACAAAAAAAGATTACAGATTTTTTTTAATTGTGCATAAACATATATCATTTTTATATCCACTTTTTAATACATGTACCTTCATATATATATATATATTTATTATGTATATAATAAATAATAAATACAAATTAAATTTAATATTAATCATATTATATCAATTAATTAATATATTTCAGTATAATAATAATACATTTTTTATAAATTATAATAAATAATACCAATTTTAATGTACATGTATATGTATAGCTAATTCTCTATAGCGCCTTCCTATAATGAACGTTTTGTAATTTCTCGTAAATATTCACAATATAGACTTTTCATTGTATAACATTAAGTAAGAAAACATAAAAGATTAAAAATGTTTTTTCTCAAAACATTAAATTTCTTATGGATTCTCACTCAAACACAAAATAATATATTTTATTATTGTGAAAATTAATTATAGTAATTTATATTTTATATTTTTTAGGATATTTTGTTGTACAAAGATGATGGTTTTAGTAAAGTGCAAAATTGTATTGAAATAGGCCAGTTAGTTTTAGCGAACACTGCACCTGAAGGACACAAATCAATAAATGAATCACTTATATCTTTACAAGAACATTGGAGTAGTTTGGCAACAAAGATGGTTGAAACCAAGGTAAATACATAATAATATATTATAATTAGTCAAAAAATAACATTTTTGATTCATTAAATTATAGACGAATATTGATGAATCGATTCAACGGTGGTCAGGATTTTTAGAACATGTAAAGCAAGTTGGACAAATAATAGATAAATTTGAAGAAGCATTACCTGAGTTAGAAGAATTACAAGGAACTATGGCTGAAAAAAGGGACCAATTAGAGAAATTAAAAGTACATATAATTTTTATAAATAAATAATATAATTTTTAGTACCATTTAGAGCTAAATATATATTTAATTCCAAATAAGTTAAGAAATTATTGGTAAAGTACTGATGTATTTCAAAATGTATATTTTAATCAATTGATAAAATTCTAATTTTGTTTCTTTTTTCTATATAGAACTCTTAAATTAAATCTATTCAAAATTATTTATACTAAAGTGAACTGTAGATCCTGGTAAAAATGTATCTTTATTTTGGATTTAATGAAAAAATGAGTTCATATAAATTATATATAATTAATTTAATAATGTTATAAATTAATAATAATTGTTATAAAAAAAGTTAAAAAAGCTAAGGGGGGTATGCCACTGTTGTTGGTAGGAAGTTGGGAAGATAGGATACATAAATTTATTTAATTTATATCTATAAGGAACAATAAACTGTTATTAACGATAAACAATACGGAGAGAAGTTTGGTTATACATGTTTTGAAAGGCCATAATATTTACAATTTAATATAAATTACACTCAATTTTTTTTCCCACTAAGTACAACTTAAAATGAGAATCCTGTTAAATCATTAAGTATTTTTGTTTAGTTTAAAAATTTTATCCACATTTGTAGGTTTCTACAAAATAAAAATTAGGTTCAAAACTAGTTCAAATGTTTTTAAAAATGTATAGAACAAAGTTCTGGTAGGTTTAGTTAGAGAAAAGGAAGTGTGATGGGCTGTAGAAGCAATGAAAAAGAAAAACATTAAGTCCAAATAGAGTACCAGTGGAAGTGTGGAAAATGTTAGGGGAGTTCAGCACAATATGCTGGTTAAAAGATTTGTTTTAATTATGTTCTACTAGAAGGAAAAATACTAGATGAATGGAGAGTTTCGTAGTACTTATATTTAATGGGATAAAAAAGTTATAAAAAGTATGAAAATTATAAAGAAATAAAGTTGTTGAATCATAGTATGAAGATTTGTGAAAGTTTATAAAAAAAGTGAATAAAAAGTGAAATTATATATGGCTTATAGATTTAGAGAAGGCATATGGCATTGTACTGACAGTTTTTCTGATAATAGATAAAGTAGTAGGTAGGTACTAGTTTTTACAAAAAAATATTATTATAAATATAGTAAGTTTATGACATTTTTAATTTGCATTTTCTTATATAAAAATTATAAGCATTTGATTGTTTTTTTTAGCATTTGGATGAAAAAGTTCGTTGTGAAAAGTTGGAAATGGATTCTTTGAAATTAAAAGCACACGAGATGCTAAAAACAGGCCATCAAAGCAATGCTGTTGCAGGAACACAAGAAGTATTTGATAAGTTTGACAGAATTTCAGATAAAGTGAAGGTAAATTTATTATATGTAGATAATTATTCAATTTTTTAGTTTTGTGTTTTAATCAATTAAATTTAATTTTAGAAATTACTCAACCAACGTGAACAACAATATAAAGATCATAAAACATATAAGGAAGCATATGAAGAATTATCTAATTTCTTAAACAGATCTCGAGACAAAATACCATCATTAAAAGAACGACCACTTAGTGATAAATTAGCTATTGAAAATGCCATAATGCCATTAGAGGCTCTTTTGAATAAGAGAGCTCAAGGTGAATTACTTTTAGATAATTTAAATACAATTGGAGACATTATAACAGCAAGTACTTCTGAAACTGGAGAGAAAATTATCAAACAAGAAATTTCTATTATAACTGAAGAATTAAAAAAATTATTTGACGGTATATTAAACAATTAGATGTATTATATTATTATTACTTAGGTAGGTACTGATTTTTATTTTTTCCATTTAGATATATTATCTCAAAAAGATAATCTCCATGCTATTCATACACATTGGAGAGAGTATAAAGATGAGTATGAAAAGCTTTCTGATTGGTTGCAACAAATTGATATATCAATGAAAGCTATTAAAAATACCCCATTAGCGACTGTAGTGGAAAAAACAGATCAAGTAGAACAAATTCAGGTGAACTCCTTTATATGTTCCATAAACTATTAATAAAAGGATAACACATATTTTTAAACAATGTTAATATTAAACATTAGCCATTATTTTATAATTACTTTATAACTGTATATTTTAAATAGTATAATATATTTACCTGTGATATAGTTATCAACAATTTAAACACAAAATTGATCAATTGTTGAATTTATATTTGATTAAAAAAAGTTAAATTTTTTTTTATTATTATTATTTGTTTAAAATTTATATTTCATGTTTTTTTAAAAAAATTTCTATTCTAATATACAAGGTGTCTCACGATTTAACAAATGTAATAACTTTTGTTTTATTCAATATTTTTGCAATACATTTTTTTTAAATAACAATTATGTCTCAGCGCTATGGTTTATACATGTAATTTTTTATTTTTAGGGAAAAGAGGAATTAAAATAAAAATTTAAAATTTAATTTAAATTTTTTTAAAAAAATTAAAAATAGTAATTTTGTAAAATAGATTTTTAGACAATTTTTTGTGGTTAAAACTTTTGTTAAAATATGATCTTTTATTTTCTAAAAGTTTTGAAAATTTGAATAATTTTCATTTCAATCATAATAATATTGTTTATCAACATAATTTACCATTATTGATTGATTTAAACTATTTAATAACTATAATATGATAATATTATTGCATGATATTATATCATGGAAAAGAAAATCCTTGTAATATTGTAATATTCACATTTGCAAAAACTTCAAAAAATCGTAGAAAATAAAAGATCATACTTTAACAAAAATGTCAACCACTAAAACAATTCTAAATATCTATTTTACAAAATGTTTATTTTTTATTTTTTATTTTAAGTCTCCCTACCGCTAAAAAAAAAAAATATTCATACATAAACTGTAGTGCTGAGGCATACTAATTATTTAAAAAAAATATATATCAAAAATATTGAATTGAACAAAAATTATTGTATTTGTCAAATTCTTGTGGAACACTTTGTATGTGTAGATTTTGCACTGATAGGAGAAAAACCTTAATTGGTTTTCAGAATTTTGACATTAGTATCAAAGCATCTAATTAATCAGCTTTAAATTTAAACAAAATAAAAATACCTAAATCACTACCTATAGATATTTAATACCTATGATATTTATTTTTTTAGGAAGTGATAAACAATTTAGAAAAAGGTAAATCTAATATTGATAAATTTAATGAAAGTGCAGATCCACTTTTAAAATCACATCTTGAAACTTATGTTAATAATCAGTTAAGACATCTTAACTCTCGATATGAAGTAAGGTTAAATATTTAAAAATATTTTCCAATTGTAACAATACTAATGAAATATTTCAGGTACAAGTAAATTTAGCAAAAGATGTACAAAGAAAAGTAGAAACTAACCTTGAACACCATTTACAATATGCCAATTATTTAGAAAAAGCTAAAACATGGATAAATAATGCAAAAGAAGCAATTAGGTGTGGAAATGAAACAACAGCTAATACTAGTAAAGAAGTTTTACAAGCTCGTCTTGATAAAATTTTGGTAAAAGTCAAATTTATTTTGTATGTATTAAAATATATTATATTTGAATAGTTACTTTTTTTTAGGAATTACTAAAATCACAAGAAGAAGGTCAGCTAATTATTCATTCCACTGTAAATTCTGGTGAAAAAGTTCTTAGGAGTACTAGATCTGATGGAAAAGACTTAATTAACAATCAATTAAAAGAAATTCAAACAGATTGGGATAGGCTTGTAAAAAAAATAGCTACATCTAAAGTTCATATTGAAACAAGTCTTCTACAATGGGCCGATTACAATTCATCATATTCACATCTAGAACAATGGATCTCAGATCGCGAAGCTAAACTGGAAGAAGTTTGTGAACTTAAAGTAAAAAGACATTTATTCATTATAATATTTTTATACATAATAAAAGTATAGTACAATTCTTAAATATGAATAAAATCAGAAGATATTAAATTATATACGTTGCTTTTTTACTATTAACATTAAAAGAAATTATTTTGTTTGTGTTCATAGGTAGTTAATACTTAAATTTTAAATATTATTAAAATCAATTTTATACATTTTTAAAATATATTTTCAATTAGGTAACAAAAGCAAAAAAAAATCAAACCGGAATTGGATCATTGAGTATTGGAGAACGAAAAGCAACACTACGTAGAACAAATAGTATTGTTCAAGATATTGTTTCATTTGAACCTATGATTCAAAAAGTAACACTTAAGGCAGAAGACTTACAACAAGGTGTACCTGCAAATGAAATAACTAACAAATATCATACATTGAGTATTAAAGCTAAAGGTCTTTATGAAAAGCAAAAAGAAACAGTAAGATTACATCAAGAATTCATTGATGCTGGAAATGATTTTGCTATTTGGCTAAGGTCATCTAAAGAACGTGTTAGCAAAATATCTGAACCAACAGGAGATAAAGAAATGTTGAGTGCTAAATCTGTTCAATTTAAGGTACCTACTCGATATTACAATCTTGTTTAAATATTAAAATTATTTATGATTTTATTATTGTTCTAGGTATTACAGAGTGAATTACCCGAAGGACAAAAAAAATTAGAGATTGCTCTCGAAAGAGCAGAAAAAGCATGTTCATTCGCCGATGAAGAAGAAAAAGAAATTATTGAACAGGAAGTAGTTATGCTACAAGAAGAATTTGATATACATAATGACATACTTCAAAAAACTAAAACATTGTTAGAAGTAAATACAATTTATTATTAGAAATGTTACTTGTTTATTTAAATATATATTGATCTATACATATTATCTATTAATATTTATCTATATGTATTTTTAACTTTAGGATGGCATTTACAAATGGAATGATTTTGATGATTATTCTAAAGGTGCCACAGAGTGGTTAAATAATACTGAGCTACTTGTACAATCATATAATAAACTACAGCCAAGTCTAGATGGGAAAAAGGAAGCACTAGAAGAATTTCAAACTCAATTACAAATGCTATTTGACTGGCAGAAAGAATTGGATATTTTAAATGGAAAAGCACAGGTATTCAATTGAAATAGTTATTTTAAAATATTATTCCTCCTTATTATATTAATATTAAATGTTTTTAAATTTAGGTTCTTTTGGAAACATGTTCTGATACACGTTTATCAAATTCAATAACCCAAATGACAACTAAATACAATACATTACTATCCTTAGCTAAAGAAGTTATGCGACGTTTAGAATTACATTATCAAGAGCATCAACAACATAATTCATTATACCAGGAATGTCTAGATTGGCTTGAAAGAACTCGAGATAAGGTATTTTTACTAATAAAAATGCACATACAAATTATTAATAAAAAATGTTTGTTTTAAGTTAAATGAATGTGAAGAAATACCAAACAGGTTAAATGAAGTTAAAAATAAACTTCAGAGCTTAAAGGTTATTAGGCAAACACTTGAACAAGGTCAAAATCGTTTAAGATACATAATGGAATTAAAAGAAAAAGTTGTACTTAACACTGAATCTCAAGGTACTGTTAAAATTGAAGAAGACACTGAAAATTTAAGACAAGAATTTGACAAACTTTCAAATAAAATCCAAGTAAGTAATGATTAATGTTATGTACTTAATAAGAATCTAAAATGTATATAACTGTCAACTGTCTTTTGTAAAAGGCGTGTAACAATAATTTAACTTTGAGAGTAACACAACTTGAAGAATTAGAGAAATGTATAAAAATATTAAATGAATGCTTGGACGATATAAGTTCTAAAACTAATGGAAATGATCTTGATCAACCATTAAATGATTTAAGTGAAAAGAAAACAGCGTTTGAGAAATTTAAATCCTTACTTCGTGAACTTAATACCCACAATGATTTAGTATGTATAAAACCATAAACTGAAATTTAAAACTTTATTGACATTTTTTATATAACTTATATTACCTATAAATAGGTTAATCGCTTATCAACCAATATGAATAATGAATCTTCAACTCAAGAATCAGTTACTTGTATATCTAGATATAACAATCTTATTACTGTGGTAAGATAAATTCAAATGTTTATTCAACAATACAAAAACAAAATAAATCCAATTATATATTCTTGTAATTTTAGATAAACAAAAAATTATCTGCTATGGAAAGTCAAGTAACGGAACATGAAGCTTATAGAAATGCATTGATAAACATAAATGATTGGTTACGAAAAACTCGAGTTTCAGTTCAAAGTTGTGCAGATACGCATGGTGATTGTAAAGTTAATGCTTCTAAAATTATCCAGCTAAAAGATATTGAAGAATCTTCCCAGAACGGTGAAGGAATGATTAAAGATATTTTAGCACAAATTGAAGTGCTTAAAAATACTACTGGACCAGAAGGTTGTGATAAATTGAACCAAGATAAAAATCAATTGAACTGTGACTGGGACGAGCTAAAGCATTTTATTAAGGAAGTGCAATCGTCATTAAATAAATGCGCAAAGGCATGGGAAGACTTCAATGTAGTATACAAAGCATTAAAAGACTGGGAAACAGATCTATCAAATAAAGTCAACACAGCTGCTTCGTCTAACGAAACATACACTCCAGATGATTTAGACCAGTACAAGCTTTGGCTACAAGAAATTATAAACCAAAATGTATCCATTGAAGAACTTACTGACCGTTGTGAGTTATTAATGGAATTAAGTGCATGCAATTGGGTTAGGGATGACACACTTAAAATACAATCATCATATACAACATTATTAACTACAACTCAAGGGTTAGTATTTTATTTCTTAAGAATTTTAATTAGATCAAATTGTTTTATTATCTATACATTTTATATTTTTATAATTCATTAGACTTGTATCAAAAGCAGAAAAAAGCTTGACTGATCATACTGAATTTATTGCTGCAAAAGAAAAAGTTGAAGAATGGTTAAATCGCGCTCATGGTACAGTTCAAGATTGTATAGGCGAAGGTGATTTAGGTTGGGTGAAGGATAAATTACAAACAGTAAACCTTGTTTCTTCCAGAATAACCGAAGGTACCTAATAATAAGTTATTAAATATTTTACAATAACTATTTTTTTTTTCTATTTTTACAATCGAAAAAATTGTGCTATACTAAAATTTAACAACAATATTCTTTTAATTTTAGGCCAATATTTAATGAATGGAATGCAAGAAGTATTTACTAAAGCATTAAATAACACATTAGCTATGGAAAGAGATGGTTTAGTAAATACTATGGAAGAACTCCGTAATAGCTGGAATAGTTTAAACATTAATTTAAATTCGGTTATTGCACATCTGAAATCTCTTCAAGCTCGTTGGGAAGAAAATAACGAAGCCAAAGATAATCTTGAAAAATGGTTAAGTTCATTGGAATCTAAAATAAATGAAAAACATGATTTTATAGCAGATGTTGGTGAAATGAAAACATTGCTTGAAAGATTAAATCATACAATAAACGTGATCGATGAAAAAGAAACAGATTTCAATCACATTATCACAGAAACTGAAGAACTCTCAAAATTTTGTAAAAATAATCATTTGAATTCTGATATCAAACAATTAAAAACTAGGAAAAATATTCTTAAAGAAAAAACATTGAAACATAAAGATAACTTAGAAAATGAAATTTTACAGCACTCTAATTATTTACTAGCACTTCAAGAATCTGAAAAATGGTTATTGCAAATATCATTTCAGTTGATGGCTCATAACTCATTATATATTACTAACAGACAACAAACTCAAGAACAATTAAAACATCATCAAGTTTTATTAAATGAAATAATTCAGTAATAATTATTTGTTTTAAATATATAAGACTGTTATTACTAAATAATATTTGTTTGCTTATAGGTATCAAGAAGTATTAGATGATTTAAAATCTAAGGGAAAAACTCAAATAAATCGCTATATTGCATCTACTCCATCAATTCAGTCAGTAGTGGAACGACAATTGAATAATATTCAAGATAGTTATAATTCATTGTATAATACTGCTCAACAAATAAAAGCTAGACTAGAAGAATCTCTATTAAAATTTAAACAATATGAAGACATGTTAGAAAGTATTTGGTCAAATTTAGATGGTTATCAGCCACTTGTAAATAAAACTATAAATGAAAATTGGTCTCTTGAAGAAACCAAAGAGCAATTAACACTTTACCGGGTAAGAATATATTTTTACAATATTATTATAATTATAAGTATATACCTGCATCTGTTTTTTTTTTTATATAATATAAATTTTGATTATTGAGGTACTAAAAATATAACATTATTTTACTTTTCTAATGTGTATCACCTATTGTAATTATCTAAATAATCAAATTAATAATATGAAATAAAATAAACTACACTGTTTGCCTAGAAATTATTAAACATTGTATTGTTTTCAATAACTTGTCAAAATAATATTGTTACAGTTATTTTGTCTGATTTTTATTTAAAAAAAGTTAGGAAAGTAAAATACATAAAGGTATAAAAAAAAAAAAAATCAACAGTGAAATAATACAGTCCTCGCTGTGGTCTGGTTATAACCTAAAAAAAAAAGAATAATATAAAATTTAATAAATATTGTTACTATATTTTGTCTGTTTACTTTCTCCCTCAAAAGCATTGATAACATCATAATACAATGGCCTGTACCACTAATTATAATTTTCCCCAAAATTCTAAAAATATTCATTAAACAAACTATTTAATAATATTTCTTTTAAACTAATAAATTAAATGTATTCTTATAGGATCTTCTGAATAAATTACAAAGTGAAAAAACTAGGTTGGCCTTAGCTGTACAAGCTTGTGAAGCAGCAGTGGCCAGTATTTCTAGGCCTAGTAGTCCTGTAGAATCAAATAATTCTCAGATTCCCGAACAAGAAATTGCTATTAGATTGCGCTTAGAAGAATATCTTGATCAGGTAAGTTGTAATGGTTTGATATAATGTCGATCATAAGTATTCTTTTACATATTAATACTTTTTAAGTTATTTGTTATTAATATTATAGTAATTTGTATTGTTAATAAATAATTGTTTTTTTTTTTTTATTTCACCTATTTGTTTATGTATCTCTTATTTAATAATGCTAATGTTTTGTAGTTAATTATAACAAAGTAGTGTTGTTTTTATGTTGTGTGCTATATAGAAAAATAAACTAGTACCAAAAGCATTTAAATCATTGCTACCAATGCTTGAACACTTAGAAGACACAGGCATACCTAAAATTTTATTTACATTTACTGGACATGTAAGTAATTTTTTAATTTTTATCAATACTAGAAACAATAATTTTTATTTCCAGTAGGCCATTTTAGATAGGTTTATAATAAAGATGCTTAGTATTGCGTTAATTTGTGTTTTTTTTTAAATTTTTTTTTAACAAATTTAATAGAATCTAAAAATGTTTAAAATAAATATAAAACCACCACTAATTATTACACTCATAGGCCACTATGAGACACTATGGATACTATTTCTAAATAAAGAAACAATATTAATTTTATTTCTTTAGGTACAAAACTTGGTAGATGAGTTGGTTAATATGACATCAGTTTTGGAAAATAAACAAAACCAGCGCTCTAGAATTTATGAATGGATTGAAGAAGAATTGGCTATTTTGAATAAAATGAAGGAAAAACTAACTAGGATTAATGTAGAAACAACTGCTCAAGAAATTAATAATTTAAATGAAATGTTACAAAATATTAGTGAAAAACAAATCGAAATATCCGAAATAGTATCAGATAATTCATCTGATAAACTTTATAATGATTTAAACAATTTGACAAATATGGTAAATCAATCAATTACAATTTGTTTAAATTAATATATTTCTTTATAATATTAATATTAAATATCATTATTATATAGTTTATATTAATTTAACTTATGAATTAATATAAATATATTAAATATATAGTATTATTATAATATATGTATAATAAAACTATGTAATACAATAATGCATTACACAGTGAAGTATTAGTATTTAATATTTGAATATTATAGTAAAATCATAAATTTGTAAATTAAAATGTATATTATGTATATGAGGTCTTATGAGAATTAATTTATAATTTCCCCTGTTTTTTATAGACAAGTGAAATACTTTTGAAAAAACAATCTGATCAAAAATTATTATTAGATTTTAAAAATAGCGAAACAGATTTACAAAATTGGTTTGATAATTTATCAAAATGTATTGAATCCTTGGAAAAAGGTAGTGGATATACTTGTCAACAAAAATTAGAACTATTTAATGAACTTAAAGAAAACTATGTTAATAATGGAGAAAAACTTGTCAATAGTTTAAGAACTAACTCTCAAAATTTAAAAGTAGTAGTCAGTATAGTAGATGCTCAACTACTTGAAGATCAGGTAGCCTGCTTATTTATTTATAATTTGTATTGTATTTTGTTATTGATCAGGGCCGGATTTGACGGGGGGGCATTAAGGGTATATGCTCCGGGCGCCCAAATTTTAGGGGCCCCAACACTCAAATCAAAAAAAATAAAAAAATTGCAATTTGGGTTCTCAAACTATATTTAAAAAAAAATATAGTTTTGAAAATAAAAATTATTAGGTATAAAATATAAATTAAATTGTATTACAATATACTACAGTCGTTATTATTGCATTATCACGGTGACATAAAGTTGCGAATTGAATAATTACATGTGTATGTTTATAAAAATCATAATGTAATCTATCACAAATCACAATGTAAAATGTTGGAAAATTCAAGACGTCATAATCATTATCGGCTTATCGTTGTTTATAGCTTTTATGCCTTTATTGTGAATTATTTATTATTTTGTACATTCCACTTTTCGACTAAATCTCGTTATTTCATTATAATCAGCCAAGAATACTCATGGGCCTGTACTGTATATATTTTTATTAATAAAATAAATAATATATTACTGTATGACTTGTTCAATTTATTTAACATAAATAGTTATTTTTAGTTCTAACTATAAATATATTTTACGCATGGTATAAGTTTAGGTAGGTATGCAATTTTTGTTATGGACCATTTAGGGCCCCAAAATATTTTTGCCCTGGGCCCCCTAATGTTTAAATTCGGCCCTGTTATTGATACAATATTTATTGAAATTTATTATACCTATATTTTAAAAATTATTAACTACAGAATTGAAATTAAATTACCTAACTTATTTTGATTACAGATGAAATCGGCTGATCGACGGTATAGAGATTTTTGGACAAGAATGGAAAGAAAATATGAAATTTTAGAAAATTCAAAAACTAATCTACTTTACGTTAGATCTAAAATAGAAGAAATTGCAGATTGGATAAATAAAAAAACAGATAACTTAAATGAAAATAAAATAATAAGTTATGAGAGTAACATAATTGAAAAAAATTTGATTGATTTGAAAAACATGAACAAAAAAGCAAAAACAAACAAAATTTTCTTAACCGATTCTCTAGCAGTCAAACTTAATGCAATAGAGCTTGAATCAGAACCAATTGAATTCAATGACCTTGAAGAAAAATTGTATAAACCCACAGTTAACAAATTAGACAATTTAATAACAAGTAATTATAAATATTTTTAATATTATTTTAAAAATAATAATAAATTTTATATTTTTGAATATTTTTGTTCTAGGAATAAATGAAAACTTATTTAAAACTAAAAACATGCATGAAGCCAGTCAAAAGTTTGAAAATACACTTAATGAGTGTAATCTCTGGTTAGATCGTAGTGAAAAAGATCTTTCACCAGATAAATATAAAGTTGAACCTTTAGAATTGATTCAAGCAGAGAAAAATATTGAAGATATTTTGGTAAGATTCATTTTAACATTTATCTAACTTAAAATTATGATTTATTGGATATTTCTAATTATTTTATTATTATTATTATTTTTTTTTATATAGAATTTTAAAACAGACCTTCAGTGTTTTAAAGATGGCAAGTTATCTGATGTTGAAAAAAATAGTCAAGTTTTATGTGGATTTTGTAATAATGAAAATATTTCAAAGATAAAATATGTTTTAAGTGGTTAATATATTATTTATATTATTAAATTATTAGAAGTATGATTTGTTTTATTTAATACTACTCTGTATTTTGATTTTAATTTTAGATTTACATCAAAAAGTCAAAAATATAGATGCAATGAGTGACTTTGCTGAAGGAAAAGCAAAATCTATTTTGAATGATAGAAAACAATTTGAAAACAATGTTAATTTATGTCAGCATTGGTTCAGTGAAGTAGAAGTTATTATGTCTGCTGATGTTCGACTATCCAGTTTACAAATTGTTGAAGATCAACTTCAAAAGGTTGATTAGTACTTATTATATCTGATATTTTTAATAGAATTCATTACAATATCACATTATTATATTTTACATGTAGTAAATAAAAAAAATATTATTTTATGTTTATAACATTTATATACCAAGTGATTCTTTTATTGAAATTTTAGTTTTTGATGTGAAACGACTTCCTACTTTTGATTTTCAAATAGCAACCTTTACTCAAAATACCTTAAATAGATTGGAGTATAAGTTAAAAAAATGTTGGTGTTGAAATTTTTAATTTCTGTTTTCCGTTGACGAGATATTCCATTTTTAAGTTTAGGTCAGGAGAGAAATGGTGCATTATTAAAACACCGCCTGCTGTGCCGCCACACAAATGATGCTCTACTACTCTCCTTGATCCAAATTTAAAAGTGGAATATCTCATCAACGAATTGATAGAAATTAAAAATTTCAACACTTAAATTTATTTTAACTAATACTCCATCTATTCATGGAATTTTTAATATAGGTTGTTATTTAAAAATCAAAATTAGGTAGTCGTTTACCACTTAACAATTAAGATGACAAAATATAATGTAGATATAATATTGTAGAGCTGTTTGTTTCTTAAATTTTCTATAAAACAGATTCCGAAGAAAGTTAATACTTTCCGAGATAATAAGTGTTTAACAATATAAGAATCACCTGGTATATATTTATTTTTAATAACATTTTTTAACACAATAATATTACAGTATGCTGTATTAAGCAATCGCAGTTCTGAAATTAATCATATTATTGAAGAACTTAAAGATATAAGTAAACAAATGGCATTATGTGAATCGGACACCTTAAAAATTGGTGATCAGATTTTATCTTTAGAAAACTATCAGAAAAAAACAAAATCCATGATTAAAGATAGAATTGAAATGCTTGGACAATATCTAGAAAAAATGAAAAATATTTCAAAAACAATAGAAGAAAGTAAATTAATGATTAGTAAAGTTCAGTCAAACTTACAAGAACTCAATCGTCCTGTTGGAAGCACTGTAAACGATGTGAAAGATATGATAGTGTCTTATGAAGTAAGTTAAACAATAAATTTATAGGTTTACCTATTTAAATGCATACAATTATTTATTTATGAAATTCTTTAATTACAGTCATTGCTGAAAGAATTAAAAGAATGGAATGAAAAATTGGGTGAAAATGATGCTGAATCACTTAATGAAATCATTAAACAACAAGAAGAATTGATCAATACAATTGAAAAACAACTTTCAAAACTTAGGCAACTGTTACATCTTCATGAACAGTTTATGATATTAATTTCTGATATTGTCACATTTCTTACAAAATATTCCAGTGTTGTTAATGAGATTGGAAAATCTGGAAATACTATTCAAAACAAAATTAAACAGTTTGATGAGGTTTTTTTATTTTTCACAAATATACTTCATGTGAATTTTATCATAATTATTATTTAATATAATATTTCAGGTTACAGTTAAAATTCAAGAATGTGAAGCTACTCTTTTGTTAGCAACAGATAAGGGGGAGAGAATCGCTGAAGAAGGTTCTGCATTTGATCGTAACAACATCACTCAGCAGTTGCAATCTTTAAAACAACAGTTGAATACTTTAAGAAAAGCTGTTGATAAAGAAAGACAAAAACTTGAGGCAACCGCAGCAGAACATATCAAACTTGCTGCTGATTTAGAACAGGTTATGGATTGGATACGGGAAAACGAGACTCTTATTAAATCCAGACCACTTCTTGAAATTAATGTTGATAGTGTTGACAAAGATTTGAAAGAACATGAGGTAATAATTATAATGAATGGTATATAAATTAGGTACCTACCTTATTATTATTGAATTATTAATAATATATATAATCTAAAATACAATTTAATAATTAATTTTCCTATTTTGTAAATATATAGGTAACTAGACTCATTTTTAGTTTTAAAATGTATACATAATGTTTAAAAAATAAATATTTTATGCCAATCTATTGTAGTGTGTAAATATGTGCAATTGTTAAATTGCATAATATCTTTGAAATATTTATTAACTTTTTAGGAATTAAAAGTTAAAGTCAATGAGCAGTTATCTCGATTAAGAACAATACATTTAACAGCCCAAAATGAAAATATTGAAAATAGTACTATGCTTGAATGTTTGAGTGAAGCTAGTTCATTTTTGAATACTATTCCTAAAGAATTACAGGATAGACAAACGTATATAAATATAAATAAAGATTATCGAATAGAATATGAAGAATTTAAAGAAAAATTTGTTTTGTGGATTACTGAAGCCAAACAAAAATTAAAATCAGCCGAAGCTGACAAAAATGATTATAAAAATATTGTATCAAGCTTGGAAAATTTAAAAGTATATACATTTAAAACATAAACTAAAATAATGTGTATTTGATTAATTTACTTCTGTTACATTTCAGGTATTTTTTAATGATCAAGCTATTAACAATTTAGTTACAAAAAAAATTAAACAGTCTATTGATAAAATTCGACCATCCTTAACTTCATCTCAAAACGATATTCTAACATTGGAACAACAGAAATTAAACAAAGATTTTGAAGACATATTGAACTCTGCTAAAATTATACAGAAACAATTTGAAGAAGAATATAGTCTTTTAAAAGAATACAGATGTGCTGTTGATAAAGTAACTTCGATTTTACATTGTTGTGAATATAAAGAAGACCCCATTAAAAATGTAGCTGGTTTATATTTCAACGTTGAAAAAATCACACTTATACAAAATGATCTACTTGTAAGAATCCAATATTTTAAAAAAATGTTTGACCTCTAATAATAGTACCTATATTGTGTTTTTAGCGCCAGCAAAATGAATTGGATTTGTTAATAGAAAAATCAAAACAAGTTGTTGATAAAGTTGGCATAAATAATGAAATTCAATCTGAAACAGACTCACTCATAAAACAATGGTCAGAGCATGGAAAAGCAATGTCATCTCGAATAATTTTATTAACAGAAGTAGGTGATAATTGGAAAACCATTGAAGACGAGTACAGACAGATTGAAAACGAATTAACTCGCATTAAAGATGTTTTAACGAATGTTGATCAAGTAATTAGATCCAAAAATCAATTGGAAGAGTCATTATATTCATTACATGTAAGATTGAAATATTACCTAATTTTTTTAATCAAACCTATGATGCTAATTTTTAATTTATTTATAGAAACTTAAAGAGAATGTAGAGTTATGTAGTGAGAAACTCAATAGTACTAATTCAATTGGTGAAAGTGTTAAAATATTTTTAAGCTCGGAATATCAACTAGCATTTACCACTTTACAAGAAGACATAAAATCACATGATAATAAATATACTGCGTAAGTTATATTACTTTAGATTTATAAAAATATAATGCAATTAATTAGGTATTACTTATGGTTTACATTCTGAGTACACTGATATATTGCATATAAATTGTGTTTTTATTTTCCGTTTCTTATGTCTGTGATCAACATTTCTACTAGAAATCTTGCTCCGATTTTCAAATATAGCATCCTTTCTGAAAAAAATTGTGTACAGTTGGTGCAAAAGATGATAATTTTAAATTTTCCTCTAAGTTTTCTTAATAATTGGGTTACCAGGAAACAGGAAAACATATAAAAACAAGGGTAAAATGTATGATAATTCTAATTTCATGATTTAAATTTTTTTTTTTATAATTCGGAATCATTAAACTAGCCATTTTCAGAAGTAGCTATATAAAACATTCTGGTAATGTAAGAGCTATTTATATAATAAAAATTGTTGATACTTAAACTTTTATTTGGTTTTATGTGGATTAAATAATTGTTTTGGCTGAGCAGAATTTTTTTTTAAATTCAATTAGTTGGGTATCATTAAATAGATAAATAATGTGACTATATAGTTTTTCAACCATAGTTTTGACTTTGAAACCTATACTTTTAAGGAATAAACAGTTTTCAAATTTTGTTAAGCATTTGACCTACTAAGAAATTAATGTGTTCAATGAATATTACATCTATACTTGCACTGTTATTTATTATGTTTTATATTTGTCATATTATGTAACTTCAATGCTTATGACTAAATGGTTTTTTAATATAAAATTAATAAACATTAATTATTCAAAAATAATTAATTATAACCTCATATATATTACAATATTTGCGCTATGTATCTTTATATGTATTTTAAAAATATTGCTTTGGTGTTTATGTAAATAAATAGATTTACATATTATTATTTCTGATAATTTATTATGTGTTTAAGTATTTATAAGTTGGTAATATTATAAATTATTTATTATTTATGGATATAGGTACTTATTCTTGGTGTATATTAAACAGACTTAAGTTACATATTAATTAATATGTTGCGCAATTAGGTAATTCTTGTATTTAGCCAATATTAAATGTTATTAAATTGAAGAAAATTACATTATTTTACTAAAAATTTTAATTATAGGTACTATTCCTTGAATTTTAAATAATTATTTAAAATTATGAATTTATTGAAAATAAAAAGTTCACCATTCAAAATTTTCAAATTATTAAACTCTATAAAATGGCCATCTTCAAGTTTTTTGAGAATATTAAAATCAAAGTTATTTTTTTAGTTTTTTACCAAAATAAAAATTGTATTTTAAATATAAATATTTGTAATCCTTATCCCTGCGAATAATGCATATAAAAAAAAAAAAAAAAAAAAAAAAAAAAACAGAATTTGATCATATTTATTATTTTAAGAGATATTCTAATGGAAATATCTTTGTGGGATACCCTGTATAGTTATTCTTATTAGTTACCCATAAAATGGATTCCATTAACATTTTCAAAGTCATATAGGACTGTATAATGTATACTCACAATTTATTGATAATTATAATTTGTAAATAAATAAAATAAATAAGGATGCAAATTTTTAAATTTTATTTTATAACTCAATTTATTATTGGGCATTATTTTATTTTTTTGTCAAATTTTTATCAAAAATAAAATTGTAATGTATAATATTTAACTGTCAATATAATATATTCACAATGTAATTATATAATATATTATATATGTCAATTATTCTGAAAAATATGTTTGTTTAGGTTTTTTCGGAATGTTCTTTTGATTAGTAAAAATGCTCAGATCTTTTTATGAAGTGCTCTGAAGCAACAGTTTTCATTTTTGTGTTCATATCAATTTACACATTTTAAAATGTTTCATATACCACTTGACACAGTTATTAACCTTTTTTTTTTCTTATCAACAAATAAATTGTGTATATTTTTTTTTGAACTTTTTATTACTAAATCTACATAATTATGATTATTTAGAGCACAGTAGTATAACTAAATATCTACAGTTATTATTATTATTATTATTTAATAATGAATAACATTATAAATACTAACTTTAACTTTTTTTTTAATTATCAAAAAATGTCTTCGCGAAATGGTACGTTTACCATAGGTTGAGAACCGCTGCCCTATAGGATTTGGATGTTTCAACCGGTAATACTTTAAACATTTTTTGACATTTTTTACAGTTCTTTTATTACTTTCTTTTTTTTTTTCTTGGAAAATACTTCTTCGGTTAATTAAAATGCTTTAAAATGTTCATATCATACATTAGATATGTGGTCTTTCCCCCAGTGGTACTTGATTTGAAACATTTTTCTAGATTATCAACTAATTTAATAAATATTTAACAACAAATATTATATTATTACTTATTATGATTTTATATAACATTTTATAATAAAATGTATTTTTGGTACAATTTTATTTGGTGATTCAAAATAAGATATTAAAAGTATGCTTGTATTAACCATTGTGGAATGAACAGTTCATATAATAAATAATATAAATATATAATATACAGTGCGTTTTAAATTTTTAATAACATGCGATACTTACTTAGACCTATTAAGCATATTAAAAATGTATATGTGAATTAATTATTAGGACTGTACGTTTATGATGGTATATGACTCATATCCATAAGCATTATTATTTTTTTACTTTTAACACATTGACATGCTGCCAAACAATAAATATATGAGACCACTTAATTGCTTATGCCGTACTTACTTCTCAGGTATCTACACAAAGTATTATAGTTTTCAATTATACACTGATATTAACAATACAATAGCCAAATATAATTGAAAATGTAAAAATCATTTTTGTATGATGTTAGATTGTAACATGTTACAAGTTGGAATCATAATATGATAAACAAATGAAACTGTAATAATATATATATATACAAGGTACAAAAAATGATTTTCTCAATGGAACTACCAGAATAAAAATTATATCTACATAATATTTTTATAGGTAATTTTATTATAACAGAGATTTAGTGTGTATAGTATATTCTACATATGCGTAAAGCTTATGCACTATCAGAGAACAAATGATAAGTTACAGTTAGTTTTTGATTTAAACTCGTACATAAAAAAAAAGTAATCATAAAAACTCATAAACCATTATAGACATTCATATTGTCGAGATTTTTTGATGTAAAAATTTACTCAAAACACTAGACTAAAATTAAACATTTGCATCGTTATAGTTAAGTGTCGAATAATTGGTGGCTGTCCAAAACGTATATGTATAATTATAGCACTGGAATATGTTACCAGATTTAAACTAATAAACTGTCGGCATTTTTTAGTACGTGCCTACTTGTGTAGAAGGAAAAAAAGTGTGCAATTTCGGATCTTGTGTATTCCATTTGAACATTTGTGTTTCAGTCTCGCGTCTCAGTTGAATAATTTACTGTGCCAATTCGAAGAAAATTTGAATGACTTCAATAAAATTGAAGCCAGACTAGACGAATTAGAATCATCTTTGAATAGTTTAAAACCCGAAGTGGAAAGTTTCTATGTGTTTGCCCAAGACACGGAAGCAACTCAAAAAGAATTTGATGTAAGTCTATGTACGATTAAAATATTAATTATTTATAATTATGAATTTGTGAAAAATCAATACTTGAAAATGTAATTTGCTTAGTCTGTATTTTCTTAATAAATGTTTGTAATAAAAACATAAATAATTTTAAATCTTTTTTTCAGGTTTTATCAGAGAAAGTAAAAGAAGTTCATAGGGTATTGAAAAATTTTATCGAATCCACGCAAGACAACTATATTTCGTCACAAAAACTAGTGCCAAACGATTTGTTAAATAAGGTATGTTTATATTTACTCACTCATGTATTATTTATATATCTAAGCATAGCTTTTGCAAGTTTAATTTTTTTATTATACTACTTAAGTCATAATTATGATAATTATTAATGAATAGAATAGAACATAGTTGAGAAATAAAAGCACAACGTTTTTGTGATTTGGGCCAAACTATGATAAGCTCTGTAAATAAGCATTTATTCTACGATATTAGACGAGGTGCTAGTATTATTTATATAACATTTAACATTTTAAAACATAATATACTCTATTTACTCGCAGTTAAGGATAAAATAAGATTATTATGTTCTTGAAAAACGAATTTACTAAAATAGATTTTGTTCAAAATTATTTACCTAAACGATGTTTTTATTTATTAACGTGATAATGCTTTATTAATCTATCTGAAGTATCATAATATAGTGTGTCTAATTTACAATTGATGTATAGGTACGTAATTTTATGAAGTTTGTTACTATTTAAGTGCTTTTTATTTCTATACGACTATAAATCAATTAACTATTTAATTCATGTTTTTGCATATCTACTCGTTTACGTTTGTTGACAAGAACAACTAAAAACGCAATATAATATTACGAGCGCATTGTAAAAAACGAGTTTTCATAGTAGTAATTATATACATTCCTATATAGTATACAGATATCTAGTATAAAGTGTATGCAATTTGTATAAAAATAATATTTGATATTTTATGTACCTATAATAATGCTTAAGAAAGCGTGAAACAAGGTGAGGATAAACCATTTAAACAATTAATAATTACCTACAATGAATAAATAGAAAAAAAAGACATGATACTGCTGATGGGTGTGCCACTGTTGTAGATCGGAAGTTGGGATAGATGGAAATTTTTATATATTTGTATGGAACGATTAATCACTGCAAATGAAAAACGATTCTGAGCGGAGCTCGGTTAATAGTATTACTTTTTCAACAATTTGTGTTTTCAACAATGATTATTTAAAAACAACAATAAAATAAAAAATAAATTTGATATTAAAATTCCTTTGTAAAAAAAAAAAAAAAAAAAAATACTACATTAAGTTCAATTTTTTTTTTATCACAAAGACCGGCTTTTAATGAACTTGTTAAATTTTTAAGCATTTCTACTTAGTTGTATCGATTTTATCCACAAAGTACCTACTGAATAAAAATTACGTACAAAACTCGCAATATTAAAATGTCTATAAATAACTCTAAAATACCTAACATTTTTTCAACATTGTACCATGTCTAGAAAAATTATAAACAATATTTTCTTTCGGAAATGATGCCACACTCACATATCGAAGCTATTAAATCAAGAGTTCTGGTGGAAATTTTTGTCATAGTATATATATAAAAAAATACATAATTTTAAAACTAATACATTCTTCGTTATAGAATCTAAAAAATACATACCATAGTAAAATCAATATTAAACTTCATTCCGCTACTAATCTAAAACAAAACAAAGTATCAATAATAAATTAAAGTAAAATCAATGGATCCCCATTCCGTTCTGAATTTAAAATCAAATATTCAGTACCTACCTATATTATTTTAATCATAAAAAACATATTACTGAGTTATATAATATTTGTCAAGTTAAATTTATATTCATATTTAATTATTTACATCGCCTTGATAAACTATACTAAAGTGTATTTTTTTGTTTTGATCGTGTAGCTATCACTAGTTTACCTACTAGGTATACATTACATAAACTATATTATTATCAGTATTAGGTATAAGAAGTAAACATTGCATCTGAAAATGTTTTGAGTAAGTAAGCAATAAAAAAATAGTTGTTAATGACTGGACTTTTTATCTATCTGTTACCTTCCCAACATATTTTATGGTCACTTGGGCATAATAATAAAATATGACAATAATTGAACAATAATACGTTTCAGTTGTTTTTTCCCTGTATGCTGTCTGTTAAAATACTTTTTAAAATAGATTCCAACTAGACGTTTGTTCCGATAGTCCAGGGGTATTTCCCAGTAGTATTTTGATTATATAGCATTCGTCAATGCACCAATTGGTCGATTTTTGAAATTATTTGTTTAGTTTTTTTATAATAGCTAGGTTACTTATAGCTTAGGGAAAACTTACAAAACATGACGAAAAAATGGTACTAATTTATACGTGATACTGGTTTTTGACAAAATCGATTTTTTTTCTTTTATAAAATCGTACAGGTATAAAATATTCAATAGATATAGATAATATAGGTAATATATTTATTACCTATATATTTGTTTATATGTTTAAGTTTGATAAAATTATTAATTCTTCGTAAAAGAAAATAAAGTTCCTCGTACAGGTTACCCCACATACCCATTATTACGATATCTCCTCAGATATTGAAGATAATCAAATTTTTGATCACCATTGATACTGGTTTTACCATAGTGTTACTATACTTCCGTCTTTTTAGTCCTGGAATCCCTTCACCTAATTCTTACTAGTTACAACGCTATTTCAGCTTCACCTATTCCTAACTCTTCACGCATTTTAGAAATTAGCTTTCAGGCGGTTGGATGCGCGTGTCCGACGAGATGCGTAAAATAGTTATTCCAACTATCGGAAATATGGTTAGTACGATGTTGATGGCGGATGCTTGTTGACAGATCATAATTAATTGAGTATCCAACTAATTATTTCCTTTCCCGATTTCAAAATCACTACTTCCATTTCGGTGTACATAACTGCAAGATTGGACGATTTGATTTCTTATGTGTTATCGTGCAATTGATTTTATATATTCTATGTTGGGTATTTCATATATTATCTTATAATATTATATAGATTAATTTTGCTATCTTTATTACGTCATTACCTTCTAATGTACATTATTTATCTATTTACCTTACCTACCTATGTTTTCGATTACTGTTGGTTAGGTATAAGAACAAATTAAACCGGATTTTATTCCGTTTAGTCAATTTGTGGTTGAACTTTTTTTCCGAATAAAATTAAGTAGGCCTTTTGTTCCATTTATTTTTCACCCTAGGATTTTTTTCCCAGTATTCATCAAAATACAATTTTGTTTAATACCTACACTATATTTCTGTAAACTAAAAAATCATAAAAAAAACACGAGACTAGTCAAATAAAGTTTGAAACGTTCATATTTTCAGAAGAATAAACTCTATAAAATATTTAAATCTTATATTATTAAATGTTCAATTTAAATACTTGTAAGGTTTGCAAATTTAATATATATGGTTCCTAAGCGTAAATGACGTACTAATTTTTTATGGACGTTTAAAATTAGACGAAATATTTTATGGTTATCTAAACAAAAAATGACGATTTCCCCTCCTGATATTATTATGTTTTGTCGTAATTTAATAATTATGTATGTTAATGAGGATATAATTATTTTTATGTTTATTATGTGTATATGTTTTTATGTTTTAACCGAGCTCTTTAAACGAACTCAGAATCGTTTTATATTCGCAATGATTTATCGTTGATAATAACAATATTTCAGCTAAATTACACAATAGTGTAAGATACCAAAACTTCACACCTATTTTACAATATTGACCTATACATATAATCTATGCCACGGAGTATACAGGTTTTTTTTTCAAATAATAAAAAAAAAACAAATATAGTTATGATAAACAGAATTGTTTTTTAAAACTAAATAGCTATACTTATTGTTAAATTAAATATAATTAAATATCAGTACATTTGATAAAAGTGATATTTTATTATTATGTGTTAAGATTCATTATTGTCTCCATAAAACAACAACCGATAATAAAGAAACACATATATTTAAATATAAACACAAACATTTAGACTTTGTAAGAAAAAAAAAAATTATCAACAAATATTGTCGCGTTTTTCTATTGAGCATACGAAGTTCACACCATGCTGTCTAATCTTGTACATTCGATCACGTTCCGCTATTGATATATTGTAAGCAAATTGTTTTCAAATTTGGTCGTGCATTCATTGTGTTATTGTAGGTATACCTAATCAGGTGTCTGGAGGTATTTGTAGTCCGCTACTTGCGCTCTCCGGGTATTTTTTTTATTTTTAGTCCAAATTAATTATGTTGGAATTTTTTTTCTTGATTGTTCATCGTGTTTAAGAACGATTCACTCCCAAGGCCTCTCTATTCGGTGATGAATAAGGTACAGTACGATACTACATGTACCTACCTACATGTCGCAAGGAGACAAATGACCACGCCTACCTGTAAAATTACGTTTTCCGTCTGGGCGTCTGAACTGCTATTATTATTATTATTTTTTTTTTCATTATTTTGTCGGTTCATATTTCGTATGGTTTATTGTCGAAAATATATATCCCATATAAATAACTGTCGCAAACATTTTCAAGTGTCGATTTGTTAAATAATAATTTTTGAAAATATACAATTCGTACGATATGTCGTTCGCCAAAACAGTGCGTACCGCAATCGATTATAATATAAATAACTGTAAGTAAAAATTTGATTGATTTTAACCGGTGTTTGTTTGGTTTTTTTATTTTTATTATTATTTTTGTATGAGCTCACCGTGTAAAATAGCTTCGGTTTTTAATTTATTCTCAAGTGTTGCCATCATGTACCTTCCCGTCTGACCTTCAAACAGGTACCTAATATATTATATATATGTATATGTCATCATCCAAACAAGTATTTATAATATATTTTGCAACTTTTTTGTAGAATTTTCTTTTTAATTCACACAATTAATATTATGTCTTATTATTTACTTTGTTAATAATATTGTAGTATGCAACGTTGATATTATAATAATATAATATACCTACTTACCAGCAGGAGCAAATTGTTTTCTGCTGGAAATTTGAAACGAACCGGACCATGAACCATTGAAGCGGTTAATGATTTAAGACCTATAGCCGATAGGGAAATAAATTCGTTTATAAGTATATAGGTAGTAGTAGTAACCTACTCGACGTAATGATTTTCATATAGTTTAGTCGTGCCGTTAATTGTAAATAATTTGAACTTTTATAATTTGAATTCTTTAATATAAATGCAGAAATATTTACAGGTATACTTACAAAAAAATGAATTAAAAAAAAAATGCTACAGCAAATTTTTTCTATTTTAATTCCATATATGTATTATTTTTATATTATGACGTAAAACATCATAATATTATAAACTAGATCTTATGAAAAAGATAAATAAACAAACTACTTATTTATATATACCTATACTTAGGACCTTTTTCATCAACTTACTATTAAATGCTTTCACTCATATGATTTTAAACTGAGTTTATGGCAGTTCATAACTGATCACGATTGGTCGGTTACCTACCTATCTTATAAATTCCGTTTAGAACAAACGTTTATGTTGGTGAAAACGGCCCTTAGTATTTACGATTGATTTGCATCCTTACTAAATAAATAATAACCTAGTTATGTAACGATCCCTAGATAAATTACATTTATTTATTTTGCTCTTTATTTACTGTCTCGGAAGTCTCTAAATAATATTATTACTATATAGTCAGTTCACAGTTCCTTCTTATTTATAGTATATATTTTTTAAAAGAGTGTAGTTTTTGTAAGACTCGAAAGAAATAAAAAAAAAAAAAAATAATAATTCCAGGATTTTATTAATTTGGCACAATGACAAATACTTATGTAATCAGTTTTGGCTTAACTAAATGAAAAACATTTATATCGACTATAATAATAATAATAATAATCATACAGTTTTGCATACATAGCTACCTCCAAAGCAACTTATTTTATATGATGTATTTTAATTTGATTATAATTATGTATATACTACGTAGGTAGGTATATTACGGTATTAATTTATTAACCATTGAAAAATATATTTTAAATTAATTTGATCTGAACTTTTATCGGTTAAAAATGTTAGTCGCTCTTATTGAGTTGCATTCATCCACGAGTAGTTAAATTATATTTTTGACTGATAATATATTGTCGTTAAAAACAAGGTTATACGAGATAAAATATTGCTTTAAATTATTTTTTAATATATTATGACGTTTAACTATATTATTAGTTCTATAGATGAACCTCGGTATGTGTTTATGGATAACTATATTTATAAGAAACGAAATAATATTTGCACTGGTATAAACAAAATATCGAAGTATTATAATTTATGTAAATAGCATAGATACTGAATTATACTGATCGATAAATATATATTATACATGCGGTAGTTAGTAACATTATTGGACCCGTTCCATCTAATTTTCAGATATTAACGTACCTTTATTGGCGTGGCTTTGGTCTATTTATTTTTTGTAAAAAAACGTCTTAGTGTATAATATTGTTAATATTTTTCCACCTTAAATCTATCGGTATAATAATATTATTACAGAATGTATAGTGTATTTGTTTATTCCGATACTATTTTGGCTTTTATAAACAGCAAGTAGGTAGAGTAAATTAGTGTATAGTGTTTTGTTGTCTACCTATATTAGATTGCATTTCATTTCCGACTCAAAAATGCTTAACATCAAACGATTTCGTAATTATAATATTATGCTTAAAAAAAATGCAATTTTAGTAAATATTATTAGGTGTACTTTTGAAATAATATTTTTAAACATATCCCGTACGTCTAATATCCAAATATAATATTTTTAAACAAAAGAACGCGTATAAGAAAACGCATTATTATACGATATACTTACCCATAGGTAAGTACTTAATACGAATTATTTGTTTACAAAGAATAAACGTGAACATTTTTGTTGTGGGTGAACAATCACGTATAGTTTTTGATTGGTCCATCAATGAAATTATATAACCGCGGAGGTCAAACATTCGAAACATATTACACTAGGTTTGTCTGTTTGATATTATATTCAGACCGTCAAATTATGCGTTTGTATATTACCGAAGACTTATAAATAAAACGTCCTTTACTGTTGTTGTGATGACTAATATTTTCATGTGTATAAACCTGTTTGTGCTATGGCAATGCCAGCAGCATCCGTGCACAACTGAGCATTATATTATTATACTGTGTCGCCAGTAGTGTGGTTAAACGTTCAGCTATAGTTGCGATTTATCGCGCGAGCTCATTTCGAGGTGCGTGCCGTCCTATTATAAATACTATAATATCGTTTATTTCTTACTCGTTCTATTTTTGGGTATAATATTATATTATGCTATTGTATGGATATTGTATTTACATAGATTAAAATATAATGTAATTAAATACAAATGTTCTTTTTCAAAATAATTAGCGTTCTACGGAATGTTCTAATATACTTATTAGACAATTTTTTTATTATAAAATCAGTATCATTTGGTCTTAGTGTTTTTTAACCGGTGTTCAATTTTCAGTTTAATCCGTTGGAGCTCGTTTCCGAGGAATTGACGAGCCTAATGGATTCGAACAGCAGAGGCCTGAAACGGGCAAAAACCGTCCGTACGGAATATTTAAAGGATGTGGACGACGTACAGAGATGGCTTCAAGAAGCTGAAGTGAAGGTTCAAGATCGGGGCAGTGAACCGAAAAAAATCAAAGAACACATTCAGGTACGTCTCAAAATAATATATGTGTTCAAATAATATTTTTAGATTATGAGTGCAGAGTGGAGCGAAGAAGCTTATGGTTGTACAATATGTTTATTTTTTTTTTTTCCTGTGAACAATTTTTCTACCAGAAATATTGCTCCGATTTAAAAGTGGCGTAGCACTTTTTCCAAAAAGTAAATCTGACTGGGGATGTACTTTGAGAGGTAATTTTTTGATGTTCCCAGGAGTTTTCCCAATAAATAAGAAAACCCGGGAAAAACGTAGGAGAAACGGGAAAATAGGTACAATATTAAACAAATATTATTAAAGAAAATATATATTGCATACGTTATTATTTTACCATAATATGAAATATATATTTTTGAAAAAGCAACATTGTCATTGAATTCCGCTCAGAATAGTTTTTTCGTTAGCAATCGTTGATTACAGATAAACATTAAATTAATCTATAATAGTGGTTACACCCGTCCCTATTATTTAGGACAGCTATTATTAATTTAATCTTCTTAAAGTTCGTTTAACATATAGGTTCTTAACCTATATGGTTCGCGAGTCATACCAATAAAATTGAAAAAATAATTTAACGTAAAACGTTAGTGGTTATCGGAACCGTCTAACCTCACAATTGAGGTCCTGCGCAACGTTTTTTTTACTATCTGCTAAAACTTAAAGACGAATTTAATCGGTATATCCTAGAATATGATGGTTTAGAATCTATAGATATCCGAAGTATGATTCGAAGATGTTATTGAGTTACAAAATGAATTTTTTTTTTTATAAGTAAAAAAAAAAATCATCAACAGATCGAAGTGGTTTGAGACTTATCGAAAGTTCTCTAAGTTGTCTGTAATGTAAAAACGCTTGGTCTAATACAACATTATTCGGATGTTTTCTATCTTATATCGGTAATATTTTAGTAATAATTACATAGAAAAGATAAAATACATAATATTCCAAAGTTCATTATTATATCCTATACCTAGTGTTGTATTTAGCTATTTGGGGTGGGGGGAGGCTGATCAAGTTTCATATCTTATGTTTTATCTACTTTATTATATTATATATTATACAATAATTTAATATTTTCTTGAAATTTTGGGGGAAACTGCATTTATAAATAACTATCCTAAGATAAAATGCCATAAATTAATAGTTATAAATACCTACATACCTATATTATATTAACGCTTTGTTACAGTTTTGATGTACAAAAACCAAACATTTTCAATAATTGCTGTGGTGGTTTTGTTTTGTGTTGATAAGGTTTTTGTATATAAAATATTACAAGTAATAGTTTTAAAACAGTTAATTAATATTTAGATAAAATATTTAACATTTTATGAACATATATAATTAGATATTTCTCATTGGTTACTTTTTTTTTAAATTTTTATTTTGATAGTTCGTTGTTGATTGGAATAACTAAAATACTCTTCATTTAAAAATGAAATTTTAGTTATATAATTATTATTATACACGAGTATTTCACTATACAAAAGTTTGTTATTTTTTTTTTTACAAGTTTTCTTGAGTTGTTAAATTCGTAAATATTGTTATGTATAAGTTTACTATAAAAATATATGTAATGAAAACACAAATTTTAACATTTGATTTTTATAATAGGTAATATAAATTCCATGTTTATTGATAAAAATTTTTTATTAAAATCCTTTATATACAATTTTTCAATGAAATTAGATATTTATACATAAAAGTACGGACATACTTCGCATGTGGGTGCAGCCACTGTAGTTGGGGAGGTAGGATACAGACGGGAATTTAATGGACCATATCTGTAAGCAACGATAAACCATTGCCAATGAAAACTATTTTGAGTGGAGTTTACTTGATAGTGTTGCTTTGTAACAATATATGAAATTATATAATAATTTTATAATATAAAATGATTACAATAATGTGAGTTTCCATGACAACAATGATTGATTAAAAAGATTTAAAATTATAAAAACTTAATAATAACAAAAAATAAATAAAAACGGTAACCAATGACAACCTTATTTTTAATCCTTTTTAACCTGAAAAACCAGGTTTTCTTCATTATCTCGAATATTAATGAGAATTTCAAAAATTGACCTCTTTAAAGTACCACCCCGAGAATATTTCCTTTCAGAAAAGGTGCTATATACTTAATAATCGAAGTATGCTTTCTGGTAGAAAAAGTGTTAAAATAAAAAAAATAAAAAAATAAACATCATTGTGAAACTAATACATTCCTCGCTCCATTTAGAATCTAAAAATATTTGGTACAAGTTATTTTTTTTTAATATAGTTACATTTAAATTTAACTAATATTTTATTTTTAAAAATTATTTTATTTATAATTAAATTACCTATCATATAATTGTAGGTATAATAATGGAACTTTTATTTTGCTTTATATTTTTGATTATTTCTAAATTACAATTAAGTATATGTAAAGAAAAAATTACAAATTCATATTTTTTATTCATTTAATAATATTGCGTTAAATTTGTTGAAAATAAGTCATTTATTTGGCCAACCTGAACTCATAAGTATGAGTGTATGTAACTCATACATATGCATCAAATTAAAAGATAAGATCCATCTTTATTGGTTTTTTTTTTGTGATTATCGCACACCTTACCTTTACAGTTGAATCATGCTGCATTGTATTTTAGTACGGTGTGTGTTGCCTTGTGTCTAGGTTTGTATTTTATGATTTGTTCAGTATGAAATATATTTATACATTTATAATTTCAAAAATATCTCAAGTACAAAGTGAAATTAAGTTACCAGTATAATATTAATTATTAATAATTAATTTAAGTATTAGTTTTTATATTTCAAACTTTTTTCGCAAGTATAATTTTTTTTGTATGTTTTTAAAAGTAAAATTTATTTTTCATAGGTTTTTATATTGCATATTTATTCCATCACTAAATCAATTAGATTATTATTATTGTTAATATGAATAATATTTTAATACATACTATAAAATATTGAAATTGAATTACATGATTTTTTGTTTTAGACAATCGAGGATGAGATTAATGCAGTTAACGATAAATTGAATAGAGCTATAAAACATGGTAAAGAAATCATCGAAAAAACAAAAGATGAAGAGGAAAAAGAAATGATTCCAAAAACCATTGAATCATTAGTTGGAAAAATGAGTCAAGTAAAACTATGGTTAGATGAAAAACGTAATCAAGTAAGTTATAAACATACTTGCAAACATATATTTAAAAAAAAATTGTTTTTAATATTTGTTAAATAAACTTGAGCAATTGAGTAGTTTATAATATACAAAGTATCAAATTTGTTTTATAGCAGTAGGTATACTTTGCTATTATAAAATATTTGAATTCAGTATTATTAACCATGTTGTATAATAAACAAATGAAATAAATCACAATAATAATAATAAATTATAAAGATAATAATTTATTATAAATAATAATAAAAATTATTTAACTATCTAGCTGTAGTTAATAACGAAATATTATATCATTTCAAATATAAAAAGTTTATACTACTATAAAATAATGGGCAATGTTTGTATATTATGAGACTATTGATATATGAAACTGACATTATTATTATTATTTTTATTTAGATTGGAGACACATTGGACGCCTGGCAAAAATTCCTTTCTGTTTATGATTTGGTAATGGCTTGGTGCGAAAGCAAAACAAAATATTTAGAAGATCCAATTAATTTAAGTTCATTAGAAGCTGCAAAACAAAAATCCCATGAATTTTCGGTAATTTATCATTACAACTAAATATTGTATTTTAAATTCAACATAACATAGATTTAATCACGTAGGTATTGTAACACTTGTTTACAGGTTGCTGTGAAATCATGCAAACAACAAACCAAAAACCTAGCTGAAATGAGCAAAGAATTGGATATTATTGCCTTATCAACTGATGTTGGACAGCTGCCTGAAAAATTAGAAGAAGCTAATAATGCCAAAAATGATGTTGAAGGAAAACTTTCAGAAAAGGTAAATCATATTACTTAAAACATTATTAAATAATAATTTGTTCAAAATCTTTGAATAAAATATATTATAATAAATTACAATTGATTAAAATTATGAAGAATGCACTACTGCATGAGACATGTGAAGAATGGGAGCAATTTGAACGGAAATTAAAAGATGTTAAATCATTTATTGACAAGTCTCAAAGTGCCATAGAATCTACTACTAATAAAAAACGAACATTACGTGAACAACATGATCTAAGAGAAAAAATGTTGGCAGATATTACAATACAAAGAAAAAAGATTACATTGTCTACTGAAAAATTACAGGTTAGATAATGTGTAAAATTGTCTGTTTAAATATGCCATTACCTGGATTTTTGAATCTTAAAAAGTGGTGTACAGAAATAAAGCATTAAATTATTTTTTTGGTAATAGTTGTATTCTATGAACTTGACACAATATAGTGATGAATTATTTTAAAATTTAAATGTCATAATAAATTTAAAACTTAAGTTGGAATTCCTAATAAAAACCTTTTAAATGAAGAAATTTGAAAAATAAAATAAAAATATAATTATTCAATTTATATTTGTGAAATATGATTGAAGTTCGGTTACATGTGTTTTATAATTTTGTAATTTTTACAATTTTTATCAAAATCAATCTTAAAATTAAGAAAATAAAATAACTACATTACAATCAACTTTTTTATTACTACGTACAACTTATAATGAACTTCGTGTTAAATTTCAAGTGTTTCTGTGTGCAAACCTATGCGTTTGGGTGTTTAATGCTAAACTAGTTTTATTAATGGTAATCAAAGAAACAATTGTTAAAATTGTTTTTCGTATCTTTGGTTTACCATTGTATTATGTCACCCATTTACTTAGTTAACTTATTATATTTTGAACATGCACAATTCATATTTAAATGATTTAAAAATTCATATTAAATTCTAAAAACAATACTTTTTGGCGACATATTATGGTATGCAAAATACTAATACACACCTACAATTAACGTATAACAAAGCCATTCATTATTGTAAGACTTCTTAGCTCTGCACACAATTTAAAAATATTTAAATATTTTCCGTTTTTACAACTTATTTGAGTACTCAATTTAAATAAATCAGATTTTCAAATGTAGTTTAATTGAATAAAAATCAGATACTTAGTATTAAAATAATACTTTATACAAGTTCTATTTATGTATCTATAGTGTAAATGTAGCTATTTAAAAATATAAAAATAAAAAAATGGTTACATTACTATAATCTCAGTAGTTAAAAATATTAATAAGTTTTTAAAAGTACTACACTTTCTTTATATTGTAGGTTTTTTAACGTTTAAACTTCAGTATTTTAATTAAATTTTGTAATAAAATAACCGTTATTCAGTGTTCAATTTTAAAAATAGCATTTTTTAATTCAAATTCAGACTTTAACGTAATCTTAAATTTTTCTGAGTGGGTAATTCTTATAGAATAAAGATACCTCTTGCATCAGTTGCCTAAAAGCCAAAGTCAACCAGTAATGGGTAAAATTGGTGTGAACAATTTAATACACAATGTAAAATTTATTTATTGTTTTATATAAAATATTAATTAAAAATGTTTTAATCTAAAAGTGTTTTATTTTATTATTTATTTTAGATACATTTCCGAGCTGGTTTTGGGGGCAGTGAAAACATAGAACATTTATCTGAAGACAATTTGTCTCATCTAGATAACTTATATAAAATTGTAGAAGAACAGGCTCATAATTTAGAAGATAGTCTTTCACAGCTCGATAGATATCAACAAGTAAATGCGTACTAATGATTTGGCATACAACAATAGTACCTAACTCATATTTGTATTACAGGAAATCCAACATCTTCGGCAAAAAGTCATAACTGCCGAGCAACAATTAAGACTCACTCAGAGTCCAACATATTTACCTCATGATAGACAAAAAGCTCTACTAGAACAAAATGTAAGTTTTCATACTAATTTTAATTTAAGAGGTAGTTTATAAAAAAATTAAACATTTCTAAATGTTGGTCTTATACAGTATATTATATGCTGAATTATACAATTTTAATGTAAAATTGGCTTTCAAAATTTATTTGTAGATAATCTTATCAGTTTAATTTTAATAATTGTAGTTGGGAAGAAGGAATTAAAGGAAATTAGTGAGAATATATTTTATTTATACATTAATTACTTATTAAACAATTTAAACATTTAAATTATAATTTGTAAGCAATTAGTTGTTATAAAATTTAAAATATGTACTAAGTAAGATAGAATATTATATAATTTGTAAGACAATTTCGATGTATACATTAAAAAGATACTCTTCTGAATGAAAACATTAAAAAAAAAACCGTTCCATTGATTGGAACATTGCAGGCGTTTCAAGAACAAACACGAGTGCTGCAAAGCAAGATTAATTCAAGGACCGAACGAATCAAACTGATCATTCAACGAGGCTCCCCGATATCTGACCCATTATTAAATTAACTAGACATTTAATTGTATTTATTTAACTTCATATTCATTCCAAAATTCTATTTAAGCTATTAAAAAAAAAAAATTCCAAAATAAAAATTAGTTTCTAAAGAAATTTATTCGGTCATGCAGGACGTTCGAAACGCACTGGAATCATATCGGCATCGTTTGGATTGCACTGTGAATGCTGTACGAACGCATATCAATCATTTTATTGGTTCCAATCCTTTGTTGGCATCTACGTCATGTACAGATCCCTTAAATAATCTTAAAAATCTTCAAAAACAAACTTATGTTAGAAAACCCCGAATAGTTCTAAATTCAACTGAACCAAATCAACAATCAATATTCAAATCACGATCACCTTCTCCATTTTGGATAAAAGGACAAACTTCTTTGTATTCTGAAGTTGTCAAATCTGGTTTTGTATCAAGAAATAATAGTAGATGCATGAGCCCCAAATCAAAATCAATAGAAGGACATATAAGTCGAAAATCACATTTTAATTTACTTAAAACACCATTTGTGAGAGATAGAAGTAAATCACCTAAAGATAAGTGTCAAAAGAATGATTTTGAAAAAAGTAAATTGTTTTCCGTGCCACCAAAAACAATATTGTTATCTACCAATGGATCAGCAGTTCCATCTAAAGAATTCAAAGATAACTTAAATATTAGTACACCTAATTCACAAAATATTAAAAGGCGATCCCGGTCTAGACGGAATCAGAAGTCAAAAGACCATTTCAAAAATGAATCCGTTACTGACAAAGTAGTATTAAAAACTTCTAAATTTGAAAACATTATAATTAATCAAAGTATAAATACAAATTTATCAATAAAACCGAAAATTATTGTGTCAGATACAAAAAATCAACATAATTGTTGTACAAATGCTGAATTTCAAAATGCACATCAACCATTAGCAAAGCCTGATGTAGAAACCTGTACCCAAACCGACACAGTAGTAGATGATTTGTATGCTATTTTAAATCAGAAACTTTTAAATTCTGACACTGTAATACCTTTAAACACTATTGGCACCCTTTCTAAAGCTCAGTTACCCTTAGCTAATGTGTCTGATACTGAATATTCAAACTGTTGCTTTGATTTAAATGAACAACTGAAGGGAATATTTGGTTCAGTTGACCAGAAACACTACAAACATCATATTTTTGATCGACCACGTTCCAAATCTGACACTCGCGATCTCAATAAACTCACACAGATATTTAATAGCCAAAATACTAATGGAAAATACACGTGCTGTTTCGAACGTAGTGCTGAATCAGTAAAAAATATTTCCAGTAGGGACTTTACTTCCGGTAGACGTTCTTTTGATAAAATTTTATCCCCTTTTGGAAATGTACAAATGGCAAGTTCAGATGGAACTAACAATGAAAGCAAAAAAACCGTAAGATTAAGTGTGGAAATTTAATGTTTTATAATTGTATTGTTTTTAAAAGTAAATTTAATGTTTTTTGTGATTTGATTAATATTTGATTAGTATTTTGTTACTTAATTTGTTAAAAACATTTTTGGATTTATTATATTTGTCATGTACAGAGAAATTTTTAAATTTTTGATTATAATTCAATAGGAATGATAGGTACCTATTCTAAAGAATTGATTTTAAATATTATAAAAAGAGTACAGAGAAAACAAATAAATATATTGTAGACCTATTTTTAGTCAAATTCTGAAACTTTATCTCTATTCAAAGTAATTTTTAGAATACAATGATAAAAAAATAATAAATCTTAAAATGTATCTACAAAAGTTTAATTAAAACAAATCGCACTAACAATAATTATTATTGTAAATGTGTTTGTAGTGTATCATATAACAACTAACACATGATGGGTGATTCAATAATTTGTTATCTGTTAACATAATATTATTTGTTATTAAGTACAGAGTTATTGAAAATATTTTTTTTTCCAGAGTATAAAATCAAATTTACAAGCACTGGGTGATGAGAGTATCCCATTAGAATTAGCTATTAAACCATTTTTAACATATGATGAAGGACATATTGCAATACAAGAATTAAATTCAACACAAACAATGATTTCTTCCTTAGTTAATAGCAATGATAATCAATCAAAAACCGAAGCAATAAAAGACCTTACAACAAATGTTCAACAATTTGATAATATTTTATTAGAATTTGAAGATGAAGATAAAGATGAATTTGTAAGTTAAAAATTATAAACTCGCATAAAATTTAATGCCAAGTTTATATATATTTTTTTTATTAAAGGAAAAATTATACAATATAAGTATCAATATCAATAAATTAAAAAAGATTATAACTCAATTCACAATTTATGAAGAAATAGAAGAATTTAAAGTTTTAATTAATCAACTTAAAATCATAATGAAACAATTTGAAAATAAAAATAAAATTATTACTCAGGTATACCATCAGTTTGCATTAAATTACATTATAAGCAATACCTATATTTCTTGTAGAAAGAGAAATAATTTTAATGTATTCATATTTGAAATACACATAATTTTTAATGGAATTGTTTTTAGATTATATCAATTGTTATATTTATGAGACTTGTTAATTTATATACTGTTTCAAATTAATTTTTCAGCGAACATTAAATTATACAGATGATACTATAAGCTATTATGAAAATTTGTTATTAATTTTTAAAGATAGTGGTTTAAAAAATGAGGTAAATATATTTTTTTTATATATATTTCACAATTCCTTTATAATTTTTTGTTATATAGGTATTGTAATTGTTTTATACATTTTTTAGAATAATATAGAAGAAAACATTTTTGAATTAAAAAATAAACTTCATGAATTGGAAATGTACCAAGAAAATATTGAATTCGAAACACGCATTTTAAAACTAAAACATATAATTGAAAAACTTGAAATTATAAATTGTGAAATTTCAACAATGAAACAGGTATGTTTGCACGTTTATAATAATATTATAATATCACATATCATTTTTAGTTAGAATATGTAATAATATAATTTTTTATTTATAAGTTTAGAAAAACAAAAAAAAAATAATAAAAATAATATACCTATTAATTTTAATTTTTTTTTGTAAACATATATGGTTCTAGTTGACATTTGGTATTTGTTATATTAATGAATATATTAACATCAAATTTTCATTTGTATGTTTTATATGAATACTTTAGGATTATATTTAATTATAGAAGTTAAATCATATAAAAAATCAGTCTAATTTGTATGGATTTTAAATAACATTAAGTTTATATCTCAATTATATAATAACTGTATGCACTATATATTATGCGAACATATTATATTTTAACTTTTAATGTAAATATAAATTGTTAAAAAAAATCCATAATTTATAAAATTAATATTTTCTCTTTTCATATAAATTGACAAATTTACTGTAGCAATATATCTAACTAATAATAATAATAATAATAATATGCAATATGCTTTTTAAAGTAGGTATAATGTAATGAATTGCTATTATTTTCAAAAATATATTTAGTCCATTCCTATAATTAGATACCAGAAAACTGTCTCATATTATACGTATAGTCTTATTTATATTATTTTCTTAAAACCTATAGTATTTTTTTCAGGACACCAAATTATCTAGGTATCTATATTATAATCAATAAACTAGTTAGGTATATTTTATTTATATAAATCTATTGTTCTGTATTGTTTATTGCACATTTAAATTGAATATAGTCAAATAGATGAAAAATGCTTTATTTTCAGGACACAAAATATAATGTTGAAAGCACAGTTGTATCAAATGAATTATCTTGCATGTATTCACCTAAAGATATACATAAAACTAATGTAGAAAGCATGACAATCCCAAAATTAAATTTGTCTGTAAATTACCCAATCATAGAATCAAATTTATACGAAAAAGACTTTAAAAATAAATTGAGCATAGTAAGTCACATTGAAAAAGATAATGAAGCTAGTGTAGGAAATGTATTACAAGATAGTGAGGTGTTAAGAAGTCCAAAGTTAGTGAGAAAAGTGAATCAAGCATTAACACATGTTACTGATGATAATACTGATAAAACTAAAATTAATATTACTAATCAACAAATGTTAGACTTTCCTGAACAAACACAATCTAAAACAAGCAATTTAACTGAAACTGATAACCAAATGAAAACGCAGGCTTCAATAAATGTACATAAACAAGATCAATCAGATAAAATACATTCTAATACTCAAAAACTGGATTCACCAGAAAAAAAATCAAAGGGGTTTCTTCGTTTTAAAATGCCAAATGTATTTTCAAAAAAATCAAAACAAGGAGAAAGTGAAAGTGAAACTATATTTAATAATCAATCAGAGCAAAATTTAGAAAATGAGAATGATACTGTGAAACTTTTAAAGTATAAAAGAATGAGTAGCACAAATATTAATTCTAATAATATTTTACAAAATACGGAAGATATACATAATGATGCAAATAACCAGAAAAATGAAAATAAAAAAATTGAAGATGATGAGAATTTTAAATTTCCCGATAAAGAAATGTCACATGAAAAAGATGACCATACTTTTACTTTTACTAATATAAATGACAAAGTAGCAAAAATAATTGAAAAAAGCAATTCTAATCAACCCACTGAAAAAATGACTCAGAGTCTTCAAACTTTAATATTAAAGAACCAACTAGATGTACAAAAACGTAGCTTCGTAAACACTGGTGAGTTACAAATAATAGATAGCGAACCAGTAACAATTAAAAAAACACGAAGAATAATTAGACGTAATATAATTGTTGATGGAAAAGAAATGCAAATCGAGGAGGAAATTGATGAGCCTGAAACTAATGAGAACATTAATCTAGGTGACAAAAAAATAATTGAAGAAATATTGCATCCTGATGAAATAACAAATATTCTGCAGTCCTCTAGTATCAATGACAACAGTCAAATCTTTTCATTAAAAAAAAAACGTAAAACAATAAGACATACAATTATAATCGATGGGAAAGAGTCTATCATAGAAGAGGAAGTTGATGAACCTGAAACTAGTGAAATTATAGTTGTTAAGAAAATAATAATAGATGGCAAAGAAATAATGGAAATAGTGAAAAAACCAAGTGAAAAACAGATTAACTTGGCTGAAAATATTAGTAATATGATAACTGGCCATAATTTAATTACTACAACTAAAACTCCTAAAATAATAAAGCGCAGATTATTGGTTGATGGAAATGAAACTATAGTAGACGAGATACTAGATGAACTAGAAGGTGATGATGTGTCTAAAGAAACATCGAGCACAATTATTAAACATAGCGATGGAATTTTCAGTGAAGTAAAAGATTTAAATGACGTACAAAAAATGAATCAAATTACTGGTATAAGAAATGATATATTAAACAGTAAAACCATCATAAAATCAAGTAAAGTAACTGACGGAAATGAGATAGAAGTAAAAGAAGAATTTGATGAATTGGAAAAAGAAGACAAATCTATCAAAAATATTGATAGTTCAAAAACTAATGATTACAATTTAAAAAATATAGAAGATTCTTTCGAAATAATACCATCGTTGAGCATCGAAGAAAACCCAACAAAATCAATCAGTATAAATTTGGATGACCACAAAAGCCTGAACATCAGAAATTATTCCATCGATAAATCAGATTTAAATAAACTCTCCAAACAAGTCGAGAACTCCCCTTCATTTATAAGTAAACTTATGAGCAAAATGTCAACCTCTAAAAATAACAAGAAATCTAAAGAAAATATAAGTATTGATACTGAGGAAAGTGATAATAAACTGAAATCTGATTTGAATGTTTTCCTTGAAAAGGAAAGAGAAAATACAAATTTACATCATCAAAATCATACAGATCAATCTCAATTAGATTTTAAGATATCAGACATCGATAATACTATGATTAAGGATGATGGTTCGACTTTCATTAAAAGGAATGAATTATATCTGATAAAAGATGATGAAATTAATGAGGAAAAATCACAAAATAAAACAAATACATTAGAATTAATAAAAAAAATAGAACTTGACGGAGATGGAAATAAAATAATAGAAGAAAAAGAAGTAAATGATCCTACTTATGATATGCTTAGTGAAAAGGTTTTTAAAATAAAACCAAAGCAAGAAGAAGAAAATGTTCAAGAGAAAACACGAAAAAGCATTATAATTAAAAAAACTCATAAAATTATAAAACGTAGAGTTATAAAAGACGGAAAAGAAATGATAATAGAAACAGAAATTGACGAACCTGATACATACGAAATAACAGATAAAATAACACTAAAATCCATTTCTGACGAAAAAGAAAGTGATAGAAATATTGAAAAAATAATTGAACCAAATGAAATTAAAAACCTAACAACTAACCTTGCAAAAAGTAATAATGAGACTAATGATACTAAAAATATAAGCAAAAATCAAAAAAACAATAATACAATAATGGACGGAAGCGAAATAGTTGTCGAGAAAACAACAGATGAACTAGAAAGCCAGAAATCATTGAAAAATAAATTTATAACCATGTCAATAAATACTCAACAAATTAAATCTTCTGCTAAAACTGGACAAAACTATGGTGCAAAACAAAATACAATATATTCACCAAATGATATAGAAAATACAGAATCTCAAGAATTCGAAAAAGACCAATTTCAAGACAATAATATTAGTACTAAAAATGATTCTATTATAACAACAGAAGTTGATACTAAAAACATATCAGATGAGGCACATAATAATGAAAAAGAAAAAAGTCCAACGATAAAAACAAATAATGGGTCAAATTCATTACTAAATAAAATACGCAAGAGTCTTAAAATACCTGCTAAGTATTCAAAAACAAATAAAAAAGAAAAAGAAAAATCAAGTACTAATATAGCCGAAATCGACAATATAACCAAATCAGAACTGTACGACTTCATTAGGAAAGAAAAGGAACACACAGTATTGCATCATTTACCTAGTGATAGTGAAAATAACGAACGCAAACCAGATAAGAAAACCCTCAAAGGGTACACAACAGAAGAAAGTAAATTGATTAAAAGTACTAGTCCTGTAACAACTATATCAAAGCGCATTATCAGACGCGTAAAGATAATTAATGGAAAGGAATGTGTAATTGAATATACAATTGAGTACACTGGATCTGGTGAATCGGTAAACAAAATAACAAGAAAAACAATAGAAGATAACCATGAAGTAGTCGATGAAATAGTAGATCCAATTGAAATTAAAACGATACTTAAACAAGAGGGTGAAAAGGAATCCATCCCAAATATAAAGGAACATGTGACAATAAAAAAAACACGTAAAATTATAAAACGTAGAATTGTAGTAGGAGGAAAAGAAAAGGTAATAGAAGAGGAGATAGAGGATCCAGAATTCTTAGAAATCGATGATTCGAATGTTAAAGATGTTCCAGTAGAAAGCGATGAAACAGTGGAAGAATTTGAAAAACCGAATGTAGTACATCATATAATATCAGATCCAGAATCACAAGATGAGAACAATACAACCCACAATTTAATAACTGTAACAAAAACTCGTAGAATAATAAGGAGAAAAATAATTGTGGATGGAAAAGAATCAATAGTTGAAGAAGAAATAGAACAACCAGATTACATAAATGTGACGGAATCTGAAGGAGACAACATTGGATACGAAATCGATAGAAATGTTGTATCGACAATAAAAACTAAGAAAACAATAAGACGAACTATTATAGTTGACGGAAAAGAGCAAGTTATTGAAGAGGACATCAGTGACCCAGAAATAATCGAAATAGATCAATCAACTGATATTCAAATACCAGAGGTTACAAAAAAAACAGATAAATTTGCTTTAAAAACAAGTGAAGTAGAATTAGGAATCGAAGATGTCAAAATACCTGGTATAAATAATAAGAAAGGAAAAAAACCTAAAGGGTCCGAAAAAGTAGGAAAAGAAGATGTGTCTGTAACTGTAAAATCTTCTGGTGTACCAAGTATTGCTATGAAAAAACCAGAGATCCAAAAAACAGAAGGCAATATTAAAAATAAAAAACCAATAATACCGAATAAAGATGGTACTGAAGAGCAGTCACTTTCAGTTGAGGTGAAACCAGATGAAGTTGAAATCGAAAGTTCGACTAATGCAAAACACATCGAAGGAAATTCACCATCGTTTTTGAGTAAATTACGTAAAGGTTTAAAAATATCCACTCCAAAATCCAATAAAATGCAAAAAGACAAACCAAGTGATAATACTGTCACTCTCGGCAATAAATCCAAATCCTATTTAAACGAGTTTATTGAAAAAGAAAAGGAACATACAGTATTGCATAATTTACCAATTGATAATGAAACTGCCGAAAATAAACACTTAGTCGAAACAACTGCTGACGACGCAGTTATTGGTGGAAACTCATTGTTTTCTGGAGGCGCTTCCGTATNTGCACGGCGCATAATCAAACGCGTCATTATAATAGATGGGAAAGAAATTGTAATTGAGTATATAATTGAGTACACTGGATCTGGTAAATCGGTAAACAAAATAACGAAAAAAACAATAGAAGATGGCCATGAAATAGTAGAAGAGATAGTAGACCCCATTGATATTACAACGATACTTGAACAGGAGGTTGAAAAGGAATGCGTCCCAAATATAAAAGACCATGTGACAATAAAAAAAACACGTAAAATCATAAAACGTAGAATATTAGTAGGAGGAAGAGAAAAGGTAATAGAAGAAGCAGTAGACGATCCGGAATTCTTAGAAATCGATGATTCGAATGTTAAAGGTGTTCCTGTAGGAAGCGATGAAACATTAGAAGTATTTGAAAATCCGAATGTTGTACGTCATACATTATTTGATCCAGAATCACAAGGTGAGAACAATACAACCTACAATTTAGTAACTGTAACAAAAACACGTAGAATAATAAGGAGAAAAATAATTGTGGATGGAATAGAATCAATAGTTGATGAAGAAATAGATCATCCGGATAACATAGATATGACAGAAACCGAAGAAGAAAACAATGAGTACGAGAGCGATATAAATAGTCTATCGACAATAAAAACTAAGACAACAAGGCGAACTGTCATAGTTGACGGAAAAGAGCATGTTATTGAAGAGGACATCAGTGACCCAGAAATAATAGAAATAGATCAAACAAGTGATAGTCGAATACCAGAACTGTCGAAAAAAGTAGATGAATTTGCTGTGAGAACAAGGGAGGTAAACTTAGGAGACGAAGATTTAAATATACCTAGTTTAAGTACCATGAAAAGTAAAAAACCCAAAGATTCCGGGAAAGTTGACATCAAGGAAGATATTTCCGTGAAAATTCCATCATTCGGTGTTCCAAGTATCGATGTGAAAACACCAAAGGTCCCAGAAGTCGATGCTAAAATTGAAATTTCTAAACCGGAAATGCCCAATGTGGAATCTACTACGAATAGTGCACCTTCAGTCGAAGTGAAAGCTCCAAAAGTAGAATTTAGTGTGGCCGATGTGAAAATTCCTGGCATAAGTACTAAGAAAGGTAAAAAACCCAAAGATTCCGAGAAAGTTGACATCAAGGAAGATATATCCGTGAAAATTCCATCATTCGGTGTTCCAAGTATCGATGTGAAAACACCAAAGGTCCCAGAAGTCGATGCTAAAATTGAAATTTCTAAACCGGAAATGCCCAATGTCGAATCTATTCTGGTTCATGCACCCTCAGTTGAAGTGAAAGTTCCAAAAGTAGAATTCAGTGTGGATGATGTGAGAGTTCCTGGCTCAAGTACAAAGAAAAGTAAAAAACCCAAAGTTTCCGAGAAAGTTGACATCAAGGAAGATATATCTGTGAATATTCCATCATTCGGTGTTCCAAGTATCGATGTGAAAAAACCAAATGTTCCAGAAGTCGATGCTAAAATTGAAATTTCTAAACCGGAAATGCCCAATGTGGAATCTACTACGAATAGTGCACCTTCAGTCGAAGTGAAAGCTCCAAAAGTAGAATTCAGTGTGGCCGATGTGAAAATCCCTGGCATAAGTACTAAGAAAGGTAAAAAACCCAAAGATTCCGAGAAAGTTGACATCAAGGAAGATATNAGTTGAAATTTCTAAACCGGAAATATCCAATGTCGAATCTATTCAGGTTCATGCACCTTCAGTCGAAGTGAAAGCTCCAATAGTAGAATTCAGTGTGGCCGATGTGAAAATCCCTGGCATAAGTACTAAGAAAGGTAAAAAACCCAAAGATTCCGAGAAAGTTGACATCAAGGAAGATATATCTGTGAATATTCCATCATTCGGTGTTCCAAGTGTCGATGTGAAAAAACCAAAAGTTCCAGAAGTCGATGCTAAAATTGAAATTTCTAAACCGGAAATGCCCAATGTGGAATCTACTAAGATAAATACACCTTCAGTCGAAGTGAAAGCTCCAACAGTAGAATTCAGTGTGGCCGATGTGAAAATTCCTGGCATAAGTACTAAGAAAGGTAAAAAACCCAAAGATTCCGAGAAAGTTGTCACTAAGGAAGATATATCTGTGAATATTCCATCATTCGGTGTTCCAAGTGTCGATGTGAAAAAACCAAAAGTTCCAGAAGTCGATGCCAAAATTGAAATTTCTAAACCGGAAATGCCTAATGTCGAATCTATTCAGGTTCATGCACCTTCAGTCGAAGTGAAAGCTCTAAAAGAAGAATTCAGTGTGGCCGATGTTAAAATTCCCGGCATAAGTACTAAGAAAGATAAAAAACCCAAAGATTCCGGGAAAGTTGACATCAAGGAAGATATTTCCGTGAAAATTCCATCATTCGGTGTTCCAATTATCGATGTTAAAACACCAAAAGTTTCAGAAATCGATGCTAAAGTTGAAATTTCTAAACCGGAAATATCCAATGTCGAATCTATTCAGGTTCATGCACCTTCAGTCGAAGTGAAAGCTCCAAAAGTAGAATTTAGTGTGGCCGATGTGAAAATTCCTGGCATAAGTACTAAGAAAGGTAAAAAACCCAAAGATTCCGAGAAAGTTGACATCAAGGAAGATATATCTGTGAATATTCCATCATTCGCTGTTCCAAGTATTGATGTCAAAACACCAAAAGTTTCAGAAATCGATGCTAAAATTGATATTTCTGAACCGGAAATGCCCAATGTGGAATCTACTACGATTAATGCACCTTCAGTCGAAGTGAAAGCTCCAACAGTAGAATTCAATGTGGCCGATGTGAAAATTCCTGACATAAATACTAAGAAAGTTAAAAAACACAAAGATTCCGAGAAAGTTGACATCAAGGAAGATATATCTGTGAATATTCCATCATTCGGTGTTCCAAGTAACGACGTGAAAAAACCAAAAGTTCCAGAAGTTGATGCTAAAATTGAAATTTCTAAACCGGAAATGCCCAATGTGGAATCTACTACGAATAGTGCACCTTCAGTCGAAGTGAAAGCTCCAAAAGTAGAATTTAGTGTGGCCGATGTGAAAATTCCTGGCATAAGTACTAAGAAAGGTAAAAAACCCAAAGATTCCGAGAAAGTTGACATCAAGGAAGATACATCCGTGAAAATTCCATCATTCGGTGTTCTAAGTATCGATGTGAAAACACCAAAGGTCCCAGAAGTCGATGCTAAAATTGATATTTCTAAACCGGAAATGCCCAATGTCGAATCTATTCTGGTTCATGCACCCTCAGTTGAAGTGAAAGTTCCAAAAGTAGAATTCAGTGTGGATGATGTGAGAGTTCCTGGCTCAAGTACAAAGAAAAGTAAAAAACCCAAAGATTCCGAGAAAGTTGTCACTAAGGAAGATATATCTGTGAATATTCCATCATTCGGTGTTCCAAGTATCGATGTGAAAAAACCAAAAGTTCCAGAAGTCGATGCTAAAATTCAAATTTCTAAACCGGAAATGCCTAATGTGGAATCTACTACGAATAGTGCACCTTCAGTCGAAGTTAAAGCTCCAACAGTAGAATTCAGTGTGGCCGATGTGATAATTCCTGGCATAAGTACTAAGAAAGTTAAAAAACCCAAAGATTCCGAGAAAGTTGTCACTAAGGAAGATATATCTGTGAATATTCCATCATTCGGTGTTCCAAGTGTCGATGTTAAAACACCAACAATTCCAGAAATGGATGCCAAAATTGAAATTTCTACTTCGGAATTCCCCCATGTCGAATGTACTAAGGTGCACACACCTTTAGTTGAACGAAAAACCGATGACTTAGAAGTCGATTCTTCGATATCTGTGAAAAACATCGAGGGTAGTTCACCATCGTTCCTGAGCAATTTACGAAAGGGTCTCAAAATATCCACTTTTAAATCAAAAAAATTACCAAACGATGAACCCAATAGTACTAATTTTGCTTCAGAAGACAAATCCAAAACCTATTTGAACGAGTTTATTGAAAAAGAAAAGGAACATACAGTATTGCATAATTTACCAATTGATAATGAAACTGCCGAAAATAAACACTTAGTCGAAACAACTGCTGACGACGCAGTTATTGGTGGAAACTCATTGTTTTCTGGAGGCGCTTCCGTATCTGCACGGCGCATAATCAAACGCGTCATTATAATAGATGGGAAAGAAATTGTAATTGAGTATATAATTGAGTACACTGGATCTGGTAAATCGGTAAACAAAATAACGAAAAAAACAATAGAAGATGGCCATGAAATAGTAGAAGAGATAGTAGACCCCATTGATATTACAACGATACTTGAACAGGAGGTTGAAAAGGAATGCATCCCAAATATAAAAGACCATGTGACAATAAAAAAAACACGTAAAATTATAAAACGTAGTTTTGTAGTAGGTGGAAAAGAAAAGGTAGTAGAAGAGGAAGTAGACGATCCAGAATTTTTAGAAATCGATGACTCGAATGTGAAAGGTGTTTCAGTAGGAAGCGATGAAACAGTGGAAGTTTTTGAAAATCCGAATGTGTTACCTCAAATAATATCAGTTCCAAATTCACAAATTGAGACTAAAACTTGTAGAATAATAAGGAAAAATATAAATATTGATGGAAAACAATCAATAGTAGAAGAATTAATTGATCAACCAGACATTAGTAATTTTTTGGAAACTGATGCTAGGAAAATTGTTGTGAAGAGGTTAGTAGATCAACAAGGCAAAAAGATGTTTATATTTGATGTGGTTAATGAGCCTTTGAATTTAAGATCTGCTAAGGTAAATAATTTGTCATGTGCATGCTCTTCCCTTACAAGTTTGAGAAACAATATTTCGAGATCAGATATTAAAAACAAGTTAGTATTATACAATTCATTATACGAAGAAATTTGTGAAATATTTCAAATCATCACAGTCTACATTTCGAAACATAAAGTGAGTATATTTTGCTATTTTTTTTTTTTTTTTATGTATTATATCTATCTGTGTGTTTTTATTTTTACATAGTGCACCTTTTGAACTTTATGTTATTTGTTTTTGGTTACATGATTTTTGAATTGCATAACTGTTTTGTTACTTTACCTTGAAATCAGTATTTATTTTATTCCAATATGTTGATGTATATGGGTTCTTAAAATAATATTTCTTAAGCCAACTGTTTAATTATATTATTGTTGCTAACATGTGTATATTAATTTTTTATTAAATTTTTTTTACCAATTTTCTTAGAACTCTTTCATAGTATAATTGTTCCTGAAACTACCAATGTTATATTATTAGTACCTATTCAATTTCTTTTGCATTTTGACATTTACATTAACTATTAATACTTTATTATTTATTTTTAAAAATGTCAAAATTTTAAATGCACCTTGATAGAATTTCAAGTACCTCTTAAGGAAACAAAAAAAGAATTTATATTTAAAAATGTTTAATTATCTAATGGTCACTTATTCCAAAAATAACATATGACATAATTAATTTTAATTTATATCAAAATTAAAAAGTTTATTGTTTTTATAGTTATTTTATTTTATGTTCTCTTACTTTATGAAGTAATTAGTTTACATTGTCAGAAACATACAAATGTACTAATGATAATCTATCATGTCATATGATTATTAATACAATTTTGTACTATATTTTTATTCTTATTAATAATTCAACATTTAATTTCAAAAAGCATATACTTTAATAGCTTCATATTTTTATTTAGAATTACATTGATGCTGACTTAGAATTGAATTTGGAGGAACCTATAAATGCAAAACAAGTAATTAATCAAATTGAAGAAGTTGTGAAAGATGTTTCTAACTTAAAAGAAAAACATTTTGTTACTAATGTTGAGGAATACGATAAAATTAAAGTTATTATTGAACAACTACAAAGTAAAACACACGAGTTGAAATTCAATATTGACAACTTTAATGATAATATTGATCAAGTAGATTGGTATAAACAAAATTTGGCAATTGAAAATGCTAATAAGAAAGTAGAACAATATAAAATAGATTTTGAACAGTTGAAGAGAGGGAAATTATTACACTCGGTAAAATATTAATTAAAATTTTATTTGATAATAATAATATTTAAAATTAATAAAACCTATTTAGCTATGATAATTATTTACGCAAGTTAAATTTATATTTTATTACTACTGTTTTTTTATATTATTGCTCTGTTATATAGGATAAAGTTCAAAAATTTGAATCATTATTAGACAACAATCGCACAATTATAGATGATTTATATAATATTATTATTCTTTACAAAGTTAAAAAGAATTCAACAAATAAATTACCTGATGAGGCGTTTAAAACTTTAAAATGTGCAATCAAACTAGAAAAAGAAATTGGAAGCGCAACCCAAACTACTATCAATGAAGCGGAAATGGATGATTTAAATAGTTTTAATTCTAATCAATTAGATTTAGTGTGTGAAACTGTAAAGAATAACAACAAATATTCAACCAAATATTATAACATCAAGCATGTTCAGGTATACTAAACTCTACTATAATATTAATTATAATATTGGTTGATAAATATATTTTTTCAGGAGGATTGTGACAGGTATCATCTAGTCTCTACAAAACTTTTAAACCTAAAGTTTTTGCTAGAAACACAAAAATCCGATAAAAATCGTATGAAAAATATGGATGTAGATTTAAATAACACACTGTCCAATTTAAACAAATTATTAGTTCTTCAAAATGAATGGACCCGTTTTGAAGACGTTTTAACAGCTGAACAAAAATGGTTAGATGAAGTTGGAGTATCTATTCCTGATCTAACGAAAACCACGTCAAATAATTATGTTCAAACACTATCTAATACACAGGTAAACGAAATTAAATTAATCTTTTATAGTAATTACGACTCATGTTTAATTAGCAAGTCTTGAAGCTTATAATAAATTTTGGTTTTAATTATTAACACTAGTATTTAATTTTTTTAGTTTTGATTTTAAATCATTTACACCATAATTAATGGTCATTTTTAATGAATTAATTATTGGTCCATTATACACCTACACGTTTATGTACCTAGTTATTATTTAGTTAATCTATCAAGGTAATCTAGTATAAACTATAAACAGTGGCCATTTTTTCAGAATTTTCGTAGTGCACATTCATGTATTTGAGTTTGTTACATACACAACATTGACAAAAATTTTAAATTTAAACATCAAAATACATACCTATTTAGTTAAAATATAGGTGTAATATATGCCAGAGTATAAACTTTATGAGATTTTATCACGGACTATTTATAACTATGATTTTATCACTATTATGTTTCTATTGTAAAGTATGATAGGATTTTTCAATAATAACTACAATTAAAATAAATCAGTATTATTTTTTTTTTTTTTTTTTTTTTTTTTGTATTTGTAGCTATTATTAACTAATTTTCTCAGTTTTCTCAATATATTCGAAAATTTGGTAAAAAAAAAAAAAAAAAAAAACGGGAAAATGTACGAATTTATAAATATTACAACCTCTTTATTTTCCTATGAACAACTTTAATATTTAATGCATATGTAATTATTTTACTATACTACATAACATATCAACTGAATTCTGCTGAAAATCGTTTTTTCGTTAGCTATGGTTTATCGTTGCTTCCAGATATATATTAAATTTTCGTTTGTCTCCTACCTCCCAACTTCCCACCTACAACAGTGACTGCAGTGACTGCATCCATGTGTGAAGTATGTTCTTTTTAATAGCTATTATGCAATTAAACTAATATTCATGGTTTTTTTTGTATAAAAGTAAACTTATTTATTACATAATATTTAATATATACAAGAAGTTGTAATGATAGTTATGGTTTTTCGGAAAGGGGAAGGATTGCAAAATGTTTGTTGCACTGGTGTCCCTAGTCACTAAAATTGTATATATGCCACTATTTACAGTTTACACCACATAGCATAAAAAATATAGCCCAATGCTGGCCAAACTCAGGCCTGCATAAGTGTCAGCTAAATGTAATTGAAATTTTAGCTCTCTCCCAAAATAAATTGGGTATTGATATAGCCTATAGACAGTTTACTCGTAATCGTACTATACTCTATTCACCCTAAGTTGACCCGCTTTCGCGCATTTATACTGAGCTGTCGTGGTTTGTGATTGGTTAGTGATGTTTGACGATCGTCGTTGCTCGACATTGACCATGCATACACAGGTGTTTTTTTCGAGAGGTTTTCGTTGAGCGAGAGGGTAGAGTATACCTATGTTCAAAATTTTGATAAATTACAAAAGTTTTTCTGCCCAAATATGACAACACTGTGTACACAATTTAAATTTTTTTTTTTTGGTTTGAGTATACTTGTCTATAATATTATTACGTTTTTTTAGGTAAGATTTTTTTTCCGATATATTGATAGGTACCTAGGTAACTGTTGATTATATACCAACCTATCATGGTATATTAGCATCGATACTAGATCTACGTTAAAATATCGAAAGTCGTCGATATTTTACCATCCTTAAGTTTATTGTTTAATATACAGGCACAATGAAAATGACTACTACCGTCGTAGTTATCCGGATAATTTTTTTGCTCTATAAAACTATAAATAATGTAGATACACAGTAATTTTATTATCAAAATTAATATTTCTAAGATAAAACAATAATGCTAATATTAAACTATCTAATATCTGATAAATAGGATTCTAAGTGAATTTGATTTCTGTTTTTTTTTTTTTTTTAATTATCTTGGAATTATTTAAGCGTTACTTTAAAATTATTTTTTAAGTTTCACCCCTATCTACATCATATAAATAAGTTAAATAAGTGTATACTTTTGTTTTTCAGATGGGAACCTCCCTTTTTGAACACAGATTTTCATAGGCAATATTTGTCTAGACATTTTGATATGTGTAACACTAATATCAGGTTTACTGTTTATGAGTTATAACCCTTTTTAAGTTTTAACCATAAGGGAAAAATTATCAATTCATCATTTAAAAATAAATTTACAATTTATTACTATATAATATTTAGTTTAGTCTATGTAAGACTTTAAGTAAGCTACTATCTTTCTGTCCCTAAAAAAAAATACACTTTAAGTCCTAACAGTAACAGTTAGACTAGCAAATATGGGAAAATTAACAATGAACATGGAACATTGACGTGTAATAAAAATGAAATTAAACTACATAGAAAACTACTGGAACCACACCCAATCATTCTTCATAATGTATAATATTATTATAATTGATAAACATAAATAATTTAAATTTATAATAAGAATAATAATTATTTGTTCAAATATTATATATTTTCCTAATAAACTAATGTAAAATTTTTACTTGTTTATAGAATACAATTACTGAAGTAGCAATTCATTACGACAAATTGATTTATTTGAAAGACATTATAGAAAATCTACAGGATCGAATTGATGTGAAGTCATTATTATACATATGTGAACAACACACGAATGATACATTCAAATTGAAAAATAATTTAATGACTAAGGAAATTAGGTTGATCACCTTCAAGAAACCATTTGATAAGTACAGTGATTTAAAGTATAATATTGAGTCAAATTTATCACATATAGCATCAAATTTGGATAACATTACATCTAACAAGGAAATTACTGATACTAATGTATGAATAAACATCATTATAAATAATTAAAATGTTTAGTTATTGGTAAAATAATATATTTCTAGATAACCCTATCCAAGTTAGAAATTTTAGAAGAATCTCTTAAAACTTGTTCTGATAATTTAAACGAATCGCTTGATATCTTGCCGATTTCTGATGGACAGAGTGAAATTGAAGCAGTAGGAGTGCTTGCAACAAAATGCAAGGAATTGAACAAAAAACTGCATAAATTAAAATCATCCAAGGGCAAAGGTGACATTTCAAAAATACTAAAGCGCCTCGAAATTACTTTAGAAAAACCAAAAGAAACTGTACTAGACCATACTCAAAAACTAAAAGTATGAAAAATATTTACCAATTTTAATTTTTTTTTTTCAAATGTTTAATTAATATTAATTTTCCAGGGTGTTTTATATGAAATAAATGCCGTCGAAATCCACGATAAAGACGAACATTTAATTAAACAATTAAGTGCTTTAGAAAATCAATGCAACGGTGAATTAACATACTGTTCTGATTTATGTAGTAAAATTGTAACCTTACGTAATCATATGTTTGACTTAACTAATGATTTAAATAAGATAGATTTTACTTTGTCAGAAATAGAAAATGAATCACACAAAGATAGACACACTACAGAAACGGCAATATCTAATACATATCATGTAAGTTGTAAAGATTACACCAGATTATATCAATAAAATAAGCAAAATTTTAATTTGTAATCAATATAATTTACAGCATGTAACAGATAATATGAAAAATATACAACAAACACTATTGTTGATTAATCAAGAATTTAAAAAATTAAAAGACAATATGAAACTCTTTAAAAAAGAAAGAAAAACGTTGGAGTCCGAAATAAATGAAATTGAAAAACGGTACAAACAATTAAAAACAAAACATCAACATCTACACAAAACATTGGAGACTAAATGTAACTATTGGGTAACTGTTGACGAGCTACTATTAAAAATGAGAACAAAAAGCAATCAAATTAATCATTTGATTATAATTAATCCCGATTTGGATATCCTGGCTAACAAATATTTGGAATCCGTGCTAAAAAATCTAAAGGTAACAATTTTTAACTATTTACTAAATGGTTAATATTAATTATATTAAAAATAAATTGAATAATATAAATTAAAATCTACTTGGTTGATTTATCAACAATTGTTTATTCGATAATAATTTTAAACTTTATTTTTGTTTGGGTTTAAAATATTGTTTAAATAAGGAATATATTGTGTTTTACTACATAACGTGATTTTTTAACTATTTATTTTCTATCTATTAACAACTTTTTATTAATAAAAATATTTGATTTTCTTTGTAGATTTCACAATAATAATTGGAAAAAAAAAACCGGGGTAATATTAGGTCTGAAAACCGAGTAAATTTACGAAAATTGAACGGTTTTTGTTATTTTAGATTTTGTTTTATTCCTATAATTCAGTAAAAATCTGTAATTTTCAATAAATACTTATATTAGCTCTTTCTAGACGTACCAGTTTTTTAGCTAGTTATTTTTTCTTCTTTTATGGTTAAAAGGCCTTTCGAGACCATACATTTTACACCCACTCCTCCATTCTTTTCTATCTATTGTTCTTTCCTTCTAATTCGTGCTTCCTCCTAATGATTATACATTCTTTCTGACTAAGTCTCCCCATCTTATTTTGGGGCTCTTAATTGGTCTTTTCCACACGTATTTAGCTAATTATAGGTATTTTGAAGGTTTGAGTAATTTTTTTTTGTTTTTATTTAGTTTTATGTGAATTGAATGTTCAAAATTTAACAAGGTTAATCATAAATTTTATATATTGGCGAAACAAGAATAATTTATGTTTTAAAAAGAGTACTTCCTATTTCTGAAAACTAAATAAATAATGCAATTGTTATAATTATTAATTCAATTGTGGCACAATGGTAACTGACTAGAAATCACCTGAAAAATATATTTTTATCATATTAAAATTATAAAAATCAAATATGAGCCGCTCTTTATGGATTACATTTTGTGATAAAAATAGATTTTCTAGTTTTTTACTTATTTTGAATACCAAGTATCCAAGTATTACAAACTATCAAAATAGTTAGTAAAATATTAATTAAATTTTTTAAAAAAAAATGTATACTATCGAACTATGGACAATATACCTGACCCCTTTGTCCTCCCCCATTAGCTATACATGCTTGATCAACTCTCCAAATTTTACATTTTATATTTTCAAACTCATCGGTAACCTATTTTTAAGCCCGATATTTTTTTAAATTTCTGTTACTGTTCTGCAGGATAATTATACGGGCTCACGGCGAATCCGAAGATTTATATTATACTAACACGATTATTATTATATTTCTTTTATTTACATTATTATGCTTCAACACCTATAGTAATAGAAAAAAAACAAATTGGCAAAGACTCCCCTTGCCCCCCTACAGCTGACGCTCTTGCTCTATACAAAGTCTATATAAATATAGGTGTTTATTGAAAAATAAAATTATGCAGATGGTTAATTTATTTATGTCATAGGGTGACCGTATATGGAAAATAAAAAAACGGGACATTTGTTACTCCCCCCCCCTCTCTAAAAAAAACCCTCAACCATATACATTCACATAATATATGCACATAATTATTTTCTTATTACTTTACCCTTTTCGAGTAATTTAATCTGAATAATAAGTGTTTAAATGTTTCGGAATATTTTCTTTTTATTATTCTTTAAAAAACACAATGTTGCATTTCAAAACTATTATAATTTTTTAAACAATCAGAAAAATTCAATTTTTAATATTAATAGTTTACAATTAAACAATACATTTTTTTGAACAAGAATTAGGAGAATTACACCATCAGCTATCTTCATTTCTTATGAATTTGAATTCCTTTTTCCATACTTTGCACGCTTTTTTCATAATTTTCTGAAGAAATTATTGAATTTCACAATTTTGGGTGCTTCAAAAGAAATTCATAAAATTGTGAATAGGTGAAGCTTTTAAAATTTTGTAATACGCCATACATGTCTCATTCTTATCGCTAATTTTATTATTGGCATTAAAACTCGATTTTCGTTTCACAAAAACTGTTATCTGTTATTTATAACTTTAGTTTCAAATTTTGAAAGAACGTCCTATAATAATGGAGACAGGTGCAGCCACTGTTATAGATAATTTAATGTATACCTGTAAGTAACAATAAATCATTTCTTACGAAAAAACGATTCTGAGCGGAGTTCAGTTGATAGTTCACTTTGTCAACAATATATATGTGTCATTTTTTAGTAGAATAAATAAATAGGCTATATATATTTTAAAAATATTAGTTTTATGATGTACCGATTTGCTCAGTTTTCCTACGTTTTTCCCAGTTTTCCCATATTTTATCCCGGTTTTTCAACATTTTTTGGGAAAACTCTTTGGAAAATCGAAAAATGGCCTCTCCAAAGTATGTCCCTAGTGAAATTTCCATTTAGAAATATTGCTATCATTAAAAGTTTATTTAGAGCAAAATTATAGGTGGAAAAGTTGAGCACAGAAAAAAAGGAGGCCATAATATATTTTAACTAATACCTACATTTCTTATATTTTCCCGTTTTTTTTTTCGGTTTTTCAAACTTGATGAGAAGACTCCTGAGAGAATCAAAATATGACCTGCCTAAAGTACCTCCCCACGCCAATTTTATTTCAGAAAAGGTGCTAAAACTAGAAATCCGAACAAGTCTTCCAGTAGAAAAGTTGTGCACAGATAAAAACAAAAAAAAAAATAATAAACCCCCACGTAACTTTTTTCTGGACAGAGCACTAATTTTGAAAATATTACCGTTCGCTAGCACTAATTCAGCACTGAATATTAGTACTAGAAAGAAAATTAGTACTTAATATCCGTCCACTAACTTCACGGATTTTAAGTCTTCTAGAAGAAAAGTTTCGCACAAATAAAAAAACAAATAAACATCTTTGTAAAACTATAAGCTTCTTCGCTCCTCTTAGAATCTAAAATACGAATAACTATTTTATATTTGTTTCATACATTGATATTTTTTTCATCAAATTAATATAATTATATGGAAATAACGGGATAAAAAGTGTCCCGTTTGAAGTTCGTCGGAACAACGGGAGTTAATGATCAAAAAATGGACAATCCCATTCTAAACGGGATGTCTGGTCACCTTAATATATGAGCATTTATAGATCGCACGCTCGATCGCCGTTATATTATAATATTGCACGTACTCATAGATATTGTAAAAAAAAAAAAAGAAATAATAACTACCGAACTTATATTTCACAAAACAAAGTCGAACCACGCGCGTATCTCGTCGTCATTCTTTCCAAGACATCGGCCAAAAACCGAAAGGCATGTGTGCATATACAAAAATAAAACCGTTCTATTTCCAGCGCGGGGTACCGTCGAGCGGCGATGGATCACGTCGTCATAGCCGACGATTTTCACACTCTTCTCCCGTAAACTCTGGAGATTTATTTTTAATCCCGGACACGGGAACCGATAAAACTCGACAGAAACGCGACCGCTAATGCATACGATCATTTTTTTTTTATCTATAGGCGGATTATAAGTCTTTTATGTAGGTCTTTTCCCGTGAGTTTTATTCGAACATGCCGTGTAAATCATTTTTTTTTTCTTGCGCCGTTATTGATGCTTTCCTCAAAACACTATCCTCTATCAGACTTTTCATAACCCGTAGTTGTTGTATGTTCGATACTGCAGTATGTTTTACGTACGATTTTGAACCAAATGACTCGTTCCGATCGAATTCATTACGGGAGTTTTCTGATAGAACATTTTATTGTCCAGTCGGTGTATTGAAAAGATTATTATTATTTTTTTGTTGGCCATGCACTTTTTTATAATCAGGAAAAACGAGAAAAAAATAGTTACTACTCGAAAATGACGTGACATTGCCAGAAGAATATTTCGGGGGAAAAGTGATGAATTTCGTAATTCTCTTATTCAGTTTTGATAATTAATTTTCTATAAATTAATACTTAAGAAGTTATAGTCCAGATATATCGAGGGTGGATGAGGAGGAGGGGGGTTATAAGTTTCTACTTCCCAGTTTTCACTGCAGACAACTACAGCACTTCGTGTGTTGGTGTTTAGTTACTGCGTAAAAATGATCAGAGTAAAAAATAATAATATGTACATAATTTGGGCAAGGTTGAGCACAAATTAGTTTAAAATTTATATTTTAGGTTAATTTAAAATTTTTAAAATTCTTAACATTTGTATTTAACTCGACTTACTTTCGTACATTTACTGTATGAATATAGAGATCATTTTGAATTATAATTAAATTAACTGAAATTTCATTCAAGTTGAATTGTTAATAACATATTTCATTGAGTAGGTATTGCATACATTTTATAATATGTTTACTACCGTGTAATAAATTGTCGTCTAATGTTAGGCAGTAAGTTATATTAATTTCATTTTCGAATTCATTATTAACTTGACTCGCACAGATATAAATATTAAATTATCCTCTATATACCTTCCCAATCACTAACCTACAACAGTGGTTCACCCACCGTGCGAAGTGTGTCGTTCTTTTTTTCTCTTTTTGCTCAATTAATTCAACACTTGACTGTAGGTAAATATTATCATGCATTGCATTGACAGTCAAATATTGGTAAAACGATACGCGATTGTAAACGGTACCTACGCGTAGGTTTACGTAAAACTTGTGCTCCCGTCTGTGACGTACGAATTAAAAATCGCCGTGTATCACTCTGTAGGTATTCCTATAATAATATTTTATTTTATTTTTCGTTTTACCGCCGCGCCGCCAATCGCACGCAGCTGTGTGGAAAAAAAACTGCACCGGCCGGTCGCCGCGGCTCAGTTATACCGCGTTTCTCACTGCAACGCTCGCGAACACCGCGCACACATGAACGCGATCAGGATCACATAGTATTATTATCATTATTTACAATTGTTATCATTACAGTATTATTATTATTATCATTAATACTATTGTTATGCAAACATTTCGGTCGTCGCCGCCGCACACTCGACAGTTTCGCGCCGGCAGTGTTGTTACGTACGCGTACGTGTTCGCACAAACGTTGCTTAGTGCCGAATTCAATTAATTCAATTAATATTTCTCAGACACAATATTTTCGATGTCGGAGAAACAATAACGGGACTTGTTTATTTATATTAACACGCCTATTATAAATCCGCGAACTCAGTCGACGGGAAAAATCGGATTGCACAAAAAAATATAATTTTACCTATACATTACTCTATATAGCCGTTAAACCGTGTCGAAGACGTTTGAATATTTCATTTCCCGTGATTCCGGAGCTGTTAATGTTGTGCACCGGGTTTGTTTATTTATTTTTGTTTTTACTAATGTTTAAAACCAAAAATACGTATTTACTAAAAAAAAAAAATAAATACGTTCCCCTCTCCCTAATCGGTAGATATTTGATAACTGGCATTTTGACAAAAAATTACGTTTAACTCGTTTTCAAACCGTAGATGAGTATTTATGTATAATTCGATCTGACCTTTCGGCGATTAGAGAACATAAATGCAAATTCAAACACCAGCTACGTTGTATGTCCAATCGAATTCCTACCACACGTCATGTCCTTAATAAAAGAAAACAAACGATTTTAACTGTGTATACCTACTAACAGTTTAAAAATATTTGTTTAGCTATAGGTACATAATTCGAATCATTTTTTATTTAATTTTACTATGGTCCGATCAACCGACTATTATAACCGTATTTGAGGTACCTATATATCTGATCGAAAATTATAATTTGAAATACAAATTTATAACACATTTTTATTTCCTAAATATTCAGTGCTATTCGATAATATTAAAATTAGATTATAATAGAGAATTCGTGTCATATAAATCAACCTACGAGTCAAACAAAAATACACACAAAACAATTATTGAAATAAATTCTAAATTTCTAATTACCTATTTTGCATCCGTAGTTATAAGACTCTCTCTCTCGAAAAAAATGCTTTATTTAAAAAATTATGACGAATAAACTTAATAGATAACAACATTAATTTTAGTAAAATTAAACACATGGTGTATAATATTATACCTAATCGTTCTAAATTTAACGGAGAAAGCTGTTTCTAAAATTTGTGGTATTTTTTATTATTATTTTTGTTTTTTTGTTTTATATGTAACAAATTAATCGTCTCAATGTATTCATAAATTCATTTGACACAATAAGTTTCATAAGAACAAAATCATGCGTATTCCGTGTACAGCTCAAAACGATATATTAATATCTAACAGCGTGGATGCTTAATATTTTTAATTTAACAAGATAATATTATTATTATCAATTATATGGTTAACAATTATCGAGTAGGTATACTATCTATCGATTAATAGGTTTAAAATTGTATGCGTTATTATTTTTATTTTTTATTATCGTTGTTATTTAAACGACGATAACCTATCTTAATAAGCTACCTTAATATTATATCGATTAATGGGTTAAACATTGTATGTGTTTTATATTTATTTTTCCTTATAATTAAGTGATCGCGACAATGAAGTACGTTTTTCTTCCGAGTTACTCTTAGGTTATTATTTACTTCTAATTGGCAGGAGGAGTAGTAAACGTATTGGCCAACGGAATTTTAATATCGGGAGTCTAGCCGTTTAATTGTCTTCTTTTGCTCCTTGTCAGTGTAGTCTACACACATATCCATACAATTGAAGGTCTCTCGAAGAATAGACAATATTTATTTTACTAGGTTCGTCTACGATGCATAATAAATTATTTTATCTTTTCATTAACCTATATTCTTTCACAGATATTTCTTAGTATAGATACCTACCTAATAATAATTAATTTCTAACTGCACATCGTAAATCGATTACATCACGTTTAAAACCCGCTCGTTTTATATAGCTACCTATATAGCTGCAGAAGTGATAACAATGTATTATAATAATAACGCGTTTTCATAATAATAAAATTTTTTTTAATATTTCCGTAGAGAAAAATATCGTCTAAACCATTCTATCCGTGAGCAATTTGTAAATAAATAAATAACTTTCGTGTTTAAATTTTGAGGAGGATAAAGTAAAAACCCTTAGGTTTATTATGCCGAATATCGAAAACGTATTTTTGAATTTAACCCCGGTCAAATATATTAACTAAAACGATTAGCACTAAGTATTTTAAATATTTAAGTAATAGTACTTTCGTAAATTAATTTTGAAATCGTATAAATTTATATTGGTATATTAGCATTTGGCATATTTGCGCACATTAAAAATAATCTCAATACGACGAACTAACGCGTTTTAATTATTACTCGATATTTACCAGAATTATTACTTGTTATATTTACTAGAACACATTAAAAAATATACGCAAAAACACATATGTTTGTATCTCTTTTTTGATTATTACAAATGTAATATATATATATATAACAACAACAAATTAGGTTAGGAAAGGCTAGGTTAGGTAATTAAATAATTCGCACTCTGAAAGGCGGCTTCGTTGAGAAGAGTAGGTATGCAGGACTAACGCACCTCCCTAGGTTCGGCAAATCCTAAAAAAAAGGTAATTAAATAATCAAAAAAAAATATTTGTGTTCAAAATTGTATAATAGTTTATTTTGACATAATCTTGACGGCTCTCTTTTTATTCGGGCGTTTTCAAAATGTTACGTATTTACCTACTAAAAATCTAATTTATTACTTAACTTAAGCAATATTTTTAACAGCTTTGATCATAGCCATATAAAAAATAACCCTATAAGTATATTATAATAATTTTTTAACTAGGTACTTTTAATAGTGTGGATAGGTATATTTTTAATTTCGAAATGATGAATTCATAATACCTGCTTATACTTATAAGTACACATAAAAACAAAAATGTGAAGTATGCATTCTTTGATATATTATTCGGGATGGGAGCCTAATTAAATAGTAAATAATAATATACCTACCTAATGTTCGTATTTCGATTTATTCAATGTCATAGTACTATTATACAAACAACGTATTGTTTTTCGTTTAGGTCGTAAAGTCTTACTTTTACGTCATAAATTAAAAATATATAAATAGGTGCGTAAGTATAATATTAGATAATTATGGTCTATTCGCATGTTTAAAAATAAGTATACAGCACACAAATGTGACTCGATAAGCGTATTTGAATCTTTAAAAAATTATATTCTAATATAGGTACTGCAATATATTGTTTGACTCTAATTTTCGAATGAAATGCTTTGTCATTATTATCACTTCCACAGTGTAGGCATTGCAACTTGATTACATTTAAGTACGTGCTAGTGTTGAAAAATATGACAGAAATATTAACTTATGTATGTAACTTATTATGTAGTCTATAGTTAAAATACCAACGCACGTGCGTCAAATATCAAATATATATTCGAATTATTCAATTGAAATAATAAAATTGGTCCATTAAATAAAGCAAAATACATGTTTGATATATTAATTATCTATAATAAAAACATAACTGTATAAAATTATTGATTATTATTAAATTTATAGGATGTTCGAAGTTCTTATGACAAAGAGAATAAAGCAATTTTGGGTGACATAGAAAACTTACGGAAGAAAGGCGATCGACAGCAAATTGATGAGCTGATCGACAGTGATCTAAGCCAATGGACTGAAACAGGAGTAACTGTAAAACAATTGATTGAACGTTATGAAAAAGCATTAAAAACCTTAAACAATTATCATCAATTAAAAGAGTCTACAAATGATTGGTTGAACGGTAAACTATTGTCGCTTGAAACCACCGAAGATGTTTCGGATAAGACAAAATCAATTGAAAAACAAAAAGAAAATTTGGTCGAATTACGGAACATGATAACGGACGTAGCTGAGACGATTGGGCTGAATCCAGACGATGTTCCGCTGAACGAAATCGAAGAGTTAAGTTTGAAACTTGAAAAAGTTCAAAAACTTCTCTCTGAACTCGGAGATGTCGCGACTAAAAAAAATAAAATTTCAAGTTATATTGAAGATACAAAACGACTTTTACATGATATCGAAAAGGTATGTGCACAATTTTACAACAGAATATAATAAAATATATTTAATGTTAATAAAATGTATATAAAAAAAAACTTTCTGGATATTTACTGCTTATTGATTTGCCCTCTTTACTAATAATCCGATAAAAAGTTTTAATGGTTCCTAAAAGTAAAAACAGAGGCGTGCAATTTTCAATAAAAACCATTTCGTAAAACTTATAGCACTTTTTCTATGTGTAGTGTGTACTTTATTATAAAAGTTTAAAAGTAATTACTATTATTTTCATCTTAAACAAAGACCACATTCCTACTGCATATTATTATTCTATTTGTATTTTTTATTTAAATGAAACTAAGAGTAGGTATAATACTTTCTTTTTTTTTTCAGAACTCGTCAAAATCTATTAAGAATAATGACGAAACCCTATCCGAGTTAAGAAATAAATTATTAGATTTGAATAAATCAAAAAAAGAAATGGACGAATCGTATGACATAGACAACTTTGAAATACCTCTTACTGAAAATAGAACATACTCTATAATAGAAGTATTCCAGGTAAAATTGATTAGCTTTAATATAATGGTAGACAATACTTACCTATATATCAAATTACATTTTGTTTTAGCTTTGGCAGCAAATATTTAAAGATACTTTCCAACAGTACCGAAAATTATCGTGTTCTCTACTTGAAAATGAGAACAATATAGCTGTATTTGAACTGTGGCATGATTATCTAATGTATGTACAAGAATTTTTAAAAGCTCCTGTTCCCGGTGACTTCCATTCATTGACAAGTCACGAAAGACTTTGTCAAGTACATCAAGAAGTATTAATCAGTCAAATAGATACTATACCTAATCGTATGAACAAGCCAGATATTATCTCTGACACTGTAACAATGGAAAGGTTTACTTCTTTAATGGATCTGCATAACGAAACTATGACTAAACTTGAAAATATTCACCAAGAAGTATGGACTAAACTAGGACATTGGAAAGAATATCGAACAATTGTCAAGAATGTTTATGAATGGTTGTGGAAGGTTGAAAAAGCTCATTCAAATTTAAATCTAAAATTCATCAACACTAGAAGACTACCACAACTCAAAACACAAATAACTGTAAGTATATAACTTATAGAATTTTTTATTCCTATTAAAATATTATATAATAAATATATTATTAACTTATATTAATATTATCGACTGAGTTGTAATAATATAAATTTTAAATTATTTTCCAGAATCTATTAAGTTGTTTGGCTGAAGAACGTTCACAAATTGAAGACTTGGAACAACGACAAAATACAATTTTCACATACTGTGATAAATCAACTGAAACGGGCCACAGGAAAGAACTAATAGCAATAAGTCAGAGAGTGAATGAAATCCAAGCGTCATTAGAAGTGTGGAATGGTTACCTAGAAAATATTGAAAAACTTACCAGCTCTTTTAATACTGAAAGCACTGAAATTGATAAAGTATTGCAAGACGTGCAAGTTAAACTCGATACTTTAAAAAATGAATTTAATTCGAAAAATGAGGATATAGTACCATCTGATAAATTGAGCATAGAAACAAATAAAATACAAGAATTAAACAGCTGCTTGAAACAATTGGACACTCAACTCTCATCTACTACAGATATACGAGATAAATTAAAAGATTCTCTAGATCCAATAGAAATTCGTTCATTTGGCCAAAAACTTCGATTCTTAAAATATCATCAAAAAGATTTGCAATATCAGTTGTTCTTGTATTCCTGTCAAATTGACAATTTATTATATAAACCTCAAGAATTCACTCATAGGTAATTTTCCCATATTATTATTTGCATTAGTTGTATTATAATTATATGTTATTTTTGTTCCCAGGTACACAAGATTTAGAAACTGGGCCATAGACACAGAAACTCAATTGAAAAATTTAACTAAATCTTTGAAAGACCCGAAATTTGCTATTGATGTGCTGAAACCTGAATTTGAATCTCAGATTAATTCAAAACAAAAAGAATTTAATTGGTTGAATAATGCAGGAGAAAAACTAATTAAAGCAGAATCCCAATTGAATCCAGAATTAGTGTTTACTACTGAATCTAATATAAAAGAAACAAATGAGCACTGGAATAATTTAAACAGTTCATTATTTAAATATACAGTAGAATTACCTGCAACAATTTTGGTAAGTTGTTATTCATTAACTAGTTTTTTTGACTTATTCTAATTAATTAATTTTTAGAACACAAATAAATTATTTGATGAAATCAATGCCTTTAAAATTTGGATTAGTGACTTTGAATCAAAAATAAATATCCCTATCGTTTTTAATGACCGTTCAGAAAATAATTTAAAAGAAGAACTAAAAAGTATAGATGTAAGTAATAGTTTTATTATTATCATTATTATTTATTAAAATTCCTAAGATGTTTGATAAGTTAATAAAAATATTTAAATAACAAGCTTTTTTTTATAATTATTATTTTACTAGTTCAAAATATGTGTATTTTTAAAGGTATTGAATAACAAGTTTAAAGAAAAATTAACAGAATTTAACGAATTAATGGTTAAATGCAATGAACATTTTACAACTGATCATAGCTCAAATGATTCTGATAGTGTTCAAGATTTACAGAATCCATTGAAGACATTACCCATCAGGTAAATAATTATTTTTACATTTTAAATTTATTTGTATAATAAAGCATTATCTAATTTCGGATTTATTTATAGCTGGAAAAATGTAGAAAACAAATTGAATGACAAACGCGTACGAGTATTGAGTGCATGGGAAGAATTACAAACAATACTTAGTTTAATTGATATAGAAGTTAAATGGTTAGATCGTTTAAATATTGCTATTGAAGATTATAAGAAACAAAGTTTAATAGAACACAAAAGTCTATCTGGTTTAATCAGCCATTTTGAAGTAAGAAAATGATATTATAAAATATAAAATATATTATATATTACATTTTTAATTTATTTAAATATTATTTATTATATACTCAAATTATATTAAAAAATTAGCAGGAACAACAAAATGCAAAGGACAAGTTTTCCAAGTTAGAACTTGCCGTTTCTATATCACGTTCTACGTATACTGCCAAATTTATTGATGATGAAATTGAAGCGATTAGAAAAAATAGAGAATCATTATTTGAAAAAATCAACTTGATACTTGTTGTACTTAAAAAGTCATTAACGTTATGGAAAGATTTCATTAATGCACATGGAAGGGCTGTGGTGACACTCACACAAGTTGACACAAAACTAATTGAACTCGAATTGTTGGATAAAACTGACAATACTGACGAAGGAAGTGCACGTGTAATGGAAAAAGACCTTGGAAATTTGCAGGTATAATTTGAATAACAATTTCATTACAAACAATTATACTAAAAGTGTATATTGCATACATAGATTCGTTTAAACATTATAATTTTTTTAACTAAAATACTTTTTATTCTTCAGATATTAGAAATGGAGATGAAAAAATACGGAGGACTTCTTGAGAAAGCAGATGCTCTAGGTCTTCAGTTAATGACTGAAAGTACTCCAGATGATATAAAAAATATTCAGAAAATGATTGATGAGTATCAAATGTTATGGAAAGATATCAACAGTCGTATTGAAAAATTGAAAGTGACATGTGTTCAAGAAGCCTCTTGTAGGAAGAAGGTAAAAAATAAAAAAATCATTTGTATTAATATTAATTGTATTATTTTTCTATTTATTTATTTGTTTATTTATTGGATTTACAGCGATCGGTGAATGAAGAAGTTCAAGTAGAAACATTGAAGTTTGGTAAGGATTCACAAGTACAAGTCAACACGCTCCCCACTGAATTACTCAGAAAAGACTCGTTTCAATATGAATTACAAACAGCAATATCAAATGCTACCACACACTTAAACGAATTAGAATTAGCAATTCAAAAGTCTGACAAAAATCTGTCCAAAAACATCGCGACATGCCAAATGTCCATAGACCTGATCAAACATCTCAGTGTTATATTGAAAACACAGTGCGGTGTATCCGAATCCGATATAACCATAATAAGATCCGAAGAATTATTAACCAAATATGAGGAACTACTTGTGAAATTCCGATCACAACAGCAAATTGGTCAATCCAAGTAAGCATCTAACGAAACAATACACCAGTACATACTTTAGTAACTAAATGTATTAAAAGTTAAACTACTGTGTTCTCATTTTTAGAAGTAGCAGTTCGGCATTGTGTCCTTTATGTTCCGAACAGAACTGGTCTCAGTTTGAAAACGATATGTGGCGCTTGGAACATTGGATACAATCTACTGAAGCGAAACTTAGTGTTCAACCGAAAGTACCGCCATCGAAGATAGAACAACTCGAAGATGTTATTCAAGAACACAGAGTACGTATAATATACAATTGTAGATTACTTAACTTAATTTACATAAAGATTTCTATGTTTTCTCCTCAGTTTTAGCGTTTACGATTATATTTTTAATCGTTACATATTACAAGTTTTCGAATTTTTTAAATATACTTCACAGTGTATCTGCACTTTACGAAAAACTTTTATTTATTTTTTACCTGATTTACACCTATATTAATTTATTGAAAACTTAACACGATATTATTATCATGTGTATCATGTATAGGAACTTCTGCTGTACTTGGACAGTCACCGCAATATCGTGAAATCGTTGAACGTGATCGGTCATCATTTGGCCGAACACAGCAATGATGTGGAAAGAGCGAATCAAATCAAAAACCGTTTAACCGCCACAAATTCCAGATGGGATCAAGTTTGTTTTTCATGTACCGAATGGCAGACGAAATTGCAGAGTGCCCTCATGGAGGTATTTAATATATTTAAAATTTAATATAATATTCTATTGCCCTTTCTATTTATTACGATAAAAACTATAAAAGTAAATACCTAATTATAATTTTCGAAATAAAACTTATTTTTACAGGGATACCTATTTAAAAATATGGTTAAATAAAAATAAAAATTTATAATTTATACCTACTGTAAAACAATATAATAAGTGGTCCGTTCCGAAATGATGAATTCTATCGACTTTCATTACTCAAGTGTGATTTTATTTATTTCAGAACGACGAATTTTATGATGTTATTGATGAACTTGTTGCTTGGTTAGATGAAACGGAACGTACGATCAAGACAACCGAACCGGTAGATCTAGGAGACGACACGGCTATTATCGTTGAAAAATTCAATAAGTTTAAGGTAACTTTGATATTAAAACATTCAAATGCAAAATAATATAAAGTTTTATTATAGACCTAATATTATTATAAACATTTGTATTTAGATTTTTTTTTTTTTGAAGTTAGTGTAAAAAAAAATATTCGTAGGATACACTTATAAAATTAGTCTGAACTGTGACGCGATAACTTTGTTTTATAAATCGAGAGATTACACTTTTGCGTTGACATGAATTTTCACGACTTTTTAACTCGTTTAACTAAGGTTTTTATTTTCTTCGCAGAACCTCCACTCTGAACTGGAAAGATGTGAACCACGAGTGGTGTCGCTGCTCGAAGCTGCCGACTGGCTCCGTCAGGCCAACGAAAAGACCGGCGCGGTACGCTCGGCCGCGTCGTCCGACCAGACGGTCGTCGACTCTCACGCGAGACTGTCGCACCTCAGGGCTCGGTTAACGGCGCTCATAAGCATGACGGCCAGCTACACGACGAGACTGGGCTCGGTTTTGGGCTACGACACGACGGACGATGGCCTGGTCATGCTCCATCAGGTAAAAAAACAAAAAAAAACCACCGAACGATCATCGTCCGAATAATATAACGTATATAGGTGGTATTGTCGGCGTGGAGATCGAAAAACGAATAACAATTATTATGTACGCGTAAATCCGTATAATATAATGATATCGTTTTTTAATTCGACATTTTTCTTAAATAATAATTTTTTTTTAAATAATTTTTATTGTTTGACTATATTATAACGTCGTTATTTTCACGCGGCTCGGCGGGGTCTTGCGTTCTCACATCCGCTTGTCACGTGCAGCTTTTTAATATTATAACGGGTTGCATAAACGTCCAATAATTATATTTGTACTTACAACTATATTAGTGCAATAAACAGCCCCCCCACCGATAAAAGACATTGGGTGTTGCTGTTAAACTCCTGACAGTGTACAACGACCTTTCTATCTTCTATCAGACCTGTATAATATATTGTGTATCCATTATGATCGAGGATATCGATGTTATTGTCGACGTGTCTGATAGTGTTTAATTATTTTATATAGATATTTACACAGTTACATGTTTATGTATAGAACTCGGGGCATTCTTTTTTTATTGAATATCCACTATGTATCCACCCTTCCTCCATTAATAAAAACTCCACGAATAGGTACGCTTTAACTCGCATTTTTTATTTTGGATTTCCTTCTGTTACCTACGACCATCCCCTGAGACTGTTTTTTCCTATTTATAAAATATAAAGTTTTGTGACCCAGTCGATAATTTACCATTTGTTTTCTGGAAACAGCAAAATCTTACTAAGTATCTACTAAGCATTATAGGCACCATATCTATTCAAGGGGCGGGCTGAAAGTCGTAAGATGCAGAAAACCACTATAAATATTTTACAGAACCGATAGTTAAACGATAATTTATTATTATCGATTATTATTTACGGACGGGTTTATATGCAACCCGCCCATAGTATAACACAATACTATAGTCTATATATCGACAATAATGTACAACATGTCTATATATTTTTATTATAATGTGTACATATTATTATAAAGAATATTATTGTTTTCGTATGGATCGTTTCATTATTATATTTTTCTACATTATTACATTATTTGTATTATTATTATTTGTTTTTAACTCGCACGCCGTCGTTTTTATTTATTATTCTTTATCGTTATTAGTTTGCACAGTTTTTTTTTTTTTTTTTTTATATAATTTTCTTGTTCCCGTTTTAAATAGGTGGACGATACGAGCACTGCTATGATTCGATCCGACGAAGAAGAACCAAACACAAAGTAAATATTTATGCACTTTTATTTAGTTACGTATTTTAATTTTATTATATATTATTGTTTTTTAACGACACTATACTTACTTTATTTTGGCTCATCAAAAACGCTTTTACTATAATAGGTATATATAATATAATATTATATATATACATATAAAAAACCTAATTAAACAAACATATCATAATTATTACTGTATACAAACAGTTTATAACGACGTCGCGGTCAATATTGTACGAAAAACAAATACAACAGTTGATCTTAACAAATAAACAATTATTCGACAAACTTCAACTAAGTGGAAAAATTAATAAAAACATGTACAATATATTTATAAGACAGCAGATTTCATAAACCTTACCGTGTCGTTAATTATTGTTATGTAATGTATACGTGAGTAAGGTATAAAAAATATTATAATCGTGAACAAAGAAGCGCGATAGGAAAGTTTACATAAATGGCGACGAGTTTTAAAGACCTGAAATAGGCTGATTAAAAAAAAGAAACTATACGGAAATGACGTACTCCTTTCGTTGTCTTAATAAACAATTTGTATACTGTACTAATATAATAAATGATAATTCGATTAAAATTTTTAAGTTGATCATATTACATCCGACTAAGTTTATCCGAAATGTTATCATTCGCTCGAATATAATAATATACGGTATTTATTTAAACAGTATAGATAGACATATTAATATTATTGTTACTTTCCATTTAGTTTTCGGCTAGATATAATTTATTTTTTTGTCCCTATACAATTTAACTCGAAAAACATCATGCTCAGGCAGTAGCTATACGGATATATTTACCTATCCTTAATAGTAACACTGCGTTTCCGATGAAAGACGTGCAATTTCTGTATTTAGAATTTGGACGCATTCCAAGTGCTTTTTTAAAAAAACANTTGCATGCAATCATATTGTAAGAAATACTGCATAAACCATATAATAAAATTATACACGTATAATATGTGGTTTTATTTAATCGCACTAATCCGAGGAAAAACAAAATATGAATAGGTAACGTTGTAAACCGTACAACGATATCACATCTTTGACGGTATAGTAGTAAAATCCATCGTGCGGTTCGGAACTGAATAAATATAACGATAAGTTTATCGTGGCGATTAAAATGGTTTTGGTAACAGGTTATTGATTGAAATATGTTCCGGATGTTGGTCGTCGGCTAAGTTTATCCGTATTTTGATAACAATAGAACATAGTATTATCTACTCCTTTTCGATTGTAATTTAATAAAAGGCCGGAGAAACGTTTAGCGCGTAACTGGCGATATTTTATACAGCGATAATTATTATATTTATTAAATATGCGATACACAAAAAAAAAAATTAACCAACAATTACGAAAAAAAATCGATAACACCACGCGTATTGCGTATTGGTATACAATCAATGTACGGTTTCGGACAGTATGTAAATTTTGAAAAAAAAAAAATCGCAGTAGGAAACTGTTGTCATTAAATCTACAAAGAAAATCAAAAAAATGAATGTAATTTCCTAACTAGATCGAAAATTTGCCATAAAACAGTTTTTGATTGGATCAAGCTTTCTGATAGAAAAACGACTTGTGAATTTTTATCGGGTTACTGACGATATTACGAAACATGTTTTGTTTTAATATTATAACCATAACTTAAGACCCCCACGAGAATTTCAGTTTAGCTACGGTCTTGATAATACGTAAGCATATTATGTAGTATAATAACTCGTAGCCTGAACTCCACAAAATCAACGCGCAGAAACATTTGATTTCCGTTAGCATTTTCTAAAATTTCATTCCCAAAAGTATCTTGTCATTTTTCACTGTATAATATTATGTTTTAAGTTATTTAAGTATTATGTTAACTTCTCACCTACAACAGTGGCCGTTACCATCCCCAGTATTAGCTCTTTTTTTTTTAGTTTGGCAATAACTTTTTTTCGGTTGGAATAAGGAATTTTTTCGTTGAATTCTTTGATTTTGTTTGTACGTCCTTAATATGACTACGCATTGCTGATTATCTTTTATTATCATTTAAACTCTATAATTTATTGAGAAGACATTATAAAAAGTATCGTTTATAACCCAAACTTCAAATTGTTCGTTAAATAATGTCACAGCTGTTTTTGCTCACGCACATTGTACGAAACATGTAATTCTCCATCCAATAGTAAAGCCGTGTCGCTTAGACCCAAAGTGTCGCTTAGACCCTTTTGCCGTGTCACCATCGACATTAATAATGGAATTTATGGAGAAATTATTTGAAAAATATCTACGGTATGCGTAATGTTTTACAAAATAACGCCGATTATTGTTGCTGCGGATCCGCGGACGGCTTGTATGTGTGCGTAATTGTAACGGTTATTCGAAAAATACGCCGCCGCCCTGCAAGTCGGTTTGTCATGCGCAATATTGTACGTAATTTTTATTTAATTATTAATTTTTAATTTTTGTTATATTTGTTGTCCGCCAAACAGTGCTGCGGGTGGCGATGAGACGGTACTCCGGCGCGGCTATCGGTTCTTCGGCCGAGTGATGAGGGCCTCTCTGCCGTTCCAAGTGCTCATGCTGCTGGTCCTGGGCGCCGCCTCGTTAGTGCCGATCGTCGACGAAGAGTTCAACTGCATGGAGTCCAACAACATTGCCTGGAGCCTTTACCCGTTGCTCCGGTATCCCGGGGGACCGCCGCCCGTATAAAACGTACTATCATTATTATTATCATCATATTGTTTCTTGCACCCCGTGGGAAAAAAAAGTATTCACTCTATTCTATTATTTTATATTATCATTGTTGTCGTTAATATGTCACTTGCGTTACACACCCCACCCCCTTTCCGTCGTTTGTTGAACCTGGCGACGACGGTTTAACATTTTATGGTTTTATTGTAGATTGTTAATATAGGTTTTATTATAGGTATAATTATTATTATTATTTTTTTAATTTCTCTATTCTCGCCGTAGTTATTCATCATAGGTATACACAACGAAACGAACGCTTTGAACATTTCGAATGGCCTTCTCGGAATCTTTAAAAAAAACAAAAACCAACAAAAAAAAAAAAATAAAATTATTTTATCGCCTAAAATATAATTGATACTACGTACGATAATATTGACTGTAGATAATTTATTTATGTATTATTTTATAATCATTTATCCATACGCATACGTTAAATCAACCAAAAATCAAAATATAACAAGACTGTCCGCGAGTACAGGGTACAAGAAAACAATTTTTTTTAAAAATATAGTTATTGAATAGCTAATAGTTTCAAAAAGAATAAAAAATTGTGTATATTATAATGTGTATCACATACTGTGTTTATCGTGGAAAAAAATCGATACATTACGGACACGTGTGATTTGTATACACCTAAAAAATGATTACTGTCAATTCATCATTGAGTATATTATTATATTTTATGTGTTATATAATATTATATACGTACTTATGTATTGTTAATTTTATAATTTTTTTTGAAAAACGCTTAGAATGGTTTGATTAAATTATTATCGCGTTCGTAAACTCGCAAATAACTCGTATATTATTATTATCATTATTACTTTTAAAAATGGTTAAAGCGTTGTCGTTTTATTGTTTTGAGATCGACTAATATATATATATATATTTTTTTTTTTTAGAATTAATACCTAATTATATATTATATTAATAATATTTTGCCAATATTATAATGAGTTTATGGTTTATGGATTGATATTTTTAAGTGCTTAACATTACTTAAAACAAAACAAAAAAAAAATAAATAAATGTTCTAATCCCACTAACTTTTATAATTATTATACATTGTTTAACGTTTTAAATATATATATATAATAATGTTTAATTTTTAAGGCGACCATAATTGTTCTTGATTTTTTCTTAAATAAATATATATGTATACAATGTTCTATATATTATTATCTATTATTAAATCGCTGACTTAATGTTAAAAGTTATAATAATATGTTTTTAATGTTGTTTTTGCGAAAACTCCCGCCGTGCGGATTTGCAGTTAAAAATCGTAAAAGATGAACAAACCATAATACCACGACAATGAAAACTATCAGCAAATATTTTTAATGTTAAAAAAAAAAAAAAAGATAAAGATAAAGTACTATTTGTTTCACAAATCACAGCAACAGTTAATATGTCATAATCAAACGGAAACTCTCGATACAAGGAATAGGTATTTCATTGGGTTTTCGGAGTTGCAAACTTCACAACTCCTATAAGGGAAATAATATTATTAATTGTTGAAAATCCTACAATAGTTTTGATCCATTCAAGAAACAGTGTTATAGTTATTTGAAACCTAAAACTTTAACTCGTATTACCCTAACCTAACCTTATTACTAATAAGGTTAGTTAGCCTAATAAGTTATTAAGCAGAGGTCTTAATAATATGATAATAAAATATTCATTTTATTCACGAATCTATATTTAATTTAACTGAGTATATTAATGAATAAAACATAATACATATGATAAATCGTTATTTGTTTTAAACGATTTAAAAATTATGACATCATAATAATACATTAATACCTGTTTGACGTGTCAGTAAACCTGAAAAATATGAATTTAAATACCAATATTCGTATAACAACCATTCCAATAGCATGACAGTAATATTTATAGTTTGAGTAAATAGGTTTAGTCAATAAACTTTACGATTTCGGTTTTCTTATATTGGATCCGCTCGTCTACAACAATACAACATTATCTCTACAACATACCATTCTACATAAAAAAAAAAAAACCAATAAATACATTTTTTTCTTTCGATTTTAATATTTCATTAAGAGTTAGATATAACACCACTTACGCGTTTATACTGAGTGTTCATACACGATTTTATTTTGTAATAATAATTACAAGTACCCGATTCGGTCGGTGATATTTTTAAAGCTGCAAAGAAAATTATAAATTATTTACTATAACGAAACAACCCGTACAAAATTCAATAATTAATTACAATAGTTTCAATATGGCCATATACCTATAAACATATACATTATAAATTTAATATTTTTTTGTACGAAAGTATTATTATTATTATTTTTTTTTTTTTGATACCTAATTCAGGGCTTAGAAATAAAATTAAAAACACTGGTATTTAAACCGGAACCTTTTGAAAATATTGGAACCAGAACCGACATTATTGTTAAAAGATAATTTTTCGGTTCCAATTTTATTTAACTCATTTTATATATTTAGGTAATACATAATAATAGTAGTTGATTCATTAAATTTGGTTTGTGTTCTAAACGTATACGTGTATTTATAAGTTTATAATTTTATAATCTAACAGTTCCATAAAACGATAAAATACGAACAGTTACCGAAATAAAAATGTATAAATGATAAATTGTGAATTTATTTTCTTTTTAAATACCTAGTTATAGCAAATTAACGCATGTCATTAATTTGTTAAATATATAATTATGCGCAGGATGACTAGGTACATATACCTAAGAGCAATAATATATACAACAAAATAGGTACTACATTTAAATACAAACATTATTATTTTAATTACTGTTTATTGACAGTTGTATATTTAAAGTTATTGATTAATGTCTATAGAAAGTAAAAGAGATGGTATTGTAATTTGTGTGTTGTTAATCACGCAGAAATAAACTATTCATAACGAAAATATACTAACTAGGTACCTATATGAAGAAAAATGAGTATGTTACTCACCTTCCCCGTAGCACACATCATTTACTTTTGCAGCTATATTTGCTGGCGTTTCGGGCCAATACTTTTTCAACATTTCCATGGTGCGAGCTTTACTATATTCGCCATAGGAGTTTAGCTGAAGAATAAAAAAGCAAGATACGCACGTATTTTTATGCATAATATATGTTATTAAAAGTATTTATTTATGTAATGTATAAAATATAATTTTTTTTTTGACTAATTACCATATCGAGTTTTTCGCATAAACATTTCATGAAACACTGAAAAAAAATACACGTCAAATTATTTACTTACATTTAAATAAATTTAAAAAGTGATTAATTTGATTAAAATTAATTTTCGTTTTGTGATGAAAACAGTTAAAGATAAACTAGATTCCTTCAATCGTTCGCCTTTTATTACAAATTTCTGTGGATGGGGTGTATGCCAAAACAAAAGATCCTAGAAAAGGTACAGTAAAGTCGTTAAGCGTGTAATTATTTGTCATTCAGTGAGACAATTATAAAAGATTAAATGGACCTATTGCGTAAAAGAAAATACAAAAAATATTGACATAATGTATGTTATAACTTATAACTGTTAACAGAGATCTAATAATATACCACATTTATTGCATATTATAAATAACTGGTTAAACAGATACACAAATATTACAATAGTAATATTATGGAAATATTGAATTTTGTTTTTCTCTTAGAAGTATATATAAAAAAAAATTATTACCTTTCCAGTTTCTGTAGATGGTATGCTGTAATCTTTCATCACGTCAATGTCTTCTAAAATACAAAATAGGTAAGCATTCTGAAGGTATTATAATATCGAAAAATAGGTATCTAAATATGCAATATAATATTATAATCTAGGCTATAATCTATACCTACAAATCCTCTAAATTTGAATTATACAATTTTTATTCCTACGAAATTCCATAGGTAATATATGTAAAATATGGTGACGTTATGAAAAACAAAAAAGGTGTCGGAAACGAAGGATTAGAAGGATTAGATAGACGGATTACGAACGAACGGTAATAGCGAAATATTTTTACCTTTGGTAGCGTTGCACAGTTTCCCGAGTTCAACCACATCTTCCGCAGAATATTTTCCCTGTAATATTATATACGTGTATTAGTATTCTGAATATTATAATATTATAAATACCTATTACTATAGGCGTAACTAAGCCTCTGAAATAGAGGGGGGCAGGGCTAGAGCCCTAGCTGTTTTTTCTTTCATAACATTTTTGAGCAAATCCTGTCACATGTAGACAAGTATCATAAAACAAAACTTTATAAATAATACCTACATCAAAAATATATACATTTTAGTATATATATTTAAAGGTACGTTTTTGTTTTTTTTTTTATATATATATTTTGAGTTTGCGTTTGTTTTCAAAAAATGCATATACCATATTTGCTGTATTAATATTATTGATTAATTCTTGTTCAATATATAAAATAGATAATTAAGTAACTCTTTCCTGCGATATTTTTGAATGAATATAACAAATTAAGGATGTGGCGCATCACTAAAAACAACTTTTTGTAATAATAAATATCAATTTTTATTAAAACATATTTTTTTAAAAAATTGTACTGCAGTTTGTTGAAAATACCGTAAATTTGTATTGTTGTCAGGTAGCCTACCTACTTAGGGGGACTAAATTGGTTACCAGGAGGAGCGGATAAGCCTCTCTAGTTACGCCAATGACTATTACTAATGTAGTTTATATGTTTTATGTGTTTGGTTTTAAACTTGTGTTTATTACATTAATCAAACAATTGATAAGGTGAAAGGTAGGTAAATATTATACAGAAAAGTATTAAGTATTAAAATTATTATAATAATACAATGCGTAAAAAATATAATTCTCTTAGCAGTCCTTGCTTCATTTAATTGTATATATAGGTGTTTAAAACCTAAAAAAAACATCTTCTTCTCGCAGTAACGTACGTAAATCCGTATCAAAATTAAATGCAATTTTTATCATTTTAATCTGCCCTTAAGAAAAACTCGAATACTCGAGTACATTTGGTTCAGAGGAGACACTATGGGAGGTTTCAAAAGTAACGAGAAAAATATAGATAAGTAGGTAGATTAATATAAATCCACCTTGGTACAAAACGGTAATAGATAATATAAGGCTATTTTCAAAAAAAAAAAAAATGTTTTACTTACATAGACAAAACATGGGCATAACAGGCAAAATAATAAGGATACTAGTAATTTTGACATTTTGTACACCGAAAACACTCTATTACTTATAGGTACGTGTAACACCTTACTGAACCAAACACAAACTAGTGGTATACAAACGTTTTCAACGGTGTTAATTAACCAAACTAGTTTACCAGTGGACTGTTAAAGACTATAGATTATTAACTGTGCGTCTCTGTAGACCGTAACTTTTCTCGAAACCTCCCGTGTGCGCTGTGAAATGATTCAACGGGGAGGAGCACTGTATGATAATTTTAAAGATATTAATTTAGCAAGGTTAATAACTAACATTATTATAAATTGCTATATGATAAGCCTTTCTGATTATAAATTATTTTATTATTTATGAATAAAACATAATTCTTACAAATGGTCGGCCTTGATATAACTGGTTTTTATAATGATTTTTATTTATATTTAATACAATTATTATTCAATATCACAGGGAAAAAATTGTATTTAAAAAAAAAAAAAAAAAACCTATACTGAAAAAATCCTCAACGAGCTTTGAACATTTTTCATATACGACTTAATACATTTAAAACTTTAAAATCTATTGATATAGGTGATAAATTAAAATTTTTTATTGAATATTCAGTCATGTTTATGAACCTATAGAATTACCTTTTCCCAATCAATCTTTTATGTTCCAATAAACTTTTAATGTAAGCCAAATACACAAATTAAGTTAATATATTAGGTACAATCAAATAATTAGATAGGTACCCAATTGTACTATTTTTGAAT